TGCCAGTTCATCTGAATAATCTTCTTATAAGCAGCACCAACTTATGTATCTTGGTAACAAGTGTTGTCAGATCATCTGAACAATCTTTTAGTAAGCAGCACCAACCTTATGTCTCTTGGTCATAAATGTTGTCAGCTCATCTGAACAGTCTCTAGTTAGCAGCACCAATCTAATGTGTATTGGTTACAAATGTTGCTAGCTCATCTGAACAATCTAATAAGCAGCACCAACTTATGTCTCTTGATTACAAATGTTGCCAGATCATTTGAACAATCTCCTAGTAAGCAGCACCAACCTAATGTGTCTTGGTTAAAAGTGTTACCAGCTCATCTAAACAATCTCCTAGTAAGCAGCACCAACCTAATGTCTATTGGTTACAAGTGTTGGCTGCTCATCTGAACAAGTTTATTTAGCACAACCAACTTTATGTCTCATGGTTACAATTGTTGCCATCTCATCTTATCTATTTATAAAATATCCCCCAGTTAACAGTACTACTCCATGTTTCCTGTTTAGATGATGTCATCCAACCAATCTACCAGTTAAACAGTAAAACCAAATACCCAGAAGTTACAAGTATTGCCTACCCATTCAAGCTGTATCCAACTTAGCAATACTATCCAAGTTTTTTGTTTTCTAGAATTGTCTTATCAGATCATTAATCCAATATCCTCAATACTGTAACAGTTATATCAAATTTCTTCTGCTGTCTACTCCAAATAATTTTCTTGTTTCATAAAGTTTCCTGTCTACAAGTGTTGCCTACCAATCCCAAAAATTTGTAGTTAACATGACTTAAAAAATGTTTTCTCTTTTCAAGTGTTACAGTGTGTTACCTACTCCTCTAAAAATTTATTTGGTTGACAAGATTGTTAATCTTTCCAGTTTACAAGTGTTGCAAAGAAAAATCTAATTGATTTTGTAATAAACACAACTATGCATTGTTCCCTGTTTACAAGTGTTGCCTTCCAATCGAAATAGCATTCATGTTAACATGACTATACAATGTTTCCTGTTTCTAAGTCTTGCCTACACAGTGACACCATAACAATGTATTTAGTTTACATGATAAGCAATATTTCTTGTTTTACAAGTGTTGCTTAACCATCTAAATAATTTTCTTGTAATCATGACTATGCCATGTCTCCCATTTGCAACTGTGGCCTACAAGTCCAATTAATTTTCCAGTTAACACTACTGCACAATGTTTCCAATATACACACCTTGCATTTCCATCCAAAAATTTTCAAGTAATCATGACAATGCAAAGTGTTGCTCAATAATCCCCTAAAAATGTTGTAGTTAAAAGAATAACACTATGTTTGTCTTTACAAGTGTTACCTTCTTGCTCATCAAAATCCTAGATAAAAGATCTTTTTAAAAATTAAGGATATATGGTATATGGAGCTTCTAGATTAGGTCTTAGCTAACAGTTTTCAAATGTCTCCTGTTTAGAAGAGATTCCTATCCATCTCAGTGATTTTCTAGTTAACATTAAACAGTACATTCTCTTACAAACTTATAATATTGTAAAGTACTCAAGGCTCAAATGATCTCTTGATTGGTTGTATTCAAGAATTAGTTTCATTGTTAGTGCAATGTTTATGGGAAATGCATGACTTCCTTTTTATGTATTTCATTTATGAATTAGTTTTAGTGATGTAAGGACTTTCTTATGATTTTGGAAAATATAATTTGTTGTGTTTTAGACACTAAATGACACAACAGTACAATGAAATGGTGGGAATTGTATAAGTTTAGTGATTGTGAGTATGAATGTTATTCATGTAATGTTTTAGTGAGGTATTATCTTTTTGTTTATTTACAGTTCAAATCAATAAATTCCAAAATTTAGTTAAAGCTTAATTTAATTTCACAGCCAATATTTTAGTCCAGCTGTTTACATCAAATGCTACTTCATTATGTCAGGGAAATGTTCGAATGAAATGTCTTTAAAAACTTTAAATATATTCAAAAGTTAAAAGAAATTCCTTTTTTTTTATCAGAATATAGGAAATTACTTTTTTTACCAACTGCGGATCCAGAAATCTGAGTTTTGGCAAGCAGATTAGCTGATTTTTTTTTTTCAAAATTAAAGTTTTATTAGTCAGTTTCAATCACAAATCCTTTCAAGCTGATAAATGTGATTCAGGGCAGTTGTAACTCATTTATAGAAACTCTTTGCTTTAAACTGTAAATAGGCATAAACAATAGGATAATCCCTTACTAAGAACATGATTTACATTCATTCTTCACAATTAAGAAGCATCAAATCCCACAATTTCATTGGTCGAAAGCACTTTGCTATATTCTAACTCCTGTTTATAAGATTTGCCTTCTCATGGATCTAATCTGAAAAACTATCAATAGTCTCAAAAGCTTCCTTATATACAATTGATATATTAAAAATAAAATGCTCCGCTGGGCGCAGCTTGATACGACCGCAGAGGTCAAACCCTGAACAGTTGGGGCAAGTATGGACACAACATTCAAGCTTGATACAGCACTGAATTTGTATTGTGATTAAATATTTGACACAGCATAGATTTTTGACACAGAATGAATGTGGTCTAAGAACTTAAATTTTTTTAATTTACCTATTCAAACCATATCATTATTATTTGCTTTTATATATAAATCAGAAATAACCAATTTAAAATGGAAAATTTTAAAGAAAAAAAAAGGAAAAAAAAATCTCCCCCCCAATTTTTTAAACCCCCTTATGATTCATCACCCCCAAACTCAATCCCAGCCTTCCCTTTGTGGAATGGTACCTTGCAGTACAATTTCAGAGAGATCCATACACTTGAACACAAGTTATATTGTCTGGAAACTAGAAAAATGCTTGTTTTTTGGCCCCTTTTTGGCCCCAAATTCCTAAACGTATAGGGCAATTACCCCCAAACTCAAACCCAGCTTTCCCTTTGAGATATGGAACCTTGTAGTACAATTTCATAAAGATCCATACACTTACACACAAGTTATTGTCCTGAAACTAGAAAAATGCTTGTTTTTTGCCCCTTTTTTGCCCCTAATTCCTAAAATTTTGATGCAATTACCCCAAAAATCAATCCCAGCCTTCCCTTTGTGGTATGGTACCTTGCAGTACAATTTCAGAGAGATCCATACACTTGAACACAAGTTATTGTCTGGAAACTAAAAAAATGCTTATTTTTGGCCCCTTTTTCCTAAACGTTTTGGCCAATTACCCCCAAACTCAATTCCAGCTTTTCCTTTGTGATATGGAACCTTGTAGTACAATTTCAGAAAGATCCATACACTTTCACACAAGTTATTGTCATGAAACTAGAAAAATGTTTGTTTTTTGGCCGTTTTTTGGCCCCTAATTCCTTAACTGTTGGTACCATAACCCCCAAAATCAATCCCAACCTTCCTTTTGTGGTATTGAACCTTATGGTAAAATTTCATAAAGATCCATTCACTTAAACTAAAGTTAGAGTGCGAAAACCAATGTGTCTTCGGACGATGACGACGCCAACGTCATACCAAAATACGACCGCAAATTTTTTTTGCAGTCTTATAAAAACTGAAGTCATACCAGTACAAAAATGTACCGATTATTCATTGTAAATAATTATAATCTCAGAATCATCTCCTGGCTAACAATGTTTCCCCTAACTAACTTGTTTACTGCACTAACGGCTCTAACTCTCTTACTCTTTTCAGGATAAAATGTGTTTCATTTGGTATGGTATCTATACACAATTCCAATATGTGCATCGTGTGAAGATAACGATGTGGAACTGTTTTTTGCATGGAAATTATATGCGTCTTACTGACCATTACAAGTTTTAGTAAAACATCACTACTGTGGGAACAATTCAAAAGTGAAAACTAACAGACAGTCAGTCTTTTTTAGGCTGAAACAACTAAACTAATCAAAGTGCTTGTGAGCACTAAAGGGTAAAGATGGCTATCATTTTACAATTTTGTGAATTTTTAAATAAAACATTGAATTGTATTTTGATAGGCAAGTTAAAAAATTTGAGATGGAGTTGTCTTCCTTTGTTCATGATTGTACATTTGTAGTTGAACCTATTTTTATAACAGATGCATACACCATGTATTACTTACATGTATGTAAAAATAAAACAATGTTTTATTGGCAAGTATGGTAAATCAAATACACATCATATTGTAACTTAAATATCAAAGTATAACATATCATCAATAAACTGAATGACATTGACTGGATAGGATCTAAATAATGATCACTTCACTGCACTATTTTGTTTGAACTATTAAAGGTAGTGATCAGCCTTGGAAGATATAGATAGTCAATACCATAGGGTTAATTTATGACAGGCTAATTATGACAGTACTTGTTAGATTTCTTTCCCAATTATTTCATGCAATCTTTACCAAAAAACAAATATTTAGCAGACAGCAACCAGCCATGCAGGGTAATATTCAGAATTTACAAACTATAATTGGGAAAGAAATCTAACAAATACTGTCATAATTAGCCTGACAATCCCATAGTAAAATACAAAAATAATTCAAACATTTAGACAATAACGCATGGCAATCCAGCTAATCTTTATTTAACCTGACAGGAAATAATGTATGTGGCAAATAATTCAGAAGGACAGCATGTAGTAACAATTTTCATTAAACCCAGCGATTGAAAAAGAAAAAGTGACGTAGTACACATAAGAGAAGTTATCTCAAAAATAAGCATAAATACTATAGCCATAAAAGTATGAGAGCATACACCTCAAAGAATGAGGAAACCTCCTCTGTCTCAACATATATTGCATGTAAATGTATAATTCTTAGTTTTATCTGTACTAAATTTAATTCAATTTAAAAATTAAAGCCAATTGTAAAATCTAATCAAAGAATTATTCTGTTGCATGTACCATGTCATTATAACTACAAGGACACAGCACTTAAGTGCTTTTAAGCTGACCATCAATGGTCGGGCCAATACTGTGAAAAATATTTTTTATATTCATTTAAAAAAACTTTGAACATACCTCTTCCTTTGGATTTAATCTTTGTTCTTCAAAACAGAAACACTGAAAATGTAAATATATATAATCAACATTTGTAATGAATCCTTCCTAGAATTTCTCATTAATCTAAATAAAAACAAATACAATCATCAATCTAAATAAAAACAAATACAATCAATATCAAATTGTGGCAAACAAACAAAGGGACAAAGACCTCATGGTATTACAAATGTCTTCTCTTTCTTCATTCAGGCAAACTAAAAAAAAAATTCCTAAAAGGCTGTCTGTCTAACATTCAATTTGATTACTGTGGATTATTTATGTTGTAGATCTGATTTCATGGATTTGAATAAGTCTGCATATAAGATTACTGTAAATTTGTACTTCGTCTTACATCTAAATTTATGGTTTAACTGTACTCACTAAAACCATGAAAATTGGTACCTAACAAATAATAATGAATCCACAGTTGATAGTGAATTGATTGATTGATTGGTGTTGAATGCCACTTTCAGCACAATTGGCTATTTCATAGCAGTTCTTATTGGTGGAGGAAGATGGGATGCCCAGAGAAAACCACTGAGCTTCACCAGGAAAACTGACAAACCTAGTCAATTAAGATTGGAGTCAAATGCACATTTCCATGTGCAGGGTTCAAGCTCACAACCTGAGAGTTCACGGGCTAGTGATACAGTAGTTGGACTACTTAGATCACTCTGCCATTGAGGCTCCCAAAGTAGTGAATTGAAAGACATTTACACATTGTTAAGCCAGTATGAGGAGTGAGATTTGTAATATCAAATAGATATTATATTGTAATTTGTTACTTTGTATAAAATTCCTACCAATAACATCTTCTATTACTCATAACTGATTAAAAATGTGTAAATATTTCAAAAGGACATAACCTGATTTTTAATTGTTAGGTATTTGATAAAACTGGGTTTTAATTCTTATTTGATAAAACCTGACTATTCATTTGAAATGGTCCTTCAGTGAAGTATCACTTTGTGTGTGTTATATCAATAATTCTTTCATATAATTCTATTTAAAATCTTTGCATAAAACAGAAAACAAAATATGATGAACATATCAGAAAGAATCATGATATTTGCATCAAATGGCATTAAAAAAAAAAAAAAAATCAGAAAAATTCTTTACCAGATCACAATTCAAAGTTGTACCACCAATTATATAGGTATTTCATTACAGTCCCAAACTTCTTTTGTAATATGGATGAGCAGTGGCCAATGTTTTTTTTACAAATCTTTTGTACCAATTTCAATAAGCAGTTGTCACAGGGGAGACAACCAGTGAAAACCTTTTAGTTTTAGAATACTGTTATCAAGCCATTAAAATTATTCAGTTCAACATTTTTTCAGCGTCCCTCACCTTCCCCAAATAATAAACAGTAAATCATTTGTACCAATTTCAATAAGCAGTTGTCACAGGGGAGACAACCAGTGAAAACCTTTTAGTTTTAGAATACTGTTATCAAGCCATTAAAATTATCCAGTTTAATATTTTTTCAGCATCCCTCACCTTCCCAAAATAATAAACAGTAAATATTCATTGATTTATAATCATTCTTCTTTCATCAATTTTTGGAATTCTTACAGGTATTATGAGAAGTAAAATTGTAAAGTAATATTTGACAATTATGACTTTTAAAACAGTTTTGAAGTTATATACAAATCCTTCATATATTTAGGCCCAAAACAGACCTTAATGCCCCTACTCCTTTCAACTTTCAAGGGCCTAATACCCTCAATACAGTACAGTAACTTTACAAAATATAAACTCTAAAAGAATGTTTAAGGGATCATTGACATCAGCCAAAAGTTGGGAGGACAAAACTTTTGAATGAGGTATATACATATGTATTTAGTTTCCAGTCATAAAAGGAGAACTTCATCAAACATGACATAAACATTATATTTTCAACATTTAGGCTAAAACACTTTTACACCCAAATAAAATTATAAAAAGAAGCATTCAATTCTTATAATTACATTTTTATGTTGCAACTGTGAAATTAAGAGTTACATCAAGCTTAACGTTTTGTTTTACAATGCACTATTTTAACATTGACTTGTCACGGATAGCACATGCAGTCATAGCTGTTGTATTTTATACAGAAACAAATTATGATCTTGGAGTGCCTCGTGAATGTTGTCAGCAAATCAAAATTATGGATTCTAATGAAACATACATGTTATGTAATTATTATAAGATATCTAAAATATAATTGGCTTACTTGTATTTTATTGAAGTATTGTCCAGCTTCCCAAGGCTCTATGCTGTATGTAGATATACCTATTATAGGTTTGTCTGTTGGGTTTGTTGCTTTGTAGAAAGCTAAGGCTGTTTCACCAGGCACAACCTGTGGAGATATATTTGTATCATTAACTGCAACACAAAACATTTGATTCACCTTTGCCTTAGAAAAATATTAGCAACCATCAAACTACAGATTCATAGGGACTTGTATCAGATAAGCATCACAAGTCACATATGCATTTTTGATTTTATTCTTCAGCAATATCATCTACTGTAGCAAGGCATCATCATCATCATGGCCTTGAAAGAAGTCAAGCCTTGAAAATGGCTATCAAGAAACTTTTGGCATGTATTTTCCACAGCTTACTAAATTTTACATCTTATTCAGGCTATAATATCCAACAGTTACAGTTATCTTTGATTTCATCAGACACCGTATTGATTTACCACAATATCCTTCACTTAATTCATGAGAAATGTCAATTGTCTTTACTCTATTATAAAATTCTGCAAAGTGTTTTATTTCACTAATATATTATAAAATGGTCTTTTGACCTGTGTACTAAATGCTTAAAGTGTTAAAAAGTATTTATCATAGTGTATAGATTTGATTGGCATACATCTAGATTTCACAAGAGCCAAAAAAGTTATGAAATAATGAATTTTTTTACAGATCCAAGTTCCAACTACCAATTCTGGATCCAATATGTTATATAACTTGACACAATGGTGTCAGCTGTGAATGGTTTATACCAGGTCCAACATGATACATACCTTGACTTCTGTTTGTTGTGGTTTGAAGTTCCACTGCATAGAGGCATATTTCTCTGCAGAAAACCTTATAACGATTGGTCTATCTCTTACAGGTTTCATCATTTCAACTTTCTCTGTTTTACCAGCCACTGCAGTGCCCCCAACTCCTGTTGCCTGTAATTAAGATGAAATAGTCATTAATTTTCACTTTATTTCTGCAAGATCTTGACATGAATCTAACTTGGTGAAACAATATTACAGATTTTGATTGTGTAAGATCATTGAATAATTCTACAATATTTGGTAATACAAATGTATCATGTACTAACTTGACATTAACCAATTAACATTCACATGATTCAAGCAAAGTCAGATAAACTTAGATAATCATCGAATTAACTTTTTTGGCAATATTTTTTTGTATAAAACATGAAGATTAATACTCATAAAATAACAATGTTGATTATAAACTTACTTGACAAAGTATTCTGTATAATGGTACCATTGCATAGGCTGCACCTATCATAAATATCCCACCAGCCATAGCATACATTATTGTACTTCTGTGATTATTTTGGTTACTTTGTTTTGTAGTAAGCTGTCTATAAATTATTACTTTGTCACTATGTATTTGTTTTTGTAACACTGTTTTACATTTTGTAATGCACACATTGTGGAAAGCTCGATTTGAAAAAGATCTGTTCAGTGTGTTTAAATTTTTCAATAACGAGGAGCAACAGCGGGTTGAAATCTTCATACATGTCAGAACTGCCATTTTGTCTTGCTTTTAAGATTTAAGTTGTGCTGAAAAAAATTCAAACAAATTCTTTCAATCAGACAATGATATTAATTTTCAATGAATTTCAACTCTTGACAATTTCTGAACCAAAAAGGACACACTAAGTCAAAGAAAACAAGAGGCTCTCAAGAACCTGAATCACTCACCTGTATTTCAGAGAAGATTTTTAAATGTTAGCAAACTTGATGAACAAATTGTGTAAAATTGTCTTTAAAGGGCAATAACTCCTTAAGGGGTCAATTGACAATTATGGTCATATTAACTTTTTTGTAGATCTTACTTTGCTGAACATTATTGCTGCTTACAGTTTATATATGTCTATAATAATATTCAAAATAATAACAAATAAAATGCTTCGCTGAGCGCAGCCTGATACGACTGCAGAGGTCGAACCCTGAACAGTTGGTACAAATTTGGACACAATATTCAAGCTTGATACTGTCTGAATTTGGATTGTGATCAAATTTTTGACATAATATAGATTTCTGACACAAAATAAATGTGGTCTAAGATCTTACAAATCTATTGCGCAATACTGTGCAATTGAAGATTTCTTCTTGAAACTTTTCAAAAATTCTAAATTTGAAAAAAAAAAATATGAATCCTCTAAAAAAATTGGAAAAAAAAATCCCCCCCCCAACTTTTTGAAACCCCCCTTGGAGCAATAACCCCAAAATTCGATCCCAGCCTTTCCTTTGTAGTATGGAACCTTAAAGTACAATTTCAGAGAGATCCATACACTTAAACACAAGTTATTGTCTGGAAACTAGAAAAATGCTTGTTTTTGGCCCTTTTTTGGCCCCTTAGAATTCCTACATATTTGGGCAATTAACCCCAAACTCAATCCTAGACTTCCCTTTGTGATATGGAACCTTGTGGTACAATGTCAGAGAGATCCACACACTTACACACAAGTCAGTGCTCCAGTAAGAAATCAAAAGGGGCAGGGTGCCAGTGGAGGGCAGGGCACTTTTTTATGAAAGGAAAAGTCACTGCTCATTTCTTTTGTCTACGCTTCTGTGTGTATCACGAGTTCACATTCTTTTTTTTACTGTACATGTTGTTAATAAAGATGCATAAGTTGTTGTTTTGATTATTTATTCTATAAAATTTGCATTAGAAAATGTAATTCATACGACATGTTCATAAAACATGTCAATACACATTCATACATCACATCACTATAAACCAATAGAGGCAAATTAACTTACTATTCTCCCCCCCCCCCCCCTTTTTCCAAAAAAAAACAACATCAGCTGTTGTCTGCTCTATGGTTGGGTTGTTGTCTCTTTGACACATTCCCCATTTCCATTCTCAATTTTATAAACTAAACATCTCATAGTTTAGCATACATGTGCCAGAGTTGTCTTATTTCAAAATTTTCAGCTAGAGTTTGGCCCTCAAAACTTTTTTCATTGTTTGTGTTATGGAATTATTTAGTAAAGCTTCATCAAGTTGATGTCATGATAGTTTAACTTCAAACTACCCATTTTTGTAGGATTGCAGCTTAACATTATCATAACAATGGAACTTATAAATTTCTAAATTGACAATGTATAGAACGTGGATTGCTAAAAGTATGATTATCAAAAATAAATTGCAATATATATTTTTTGGTATGTTCAAAGACAGTTAATATCCTTAAGGTAACATTCTTATATAATTTTGTATTCAATTGGTAATTTATTCCTATTTTTAATACTAGATAATATTTTAGGAGCACAAATTTGTAATAAGGTAAAACAGGGGAAGTAACTCCAACATTAATTTCTAACACGTTTACTGTTTGCTTGTCGCTCACAAGTTGAGGTGGACGGCGTTTCTGTGAAGGCATAGTTGTATTTTGATGACTTAAATTCTATTCTAAAGTCATGAAAGTCTTCATTTATACACTCTTCTTGGAATTCAAGCTGACACATTCATCAAATTTATGACAAAAAGGTACATTGTCTTAATTAAATTACCTAGTTATAATACCTTTGAAGTCTTATCCACTGTAATTGATTGTAATGACATGATTATCCTGGGGGCAATCACCTGGTGTCATATATGTAATTTAACTTTGTGATAAGAAATCGATGAAACAAAAGGCAATTTTACCAAAAGGGTTTTTGGGGAAAAGGCGTCAGGGCAGAAGGGCGCAGATGAAGGCACCCAGGGCGCTGCGCCCTTCTATTTTGGGCTTACGAGACCACTGCAAGTTATTGTCTGGAAACTAGACTAATGCTTGTTTTTGGCCCCTTTTTGGCCCTTAATTCCGAAACTGTTGGCCCCAAAACCCCTAAAACAAATCCCAACCTTCTACTTGTGGTATTAAACATTGTCGTACAATTTCAGAGCAATCGAAATACTTATACACAAGTTATTATCCTGTAACTAGAAAAATGCTTGTTTTGGGCCCTTTTGGGCCCCTAATTCCTAAACGGTTGGGACCATCTGCCCCAAAATCAATCCCAACCTTCCTTTTGTGGTATTGAACCTTCATAGAGATCCATTTACTTAAACTTAAGTTATTGTCCGGAAACCAATGTGTCTTCGGACGATGACGCAGACGACATCATACCATCCCAAAAAATTTTTTGCGGTCTTATAAAAACTGCAAAATTTTGTTAAAACTACCAATTCGGTGGCAGCAACCCAACAATGGGTTGTTCGATTCGTCTGAAAATTTCAGAGCTGATAGATCTTGACCAATTGAACAATTTTACCCCATGTCAGATTTGCTCTAAAAGCTTTTGTTTTTGAGATATAAGCCAAAAACTGCATTTGACCCCTATGTTATGTTTTTAGCCATGGCGGCCATGTTTGTCGATGGATCAAAACTTCGGATACAAGTTATAAACTAGATACCCTAAGGAACATTTAGTTAAAGTTTGAAGGTATTTGGCCCAGTAGTTTCAGAGGAGAAGATTTTTGAAATAGTTTACGACAGACGACGACGGACGCCAAGTGATGGCATAAGCTCAAATGGGGCCCTTCAGGCCTTGGTGAGCTAAAAATGTGTCATGAGTAGAGACCGTACAGGTCTATCATTCAACCAATTTATGATGGGGACCCTAAAACTTGTGTAGTGTCAATTTTTAGAGTTGTACACATGAACAGTGTACATTTGTATCTCATACTCTGCTAGTTGATTTTTTGTGTTAGTACACCCCTGTTAAAAGAAGTCCCTATATATTTATGTAAAGTGAACATGCATGTGTGTAATGTATCAATTGAGATATCTCCATCCAAGTCAAAATTTATAAAAGTAAACCATTGTAGGTCAAAGTACGGTCTTTAACACAGAGCCTTGGCTCACACCAATATGTATGTATTTAGTCAGTCAAAAAGACAGATATCAGACAGATCTTTTCCTACAAACAAGGAACAGCTAATTTGGTTCCACTTCAACATTGGAACATATCTGTTTATCAAACTATACTTTAAATACAACGAATTGCGAAAAAATAGGTTTGTAAATTAATTGCATGTGATATTTTCATTATTCCAAAATACAAATACTGCTATGGTCATCAGATTCATCAATAAGTCATCAAAAGGGTGGGACCAATTTTACAGAAATATGCCAGAATGAGCTAGGTTATCAAGACATGCACATCCTTCCTAGTTATTAAAATCCTTGACAGAACAATCCATACAAAAGACCCCAAGAAGTGTTTCTAATTCTCTAGTACATCTTTTAATGGACTCTTATTATTTATTTATATACATTTATTAATTGTTTCCTATTGTTTAAATAGATTAAATAGATTAAGTTCTATTTCGTTAAAAAAATACTTATGTGTTTACTCTTAAGGTTGCATAACATATTTCATCAAACTAAATACAGAAAATTCTATTGTAAAGCTTACACTAACTTGGAAAATACTATGTATTATACGTTTAGATTAAGAAAGCGTGTTAATCTACAAACTTTTACACAAAGTACTCTCGAAAATTGAGTACAAACAGTCTTCTTATAGCTGGTGTATCATTTTCTAACTTTCATAACATAACATATTTATGAAAAAGTCAGGTATGTTCCGAAGGTAACTGGTAGTTTCGGTCCGATTCCCGTTTCGCTCCTTGTCAGTTCGCCACGAAACTGAGTGGTTTCGCCCCCCGTATCAGAAAAATATTTTATCTTTATAATGTTTAAATGTCGAAGTAAATCTCATTTATTCCTATTTATATGGCGCGGAATCAAGTTCTATTTATTGATTTTAGAATATATGTATTTTGGCATTTGCTAAATTAATTTTAGCATATATAGAGTGGGGTGCTCATTTTCGCCATAATTTTCCATGTTTTCTGCAGTTTATGTTCAGACCTTTAAGTTTTTGAAGTATACTGATATTTCTATATGAAGATAACATCAAAAGCAAAATATTCTTAGCTTGAAAACGTGTTTCTCTGAAAAAATGCATCTGAAAAGTTAGATTAAAGGCTATTTGAAATTTCCTGATGTTTTGTCATAGGGGGACACATATTCGCCGTTTTTAAACATCTATTTAAAACCAAATAACTGCAGCTTTAAACAATATTTATCAAATAAATTTCATTATAGATGAATAGCAGACATTTCAAAGGTGTAAAGAACTGAAATTTAGGGCAATCAGTCAAAGAATTACTAAGAAATACTTCTTTGAAATATTTTTTTTCATTCAGGAAATTGGCCAAAAATCGTTGTCCGTTTTTCGGTTCTTTGCGGTAAGTGCCGAAATTTTTTCTAAGTTTAAAAAATAATCATATTTGTTATAAAAATATAATTTACCGGCATATTTTCTTCCATTTCAGCAATCCTTTGAAGTTTCTACACCTTAAAATCATAAAACGGCGAAATTGTGTCCCCGGCGAATATGTGCGCCCCACTCTATATGCTCCCCAATTCATCATATATATTTCAGCATATGCTTTAATTCATTCAGCATATACTGAAATAAAATGAATTAAGCATATGCTAAAATCAATAATTATGAACTTGATTACATAAAATTATGTTACAAAAAGATACACAGAAATAAAAAAAATGAAAAAAACCCAAAAAACCAAATAAATAAACAAACAAAAATCAATGTTCACACTATTTAAAATGTAAAATTAAATTCTATAGATGACCTATGACTAATATAACACATGTTATAGTAGTCTCAGAGATGACATAGACTAATTGTTTCATTACAATGCAGCAACTCTCATGTCAAAATAAGAATCAATCATCTAATACATAAATCAAATCACTTTAAAAAAAATTGATGACACTCGAGATATTACATCAAATAACCATAAAAAGGTTACATTTCATAATCTTGTCCATCAATATTGATTTTATTAATTCAGGGCGAAAATCTCAGGGCGAACGGGAATAGGGGCGAAACTACCCAAATCTGTGTTCCGAAATACAACATGTCTGCTCCCATGGATCACTCACGATTTTTATTTTTGTGCATTTATTTTTCATTCTGAACAGTAACATATTTTTTTAAACCCTCAAAGTTCTGAACAAAAAACAAAATGGGAATCTTAGAAAAAATTGGAGAGATAGAGCGGGAAATAGGCCGAACTCAGAAAAATAAAGGTTAGCAGAATTTGTTCTGAATTTAGGACAAATTTTTATTCAACTTTACACAAGTTTAACTTTTTTTCTTCTTTCTGACTTTTCAGTGTGTTTCATCGTTAAGTTTATACTTACAATTTGTGATGAAATCATGCCAAATAATCACTGCAAAACACACAAAACACACAATATTGCTATTTATCTGATATATATACAGATGGAGTATGCCAGCATCATATGGGATCCACACACTGCCAACAACATTCATAACCTGGAAATGGTACAATGTAGGGCGGTGAGGTATAACTGGTGACAACCATCGAACCACCAGTGTAACAAACTTTTTTAAACAACTGCAATGGCCAACCTTACAAAACGCAGAGCTATGAATAAAGTCATAATGATGTATCGCATAGTCAACCACTTGGTTGCAATACCAACATCTTGCTTAATTCCAACAGCAGCAACCTTAGAGGACACAACCCAAAGATTCCTTGTTCCATTTGCAAGAACACAGCTATACATGTACCAGCACTCTTTCTTCCGAAACACCATCAGATTATTGAACAGCCTGCAATCAACTACTGTAGTCTGCAACTCAATAGACACCTTCAAGTGTGAGTTGCAGTTACAAAAATGTGTTATGAACTGTTTGCGAGATTTCAATTGTACAGACTGGTTTATAACTGCACTGTAAATATTGGTTTGTCTGCACCACGCGTAAGTTCTAAAATACATTAGATGGTGGACTGAACTGCAAAGTGAAAACAGAACAAGAAGAAGATAAACTGGAGATTCACAAACATTCCTGTAAAGATTTGACATTACAATAGTAAATGTATGACGCCACAATGCAAAAGTAATCGTTGCATGAGGTCAATAGTTCAAGTATCTCAAATCTCTGGGTCAAGTGTAGCAGATTCCCAAATATCAATAAGTTTATTAAAATGGAAGCAAGTTTTCAATTCGAACCAAAAGTTGCAAACTCATACCATTGTCAACTCATACCACAAAAAAAGAAAGAATATCTGAATGTTTTATGAATTGTCTTTGCAACATATATTTAAAAGTTTAATAAAAAATTTTGATTAACTTTCTTTGAGTTAAACATATAATTGAATTTGACCTGAACTTATTTATGGATTGACCTACATTGTAAATTGATAAATCAAATCAAATATTAATTGGCACTCCCTTTTTCACCTCATCTAATTCCAGTTAAAATCTCTGCACATTACATTTGGAGAAATATCTCTTGTTACTTGTCTTGAATTTTGTCCAATGATAAGTTGATCGCTATATAAGGGTAAGGTGATGAGGCATACATACATTGTACATTGTACAAGTACAATGTAAAAGAAAAAACTGCACCATGTGCACCCAGCTAAAAATATGTCTATTAAAAAAGTTAAAAGTACTTTTTATAGAATTAGTCTCATTACTTTCAAACTGTAAATAGTGGTTAATATTTCATGATGTGTCCCCATGCTTTTATATTTTTCAGTTATGGGTTGTGGGTAGTTGTCTATTAAGAAAATCATACTTCAATTTTTTTATATGCAGTAAAACAAGTTCTCATGGTTTTTGTTGGGCCTGCAACATTTTGTCATGGAAGTGTTACAATGTTATGCTACATTCTGTTGTGGGCATCATCAACATTAGATTTTTTCATTTTTCCGTATTTTACTGATAATGGACAGTCAGACTTAGTTTTTCTTTAAAGTTAACATCATTGGCACTCATACCACATCTTCTTATTTATAATGAAGGTACAATCTGGGGTTAAAGTTTTACAGACATCAATAACTTTTATGAAACTTGGATAGAAGCTTTTTTATGATCAAAAGACATTATCCACAGCAAAATTTTTAGATTTTTTTTTTTTTTCGTTTTTTTGTATTTTACTGATAAAGTACTTAGTGTTTTTTGGTCATTAACATTTAGGTTAAGTCTGGGGTTAAAGTTTTGAAGACATCAATTACTTTATTAACCTTCATAGAATGTTTTGAAACTTAGAAATAAGCTTCTTCAAGATCAAGAAATAGCATATCTGAAGGAAAAAGCTTGATTTATAAAAAAATTACCTGTACTTTATTGATAAATGGACTTAGTTTGGATGTTCAACATAACACTTTTACACTGACAGCAGCCATCCCATGTGTGACACAGAGTTCCTTGGAACCCTTTACAAATCTTTAATTGTCCTCGCGTTGCAGGAGAATAGAAATACAGGGCATCCTTCCATCCGTCTGATTTTCATACAAAAATATATCATAAGTTTCTATCAGGAATGTCTCAGACTAGTTTGGAAATCAATGTCGATCAACTATTTTTAAAAGAGTTATGCCCCTTGGAAATATTAATTATATTGGAAATTGCATTGCATTTTCTCTCAAGCCTTAATTTCTCTAAGATATTGATAAAAAGTTTAAGTTTCTTTTTAGTTATTGCCCGTGGACAGATAAAATATATGCAACATGGGGGACATTGGAACTCTGTTCTTTTATTTACATTACTGTATGTTGTGAATAAAGCATAAAAACCATCCACACATGGTTACAATACTGTATTGTCTATATATGTTTTAATTCTAAGAATAATTATGAAAACAAAAAGTTTCAGTAATAATTGAAACATACTTTTTGATATAGATCACAGGCAATACTTGTATTGAAATCATATCCTTGCTTTAGTTAAATGGATGTATACTTTAAATTCATTTACATGATATACTTCTTTTATCTTATTAGCAACTGAGTACCATCTAGGGTTGTTGAAGGCAAAATTGGCAAAGTACAGACAGCAATTACTAGAACCTCAAGGCAAAGCTGGAGCTAAGGTAAGTTAAATGGGTAATTTTTCAGATGAGTTGAGTCCAGGGATTCATTATTTTTGGCCAAGAGGAGTCGTGAAAATTGGTATCGAAACAACTAAAGCTTCAACTCATCCTTTAACCATCTGGGTCTAAATAACTGAATCAGATTTAGATTGTATAATGAAATGATAATAATTCTTTGTTTTAAGAGGGTAAAAATGATGAACTTATACAGTATTGACGACATTCAAACTACCTCAACAATATTCGAATTTCAACTGTGTGAAAAATATGCATATAATATATTGCACAACTTTTTTGAATGCAATTGTAGATTCAGCTCATAGAATCTATGCAGTTTGGGACTCCTCTCTTTAGAAGATGGAGATTCCAGTCTAGTTTTCATGAGTCATGGACTCATCTTAGGGCAGTTCCATTTAAACATAAATGGTACCCAGGGAAGGCACTTTCAAAATGGGGTAACCATCTAGAGAGGCAAATTAAGAGTGTTTCTTACAAATTCAAATTCAAATATATTTTATTGTCAATTGAAGACGCCCATTACAGGCAGAATAATCAAGTTAAATTTGGTACAAATGATTACAATGATAACAATGATTTGAATATAATTAAATCTATGAATAAAATGAAAAGAAAAGAAAAGGACACAATAATGTATATTTATATAAATATTATATGTTTCCACATTGACAATTACAGTCATCCTAAAAATATAGAAAACTGGATTCAAATATTCTGTTTTTTCTGGTGCTGTCATAAGCACATAATAACAAGCACAATTATAAATAGCTAAATTATGCATCTGTCTTCTTAACAGTAACATTTATAACTTTACTAAGTTTCTAATAGTTGTTTTTGAACAATATTTGAATTATTAATTAAGTTGCTCACTTGATTAAATATGTGACTTTCTTCATTGGACATTAGCCAAATAAATTGTGATTGATAATCTAAATTGTGAAAATTTTTGTAACTTTTAACTATGTTTGAAATGATGGAAACTCTCTCACTTTCTAAAGATGAACATTTTAGTAGTAAGTGGAGTTCGTCTTCCACTTCTTTTTTACAAAGATTACAAATTCTATCTTTTGCCTGAAGTCCCCTGTATCTGCCTCTCTCTATTTCTAGATTATGGTTACTTATTCTGAATTTTGTCATCTGAATTCTCAGATTCCTATTGCCTATAGACAGATAAGGTTCAAAACTTCTATTTCTCTTAAAAAGTCTATATGTTCTTAGTTTATTTCCAAATGACATATTTGTTCTGTCATCGTTTAGAGATGAATACCACAACTGATTATACTTTAATTTTAGTCTGTTCAAAATAAATCTTTTCAAATTGGATTTCATATTAAAAACTTGTGATAAATCTATGTCTAAGTATTTTGCTAATGAACTCATAGAATTATACCAACTTTTCTTACTATGGTTCGATAAGGATTTTGATACAAGGAGGGCTTCAGATAATGATTTGTCCTCTGTATTTGTTAAACGTGATAAGTATAAAAACATATTAACTATAACTTCAATAAATAATGGGTATCTCCCTAGCTCACCTATCACTGCCATATTTGTGCTTCTTTTTCCTACTCCCAGTGAAAATTTACAGATTTTGGAATGCACTGATTCAGTTTGCAGTTCTTTGCATAATTTTTCAAAATAACAATCTCCTTTGTCAGTTAACTTTTTTGAATCTAAAGCGCCCCAAAGTTAAATTTGGTTTCACTGTGTGGTCAAATATATGTAGTAAAGTTTTGGGTTTATGACCTTTAAATATTTTATAAATTTTGAAAAAGGCTTTGAGTCCTCTTTTATATAGATCAAGTTTTGCCTCTGTAAAGCTTCCAGAGGTACTGAAGTTTATCCCTAAGTATGTATACTGTCTAGCTTTATCAATAGGACAATTATTCAATTTAAAAGTTGAGTGATTTATTTTTCCTGTACAATTGAAAACCAAACTTTTTGTAATTTCTAATCCCAATTTATTACAGTACAGACATAACTTCTCTAAACAATTTTGTAAGACTTCTGCTGTTTCAGATAGCAACTTACATGTTCACTGTTCTTGACACTGACCCATAGTTGAGATTTTTGAAAGTGTCTTCCCTGGGTCTTATATGTTTTTATAAAACATCCATTAGAGTGAACCCTGAATATATAATGTTCTGACTTGGAACTGTTAAGAAAGTGCATGAATCTTGTCCTGCACTACACTTATTTCAGGTATTGTTAATGAGAGCCAAATTACTACTTTTAAGCCACCCCTCCCCTATCTTAGTGGTTAGATATACAATTTACCAATATCATTCCGTCCTAAGTTGACTTCACTTTCTACTTTTTTGTGCATTCCAATACGTTGATTTTTTTATATCATTATATAATAAGAAGTTACAGATCAAGTTTGCATTTCATTCTGGTCGGCATGCCATGACTGAATTAAATTGACAAACATTGTCATGATACTTGTTCACATTCACACATTTTCATTATATGTGTTCGCATTCAAGCATTTTAATGATACTTGTTCACATTCAAGCATTTTCATGATACTTGTTCACATTCAAGCATTTTAATGATACTTGTTCACATTCAAACATTTTAATGATACTTGTTCACATTCAAACATTTTAATGATACTTGTTCACATTAAAACATTTTCATGATACTTGTTCACATTCAAACATTTTAATAAATACTTGTTCACATTCAAACATTTTAATAATACTTTTTCACATTCAAACAAATTTAATAAATACTTGTTCACATTCAAACATTTCATTAATACTTGTTCACATTCAAACATTTTAATGATAAAATTGAGAATGGAAATGGGGAATATGTCAAAGAGACAACAACCAGACCAAAGAGAAGACAACGGCTGAAGGCCACCAATGGGTCTTCAACGCAGCAAGAAAATCCCTCACCCGGAGGTGGTCCTCAGCTGGCCCCTAAATAAAATTGTGTACTAGTTCAGTGAAAATGGACGCCACACTAAACTCCAAAACATATAAATAAACTAAAATTAAAAAACATACAAGACTAACAAAGGCCAGAGACTCCTGACTTGGGACAGGTGCAAAAATGTGGCGGGGTTAAACATATTTTGTGAGATCTAAACCCTCCCCCTATACCTCTAGCCAAAGTAGAATAAAGAAATACATAGCAATACGCACAGTAAAAATTCAGTTTAAAAGAAGTCAGAGTCCGATGTCAGAATAGGTAACAAAAGAAACTAAGCAAAATGACAATGATACATAAATGAACAAAGGACTACTAGCAATACTTGTCATATTCAAACATTTTCAAAATACGTGTTCACATTCAAACATTTTAATGATACTTATAAAGATAAGGAGATGTGGTATGATTGCAAATGAGACAACTAGCCTTGTTCACATTCAAACATTTTTATGATATTTGTTCACATTCAAACATAGTTATGATAGTTGTTCACATTCAAACAGTTTCATGAAACTTGTTCACATTCAAACATTGTCATGATACTTGTTCACATTCAAACATTTTTATGATACTTGTTCACATTCAAACATTGTAATGATAGTTGTTCACATTCAAACATTGTCACATGATTGTTATGATACTTGTTCACATTCAAACATTGTCATGATACTTGTTCACATTCAAACATTGTCATGATACTTGTTCACATTCAAACATTTTATTGATACTTGTTCGCATTCAACCATTTTATTGGTAGTTGTTTACATTATAACATTTTAATGATAGTTGTTCACATTCAAACATTTTTATACGCCCGTCAAATTTTTGACGGGACGTATTATGGTATACAAATGTCCGGCGTCCGTCTGTCTGTCTGTCCGTCCATCTGTCTGTCTGTCCGTCTGTCTGTCCGGCGTAAACATATCGCACCGTAACTTGAGAATGACTTATCCAAATTTCATGAAACTTAACATAGTTGTTCCTTATAATGGTCAAACTATCTGTATACTTTTTGGTGAAAATAAGATTAAAACTTTTTGAGTTACGGGACTTAGTAGCTAAAACAAGTGTGTGTTTTTTTTCACATGTCGCGCCGTATCTCAAAAACAATTTATGATTATTGCTTAAAACTTTACACACTTCTTAGTTATATTAATCTTAAGATCTGTATACTTTTTGGTGATGATTCAAAATTTTATTTTAGAGATATTGAGTATTTTGTTAAAAAAGGGGGAGGGGTTTTTCACATGTCGCGCCGTATCTCAAAAACAGTTTATGATTATTGCTTAAAACTTTACACACTTCTTAGTTATATTAACCTTAAGATCTGTATACTTTTTGGTGATGATTCAAAATTTTATTTTTGAGTTATTGAGTATTTTGTAAAAAAAGGGGGAGGGGTTTTTCACATGTCGCGCCGTATCTCAAAAAAGATTTATGATTATTGCTTAAAATTTTACACACTTTTTAGTTATATTAATCTAAAGATCTGTATACTTTTTGGATTTGATTCAAAATTTTATTTTTGAGATATTAATTTATTTTTTTTTAAAAGGGGGTTTTCACATGTCGCGCCGTATCTCAAAAACGATTTATGATTATGGCTTAAAATTTTACACACTTCTTAGTTATATTAGTCTAAAGATCTGTATACTTTTTGGTTTTGATTCAAAATTTTATTTTAGAGATATTGAGTTTTTTGTAAAAAAAAAAGGGGGTTTTCACATGTCACGCCGTATGTCAGAAACTATTTATGCTTATTGCATAAAAATTCACACACAAGACGATGGGCGTATCATGTGCTCATGGCGCAGCTGTTTATTATGACACTTGTTAACAAATTATTTGTTATGGACGGAAGCTTTCATGTTGTACTGGCTCATTATGTTTTAAAATATTTTTCAGGGTGAAGGTTTTGATGTTATGAAATCAGGAGATGCACGAGTAGCACTCATTGGTTTCCCGTCCGTTGGTAAGGTAGGTTTTTTATAAGATGTACACTTGTGATGCATACTACATCCCATCGGTTAGTAAAGTAGCTTGTCTTAGGACAGAGGTCTTAGGTAAGTGGTAAATTGCCAATCTCTTCATTAGGGACATAGGTCTTAGAAAGTGGTAAATTGTTATAAAGTAAATTGTCAATCTCTTCCTTAGGGACATAGGTCTTAAGAAAGTGGTAAATTGGTGAATTGCCAATCTCTTCATTAGGATATACTAGAAGTAATCACTACTTTTCAATCTATATGTAAAATAGATTTTATGAAAACACCTACAAATAATAATCACAATTTTCCTTGTTAGCAAGGCAATTTTTCTGATGACATAAGTGCTTCTTGATTTCCTTGCAAGATAAGTTATATTATGACATACACACTACGATCTGCTTCTCCATTTCTTAATAAAGTAGGTTTTTAGGACATATTTAAGTAATTCTCTATTCCTTCACAGCTGGGATGTTATGCACAATTCATTTCAGGTATGCAGTATTAGTAAGAGTTTTTTCTATTCCTTTGTCCATAATGTAAACTCGGATAAGTGTGATGGCTTGTTTAGAAGTATAGACATTTTTACATGGTAGGTTCAATAATGATTCGACTGTTTAGGGTTTAGTCTATTCTGTTGACTACATACAGTCAATCAGTCTTAAAACTAATTTACTTATTATTTCCAGTCTACTCTGCTGAGTACATATAGTCATTCAGTCATTAATCAATTAACTTGTTATTTTCAGTCTACTCTGTTGAACACTCTAACAACAACACACAGTGAATCAGCTGGTTATGAGTTTACCACACTGACTTGTATACCTGGTGTAATTGAGGTAAATACTTATATAAAATGAAGCGTAAATACAATATAATTATACTTACAATAAGAGATCAAAGATAAGATTTAAGAAAATGTTGTAGACATTTTAATGATGAATGGTATATAAAAATCCCAAAGAGCTACAAAAAATCCTCTTTTTTTCCTTTCTGTACCTTATGTGGATGCTGTCAACCAGGGTTTCCAAAAAAGATATTTGAACCAGCTACCGGTAGACATAATTTTGGTCCTGCTGTTAATCTCAATTGCATTTGTAACTATAGGCATTCAAGCCAATCAGGGTAACACCCAGAAGATCAAGGACATGGAATTTGGTCACAACACATTAAAATGTTAAAGTGGTACATAAGTACTATGATATGGGTTATGATAGTCTGCAGAAATTTTTGTAAATGTTAGATAAACGTATCATATACACAGACATTACAGATTCTTGAATAAAATTCCATCAGCTGAATTAACTGCAGCCCAATTCATGACTGACATCTCAGGGATTCATTATTTTCGGGGGATACTATTTTTGTGCATTTCAAGAGTATAGATGAAACACAAATTTAAATATTCCAGGAAATACAATTTCCTATCCAATTGTACACAGAACTTGTTAAAACTACAAAAATCCATAAAACTACAATCTTTCCAAAAATAGATGAATCCATAGTAATGTAAATTGGTATTGTTTCACTGACTCAGCCCCATGCAAATAAATTTGTTACTGTATATAATGTATGTGGGTAAAAACAATTCACCATAACGTATTTCATTAAGTTATTTGTATGTTTTTGAAGAAAATGTTATAATTTTGTATTTTTTAGTATAACGGTGCAAATATACAGTTACTTGATTTACCTGGTATCATTGAAGGTGCTGCTCAAGGTAAGTTATCATATATTGTATATCATATTTCCATACATCTACATGTATATCATTCACAACAGCTCTTCTGACAACATGTCACTGCTTTATGACCTCAAGAAGACTTGACCCAACAATAGAAAATTTAACCTGTAATTAATGATGTTACAAATGTATAATTTTTGATCTAAATATATCAAGTGTTTCAATTTAATGGTTATCTTAAAAAAAATAAAACAGATTTAGCCCTAAGACAAACACTCAAATCTTTATGTTTATATACATAATCAGTTTTTCAGCATGAAGATATAAAAAAAATCAAGGCACTTGGGCACAATGTGAACTTTATTTATCTCATTCTCCATCAAATATTTATAAATTAAAATCAAAAGTTGTGGTAGACAGGTTATGGCAGTGGTCAGAACAGCTAAAGTAATAATTAATTTTTGTCATGTTTGTTTTAGGTTAAGGTAGAGGGAGACAAGTTATAGCAGTGGCGGCCAGAACAGCTGATGTTATAATTATATTTTGTCATGTTTGTTTTAGGTAAAGATAGAGGGAGACAGGTTATAGCAGTGACCAGATCAGCTGATGTTATAATTATATTTTGTCATGTTTGTTTTAGGTTAAGGTAGAGGGAGACAAGTTATAGCAGTGGCCAGAACAGCTGATGTTATAATTATATTTTGTCATGTTTGTTTTAGGTTAAGGTAGAGGGAGACAGGTTATAACAGTGGTCAGAACAGCTGATGTTATAATTATATTTTGTCATGTTTGTTTTAGGTAAAGGTAGAGGGAGACAGGTTATAGCAGTGGCCACCAGAACAGCTGATGTTATAATTATATTTTGTCATGTTTGTTTTAGGTAAAGGTAGAGGGAGACAGGTTATAGCAGTGGCCAGAACAGCTGATGTTATAATTATATTTTGTCATGTTTGTTTTAGGTAAAGGTAGAGGGAGACAGGTTATAGCAGTGGCCACCAGAACAGCTGATGTAATAATTATATTTTGTCATGTTTGTTTTATGTAGAGGTAGAGGGAGACAGGTTATAGCAGTGGCCACCAGAACAGCTGATGTTATAATTATATTTTGTCATGTTTGTTTTAGGTAAAGGTAGAGGGAGACAGGTTATAGCAGTGGCCACCAGAACAGCTGATGTAATAATTATATTTTGTCATGTTTGTTTTAGGTAAAGGTAGAGGGAGACAGGTTATAGCAGTGGCCACCAGAACAGCTGATGTAATAATTATATTTTGTCATGTTTGTTTTAGGTAAAGGTAGAGGGAGACAGGTTATAGCAGTGGCCACCAGAACAGCTGATGTAATAATTATATTTTGTCATGTTTGTTTTAGGTAAAGGTAGAGGGAGACAGGTTATAGCAGTGGCCAGAACAGCTGATGTTATAATTATATTTTGTCATGTTTGTTTTAGGTAAAGGTAGAGGGAGACAGGTTATAGCAGTGGCCACCAGAACAGCTGATGTAATAATTATATTTTGTCATGTTTGTTTTATGTAGAGGTAGAGGGAGACAGGTTATAGCAGTGGCCACCAGAACAGCTGATGTTATAATTATATTTTGTCATGTTTGTTTTAGGTAAAGGTAGAGGGAGACAGGTTATAGCAGTGGCCACCAGAACAGCTGATGTAATAATTATATTTTGTCATGTTTGTTTTAGGTAAAGGTAGAGGGAGACAGGTTATAGCAGTGGCCACCAGAACAGCTAAAGTAATAATTATATTTTGTCATGTTTATTTTAGGTAAAGGTAGAGGTAGACAGGTTTTAGCAGTGGCCGACAGAACAGCTGATGTAATAATTATATTTTTATCATGTTTACTTTAGGTAAAGGTAGAGGGAGACAGGTTATAGCAGTGGTCAGAACAGCTAAAGTAATAATTATATTTTGTCATGTTTGTTTTAGGTAAAGGTAGAGGGAGACAGGTTATAGCAGTGGCCACCAGAACAGCTGATGTAATAATTATATTTTGTCATGTTTGTTTTAGGTAAAGGTAGAGGGAGACAGGTTATAGCAGTGGCCACCAGAACAGCTAAAGTAATAATTATATTTTGTCATGTTTATTTTAGGTAAAGGTAGAGGTAGACAGGTTTTAGCAGTGGCCACCAGAACAGCTGATGTAATAATTATATTTTTATCATGTTTACTTTAGGTAAAGGTAGAGGGAGACAGGTTATAGCAGTGGTCAGAACAGCTAAAGTAATAATTATATTTTGTCATGTTTGTTTTAGGTAAAGGTAGAGGGAGACAGGTTATAGCAGTGGTCAGAACAGCTGATGTAATAATTATATTTTTATCATGTTTACTTTAGGTAAAGGTAGAGGGAGACAGGTTATAGCAGTGGTCAGAACAGCTAAAGTAATAATTATATTTTGTCATGTTTGTTTTAGGTAAAGGTAGAGGGAGACAGGTTATAGCAGTGGTCAGAACAGCTAAAGTAATAATTATATTTTGTCATGTTTGTTTTAGGTAAAGGTAGAGGGAGACAGGTTATAGCAGTGGTCAGAACAGCTAAAGTAATAATTATATTTTGTCATGTTTACTTTAGGTAAAGGTAGAGGGAGACAGGTTATAGCAGTGGCCAGAACAGCTTATTTTATAATTATATTTTGTCATGTTTATTTTAGGTAAAGGTAGAGGGAGACAGGTTATAGCAGTGGTCAGAACAGCTAAAGTAATAATTATATTTTGTCATGTTTACTTTAGGTAAAGGTAGAGGGAGACAGGTTATAGCAGTGGCCAGAACAGCTGATGTTGTTATCATGATGTTAGATGCCACCAAAGGAGAAAAGCAGAAGTATGTATTGGTAAACTATTTTACTTCAAACTTGTATATATAATCTCCACCTAAAATAAGAAAGCTAATTAATACCCTTGGTCCCAGGGGAGAATTGCAGTAAATTGACTTTCATATTCAACCTGTTCATCAAAAACCAAATTTCTAATATCTTTATTTATATAATACAAAGACTTCATGTTTAGTTGTGACTTTCTGCTTGTTTTCAATCCGTATACTGAACAGCTTATAATTATGTCTTGTAGTCAAGAAGAGCAGTTTAGCTTTTCACATTATTTGTGTCAGTCACCATCAAATGTTAAAATTTTTAAAATCTTCTCAGAATTTAATTGGAACCAAATTGTTCAAAGTTATCCCATCAGTGTAGGCCAGTTTTAAAAAAGAATGGAGGGCCATATGATCCTGAAAGGAACTGCTCTTGCAATCATGACTACAGACAGGATGGTCACAAATGAGTTAAATATGTATGGTTGTATTTATTTTTAAGGGAACTATTGACAATGGAGTTGGAAAGTGTTGGAATCAGATTAAACAGAAGAAAACCAAATATATATTTCAAGGTAAGATAGGCAACAGTAATGGTAAGCATTTAAATGGTAACAAATAGTTTTTTTATACTTTAGATGCCAATGGTCTGTTTTTCAGATACTTTAGCAATAGGTCAGATATATATTACATGTATGGAATGATTGTAAGGTGTCCTTGTCCGTCTGGCAGGGTTCATCTGACCTTGACTTCATTTTCATGGTTCATTGGTCAAGGTTAAGATTTCATGGTTAGGTCTGTTTCTCAGATACTTACTACATTTTGTGTATGGAATGATTGTTAGGTGAACATGTACATCTGGCAGGGTTCGTCTGACCTTGACCCTCATTTTTATGGTTTATTGGTCAACATCAAGTTTTATACGCCTGTTTACGGGACGTATTATGGTATACCGTTGACCGTCTGTCCGTCCGTCTGTCCGTCCGCCTGTCCGTCTGTCTGTCCGTCCATCGTCAACATGTCGGACGTAACTCAAAAAAGCTTTAACCAATATGCATGAAACTTTGGTGAATTGTTTATATCTATTGACGTGAGCTCCCTTTCGTTTTTTATAAATTTCAGATTTACCGTTTCCTAGTTTTGGGGTTTTATTCATTAAAAAAGGGGGGATTTTCCAGTTTTCCGCAATAACTCAAGAATGCTTTCACCAACTTGCAAGAAATTTTGGTGAATTGTTTATATCTATTGACATGAGCTCCCTTTTGGATTTTTATAAATTTTAGATTTAACGTTTCCGAGTTACAGGGTTTTATACATAAAAAAAGGGGGATTTCCCAGTTTTCGGACAATAACTAAAAAATGCTTTCAGCAGTTCTCATGAAACTTTGGTGAATTGTTTATATCTGTTGATGTAAGCTCACTTTAGAATTTTATAAATTTTAGATTTCGCATTTCTGAGTTATGGGGTTTTATTCATTAAAAAAGGGGGGATTTTCCAGTTTTTGGACTATAACTCAAAAATGTTTTCAGCAGTTCTCATGAAACTTTGGTGAATTATTTATAGCTATTGATGTAATCTCCCTATTGATTTTCATAAATTTCAAATATGACATTGAGAAGAAATTGAACTTTATTTGTTTATAGTCTGACAACAGATTTATTAAGTATTGCGTAACAGCACAGTGTATTGCACAACAGCAAGAAATCTTTAATTGAATATAAATTCAATTCATATAACCAATTTCAAGTTCTCTGACTACATTTATTCAGAAACCTATAATATGTCAAATATTTAATTACAATCCAAATTCAGACCTGAATCAAACTTGAACATTGTGTCCATTTTTGCCCCAACTGTTCAGGGTTGGACCTCTGCGGGTGTATCCAGCTGCGCTCAGCAAAGCAGTTTATTGTGATTAGGTATGTTTCCCGAATACTTTAAACAGCAGGTCAACTTTATTTTATTGTATTGAATGATTGTCCATCAGGCAGGATACAACTGACCTTGACATCATTTTTATGGATCATTGATAATGTTAGTAGTAAAACTGTTAGCATACAATTTAATCATGATCAATAAAGCAATTGAGATACATTTCAGTGTGTGCACCCTTGTTTAAGCTTTGCTCACAATACTTCTGGTTGAATATAAGAAAGAAGTATATGTTGTATGATTGCCTATGAGACAGCAATCAGCCAAAGACCAATAGACAATGATGTAAACTGCAGGTGACTGAAATGAACAATGAGCAAAACCCATACTGTATAATAAGCTATAAACACTGTTTAAATTTCATGGAAGAAAATTTACTGCTCCTAGCAAACAGTACATGGTTAATTTAATGTAAATTTTATGGGAAATTGAGTACTTTTGAAAATCATTCCAACTTTTAAAGTTACGATCATTTTCTTTTATGAATTTTATGATGCACTTAGAAAAGTAAGGGATAACAATCATAACAAATAATTATATATAATATAAAATATGCAAACCTTCAAAATAAGTTATTTGAAACTGAATATTTTATAGAAGAGTTTCATAACTATCTTAACAACAATATTTAACATCACTTACATGTTTGAATCATTTAAATTTTATTTTATTTCAGCCGAAAAAAGGTGGAGGAATATCATTTAATTCAACATTAACGCTGACAAAATGTAATGAAAAATTATGTCAGATGATTTTACATGAATGGAGTATCCTTTGAAAATTTAAAACAAAAAAGGTTTTCTATCACCTTGCATTTTTCATATCCATGCTTAATGATCAGAAGTATTTGTAACAGGATTGCTTCCCTTGAATAGTAGATACTTCGCCAGCCGTAATCGGTTGAACTAGCAAAGTACTTCTTTAGCTCAGTCACTTAGAGCGCTGACTTGAAACTCAGGAGTCCTGGTTCGAGACATTTTATTTTCTAATATGAATCAAGCTCTCCAGTTACAATTTAACTTTACAGCAAGTTTTCTAAACAATTTGTTTTTTTGGTACTTGGATTATAGTAATATAAATTAAGTGATTAAGTTGTCAGGGTATGGTGAAATGTATAACAATTCACAAATTTTAACATATGGTTTTAAGATGGGGAAAAAGTGTCATTTAGTGCTACCTATGCAATGACCAGTGCTCTTGAAAATTGCCATGACAGTCAAAATATGCAAAGGTCAGACATTTTTAATTGTATTTTGATCTATTGATTTCACTTGACTTCTGTGACCATTGTCCTTTGTAGAAATGATTTACAGAGGGTTTTCTGCAAATAATCCTCATTTGGATCTGATGGCCAATAGAGGTAATTCTTTATTCTAATTGGCCAATTTTCAAAAATCTTCTCTGAAACTGTAGGGCCAAATGTTTTGAAAATTTATTCAGAGAATTGATAATTAGAAAACTATCTACAACATATCCTCATTTAGAGTTGATCAGGTGCCAAATATGGTGGCACATAGTTCTCATGAAACCCTATAGAAAATCACATTTAATCTTCTTTCTGAAACTGTTTTCAATTTTAATCAAACTTTGGAAAATGATGTATGGACAGTCCTCCAGGTGTGTGATTCTATCTTCTAGCAGTCTCAAGTTTATGTGTATTCAAATTCAAGATGTCTGATGAAAAGTGTGCTGTGGCTTTGTATATTTTCAGCTTTTAAATTTTTAACTATGGTAAATACTATTTTTGACAGTGTAGCTTTGAATGGAAATTAACCAAGAAACTATATAAATAAAAGAAATAATTGCAAACTCCACCTCACACACCTAGCATGTAAAGTGGAAATTTGTCTACCAAATATTTTTTCTTTAACATTGAAACAGAAATTTTTAATGCTGAAATATTATTTAGAGATGACTGTACATCAGATGAATTTGTAGATGTTATACTGGGAAGTCGTGTATATATGCCTTGTATATATGTAAGTAAACTACATTTGTTGATTGATGGAATGGTCTGTCGTTATACACTCATTGATATGGATGGATGATTTTTTTTAACAACCAATATACAATTTTTCAACCATTTTGATCATGAGGATATGATACTCATATGAATTATGCTACTAATCAAAGCAACTTTTAATTGCTGCAATATTTAAGTTGTAGCTTTCTAAAAGAATAATATTCACTTGAATATGTGGTACTGTGTTGTAGTGACTATGTATGGAGATTCTGCTATTACATCTTTTTGTGTATGTTTATCTGATAAACAGCAGCACAGTTTTAAAAGTTTTTTGTTTGACCATTTAAATTGACATCATCGCCTTTGCATGGTTATTTAACAGCACAATTGAACAAACTGTATAATAATGTTTTAGGTAATTGGTAAAATAGATCAGATTTCTAGTATTTTATAGTAATGTTAAAGGTATGTTATAAAATAGATAATTTTATAGCAATTTTTTAGGTGTATAATAAAATAGATCAGATTTCTATCGAGGAAGTTGACAGATTAGCAAGAAAACCTCATTCTGTAGTTGTAAGGTAATGTAAATTTCTGTATTCAAAATTCACAGTTATGTGAATTTATCTTCTATCATGAATGCAATTAACTTAATAACTTATAAATTTTTAGTTCATTCTTTTATTTAGTTATAAATGTTTACAGATAATTAAGTTCTGCAATTGGTGAAAATTATTAGGATAAGCTTGATTATGATGACAATTATGATTCCAAGACATATCCAATACGAAAAATGAACAGCAAAACATGTGATAATTTCAACAATATCACACAATGATCATGTGGTCACTCTTCTTTCTAAATATAACTTCTAAAAGCCTTTAAAGGGATATAACTCACAATATTATAAAGTACAATTAGATTATGTTTCTAAGATGTACCAAAGTAATTGATAAGAAACATATATATAAATATATTAATTGGACATCAGATAAAAATTTAAATCTCTGATATAGTTAAGTTTTTCTTTAAATGCAGTCTTATAAATTGAAGAGATGTAGATTTGATATAAATGAGATGAAAGTCCATCCACCAATTTTTTAGTATTTTCTTTATCATGACTATTGCTTAACAGTTAGAAAAAATTATCCAAGTACTTAAAAGAACTTTACTTGTAGCTTTTGTTGTCATAAACCAGTATTATTTTACTGCTGCTCTTCATCTTGGGATGATAGAAAGGTTGTCATCAACAGGCAAATGCTTAGCATTTTACAATAAAAAAAATCACATGTAAGAAGTGATAACCAGCTTTTGCATCTTTTGATAACCTCTATTGAATTGGAATATTATATCAGCAAAATGTCAACAAAACTTAGCGACACAGAAATCTTATAAATATTGTCCATTGTTTAATGAAAAAACATTGGAGAATAGAGAAACAGTGAAACCTTAACAGGATGAAAATCGAGAACAGATGAACACTTATACAAAAATATGCACACTAAATTATTTTTAAAAGCTTTTTACTTAAAAAAAAATTAATTGAAACAGTGTTGAAATATAGTTGTTATTAATTTAGGTAATTATTTCCTTTTCAGTTGCAATATGAATTTGAATCTTGATTATTTATTGTCAACGACATGGGAATATTTGGCCTTAGTGAGAGTCTACACAAAGAAAAGAGGAGGTAAATGGATTCTTTGTGTTATATTTAGTTCTAAATTTGATTGTTTAAATAGAAGATGTTTTAATAAAAAAAACCTTTATTACAAAGAAAAAGATGAGCAAAAGACCCTAAAATTATAAAAAAAAAAAATTTCTGTAGCAAGATAGTCAAAATGAAGAAATTTTTATAATAACAGCAGTTTATTTATATATACATATATATAATTATATATATATATGTGTGTATAATATGTGACAAATCTACAACAGTCATTCTCTGTAAAATAAGCATGAGCTATTCAGAGCTAATGCCCAAATTACATATGCTTAGTCTAAAATTTAGCCCAACAGTGTGAAGTCTGCTAATATGCATTTAAAAAATTAATGTCCTTTCCCCAGCTAGATTTGAGCCAACCAGTCTACGCTAACTCCTACATGCTAGCAGCAAATACCAATTATTAAGTTCTTGTTTTGAAAAAGCTGGGGATCAAACCCAAAATCTCCTCACTCTAGGCAAGCACAATACCATGAGACCAATGAGTCTGTTTACTTGACTAAGGAAATTATATTTTTATCTTTGGTAGTCTATTGGCCAAGTGGTTATGGGCATTAGACATAGTTCAGGGGTAGTTGCAACTATGTCACAGAAGCATGGTTTTAAATCCAGGTAAGGGCAGGACAGAAATTTGCTTCAGAAAATTTGCAGATTTAACATTGTTGGGCTAAAAATCAGATGAACTTTCTTTCACATGTCTGTTCAAAACCTTTTTCCTTGAAACAGAATATCTATCTACATTTCAGAAAGACCAGATTTTGAAGGTGGACTGATTTTAAGAAGAGGATGTACATTAGAACATGTAGTGAGTATTGGAAACGACTTAATTATACCCAAACTTTAGAATTTGGGTGTGAGTTGTAGGGTGCGAGCACTTTTCAGATCTGATACTTTGAATTTTTCAATATATTGAATGGTTCACTTTTTTGTCACAATTTTCCAAGTACTTCTCAACAGAATGTCTTTATATTTGGTCAGCAGCTTGTAACCTGTGAGTACTTTTTGGATCTGTCATAAACCGACGTCCTGTTTTCTAATTCTTTGAATTACTTGTGGGGGTATGCTTAGATGGACAACACGTGCAATCTTGTTATTTTTACTTTCTTTTACATGACTGTTGATTAGAAATTGTCAATTCCATCAAATCTTAGGAGATATGTTAGATTTTTAGTAGCCTAAAGTGAAAGGTATCTAATGAGTATGGGGGATGCATATGTTTTATAGGTTTTGTTAAAAACGAACAATGTATCTTCCGGGTTTCATTAATAGTCAGTTTCTAGCTATTGTAATATTAATTGGTGGCTATTATGTGATCTTTTTGTGATTTTTTTTTCTTTAAATTACCTGAAAATTGAATGGAAACTGTGGTTTTTTATTGTTTGAAAAATCTGAGTTAAATATTTTAAATGAGACATATTTTGGTTTTCTATTGTCTGCTATTACATTTGTCTATCTAAGCATGTGTTGCCATAAATCAAGTTTGCTTTGTCCAATTTTACAATTTTTTGCACAGAGCCATTGCAAAGCTATGGAATTTTGTGAACATTATATTTCTTACATGTCTCAAGTTTGCTATTATGAAATCTTTTATGGGGGGGATAGCTTTCAGACATGCAAAGCTGTTTCTTACATAACTATTGGGAATAAAAAATCTTTCACATTTTAAAGATAAGGAAATGTGGTTTGAAAGTCAATTAGACAACTATCCATCAAAGACCAAAGGACAAGGATGTACGGTAAACTACTGCAGGTCATTGTACAGCCTTCGACAAAAAGTACCGTCATAACAAAATGTGTAACAATTCAAGAGGGATCAGCAACAACCTGATTTTAGGTGAACAACAATAAACAAAAAACAATTATTGCAGACAGCAACCAACATCAACCACTAGACTACATGCTCCTGTCATGGCACATAAAGAATGCGGCTGGGTTTAATATTTTTTATAGCACTCAACTCGATGTGCTTATTTCCTCAGTGAGTTTATACTACAACATTAAATGTTATAAATCTCTCCAGAAAAATTAACTATATATGACCACTTTTATACTTGTAGTGCCATAAAATCCATAGAACCATGGTGAACACATTTAAGTATGGTCTAGTTTGGGTACGTATTTTGTATGTTTATTTACATTTATTTCACATTCATTTTTATCCCCTGCAGCAAAATGTTGTTGGGCATATTGTAATACCCATGTTTGTCTGTCTATCCCACATAGGGTAGGTGGTTTCACTAGCTAACTTCAACAGTTTTCAGGCCCTACAAAATTACAAGTAGAATTATATTCCAATATTTCATCTTTCTCAACTACATTGGACATAGATAAATAAGATATCTAATTTAATTAAATCATATAACACTTAAAACTCTAGCGTTAATCACACCAGACCAATATATCTGAACAACACCATTCAATGGAGTAGTAGCATGCACACATGTATAAGAGAAAAAAGCATCTTTTTTTTTCTAATCTCATCAATTATAAAATTTGGTTTTTTGTACCCGTATATCCCTGGACATATTAAGTTCTGTTGATATATACCTTTTTAAAATGATGACGTTTGGCTTTACTTTTCTTTTGTCTAGCCTTGATTGAGTAAAAATGAGACTTAGGTATGCTGTTTCTGGTGGCAGCATCAACAATTTGTTAAAGTTTGTGATAGGGTCATTTTAAGGGGAGCCACTTAAGTAAATCAATGAAATATGGTATGCAGTTGTATTAGCATTGGCACATCTCATTTCCATGGAGATTAGTTGGCCCTACCCCCTCATTCATGGTATATCGACTTTGAAACTTAAACACATGTTACAGTTTGTGATTCAGTCAGTTTAAAGGGAACCACTTACAACAAGTCAATGATATTGGTATGCAGTTATATAAGCAGCCGTATATCTTATTTCCATGGAAATTATTTGGTCATGTACCTTCAGTCATTGTTCATTGACTTTGAATATTTTGTATATTTTACAGTTCAAGTAATGTTATTTTAATTTCAGAATTTGTGTTTTACTATCAAAATTGTAAACAGTTGTAAAATAAACTGTTGACATAGAGATATGTCTTGCCTGTTTACAATTTTGAAAGGGCAAGACATATCTCTATGTCAACAGTTTATTTTACATTAAGTTGCTCTATTTGTAAGCTATTACTTAAAATAGTTATTTTCATCATACAGTTAACTCTCGTTGTCTCATTTCGGATAATTCGAAGTTTTCTCGTGGTCCCGAACTTTGTTCCATGTAAATATATGTATTTCTACTCCTGATGAGTCTAAATTGGATGAGTCAAAACTTTGGTTGACTCGAATCAAATTTACGATCCCAAGTTTAACAAAAGCATTCAAGTTGCATTATTTATCTCTAACTAATACACATATGTCAAAACATGACCTCGGGGATTTAAATGGATTGAAGAGTTCACCTGACAATACACATGTAATTAAATTTCTGGTCACTGACCACGGTTTTGATTTATGACATTCTTTTTTCGAGAGTGTTTACCTAAGATTATCTTTGGTCACCATGATAAATACTTGTAATTAATTATGCATTGATATATTTTATGACAAATTATTCATAATATTTGAAAAACCATTAACTGTAATCATACATTTATGAGCTTGGGTGTGCATAAAGTAGGGATTAAGACTTTTGTTGGTGATCAACTCAAAACTACTCATTCGGCTTCTTTAATCTTTTTGTACTTTATCTTGCAGAAAAAGATTGAAATAAAAAAAAATGAAAAGAAATCTAAATTTTCTAAAATATCTTGTATATGACTACGAGAATGAATAATTATGTCAACTTTAAATCACACAAAGATCGATTTGAAATTACTCTTTTGGCTAAAAATTACGAGAAAAAAGTGTTACTGTACAAAGATATAAATAAGAGACGAAAAATCATATAATTTTATTATAATAATAATAAACGAACATTACATACAGATACATTGAATTCAGATCAGAATATCAATCCCCTACCCATATTCTTCAGGATTTATTTTAGCCTTACCAAGCTACGCAAGAGTTGTATCCCTTGGTCTGTATAACTTCCGGTTTTTTGTTTGTGTCGAACTACGGGTATCTCGAAATATTTCTCTGGTCCGACTGACTTCGAGATAACGAGAGTCGACTGTATTTGTACTTTGTAGCATAATGTTTATCTCTTGACAGGTCGTTATTTCTCCCACCTGAGTCCTAATTTCTTTAGTTAAACAAATTTTTTACATTTGATAGATTTTTAACAGATTAATGCTTGTATTGTTTCAGGGCCGAAGTGTAAAGTACAGTCCACAGAGAGTAGGAATACATCATAAAATGTGTCATGATGATGTGGTACAGATTATAAAGAAATGAAGATATAAAATCATCAATTTGTTGCTGAATTACAATTTTGAATCAGACACAGACTTATATTAATTATAAATATAGTGACTGAAATGTGTTCAGAACTGTGATATGTCTGGTTATGGTATTAAAAAGTGCTTCTTTATTAATATAAAAATGAAAAATACAACTTTCAGTCAAATATTGATGTTGATAAAATTGTTATTATTTTTTATAACAGTCATTTATTAATGTTCAAAGGCAAATAGGCATTATTTCTGCAATTAAGCATGTTAAATTTAATCCTGTTAATGAGGTAAAATTTCTAGTTGTTGGCAGTTTTAATTTATGTCTTTTTCTGTTTCTTTTTGGTATTTGGAAACAGCTTTTTTCTTTGAATAAAGGGAAATACAGCCATTCCATTTTGCATTATTTTTTATGCCCCCCGCCATAAATGCACAAGCTGTAGGCAACGGGAGCATTAAGTGTTACCCTTGACCGTTCTTCTGTCCGTCCGTCTTTCTGTCAGTCCGTCCCATTTTCGAATCAGCACTCTAACTAATATTTGCCTCATGCAAATTTTATGAAACTCATACACAATGCTAAGAGCCAAAACTTGCAGACAGAGTTCAAATTTGAGTCACTTACCGTTCTAGAGTTATGCCCCTTTTTAACTTGGAAAATTGCTAATTTTTTTCATTTCCACACTCTAACTTAAGTTTTTCTTATCCAAATTTTATGAAACTCATACGCAATGGTAACAACCAAAAATCAAAGACAGATTTCGAATTTGGGCAGTGAGTCACTTTAGCGTTCTAGAGTTATGCTACTTTATAACTTGGAAAATTGGAAATTTTTTGTTTCCACACTCTAACTTAAGTTTGTCTCATGCAAATGTTATTAAACTCATACACAATGCTAAAAACCAAAACTTGCAGACAGAGTTTGAATTAGGGCAGTGAGTCGCTTACTATTCTAAAGCAATGGGCCTTTATAACTTGAAAAATTGCAAATTTTTTCATCTCCCTGCTCCAACTTAAGTTTGCCTTACGTAAATTTTATGAAACTCATACACAATGCTTTGCTTAAAGGAAGAAGTATTTGCTTTGGAATATTATCCATAACTACAAATGTGGATTTCAGATAGTTATTTGATGATTTGAGTTTATTTGATTTCTTTTCCTTTCTGTAATGTTCAGTACAGTCGAACCTCATTGTGTCAAAAACTCTGATGAGCCAAAGTAATTTCTCAGTCCCAGTAATTTCTATTTGATCAATGCAATTTGACCTCTGATGAGTCGAACTCGGTTGATTCAAATCTCAGTTAAGTCCCGTCGATGTAAAATTGATGTAAATTGACCCAGGTTTCTCGAAGTTCTAAATGTAGAAATTTGGAAAAATCCAGACTTAAAAGATGAAAATTCAAATCAGATGTTTTTCTTATGTGACCTAATCATTTTCATAAGTGATTAAAGCTGTGTAAACATACTTGTTAAAATGACATGTTTATGGTGACCAATAATTAACACCTTTGTTGATCGTCCAAGCGGAACTTTAGAGTGCTGAACATAAAATTCAATTCATATATGTTCTGAACATATTTCACCTGATATAGAAACAAAATAAATTTAAATGAACCAAGCCGAGATTAAACAAATCATTAAAATTAAAATTCATTAATTACAATAATTAAAAGGATTATGACTTTACAAAGCAGACAATCTTTCAGGCCTTTTTTCCTTCCGCGAGTGATTCCATAATTTATTGTGACTGACCTTTGTAAATATTTGTGTATTGATTATTTGTGAATGTTTTGTATCTGTACTTGTGTGTTTAATTATCATGATGGACCAAAAAAATATGGAGCTTGAATACACAATCCTAAATTGTCATATCGAAAAAAATACACACTGTTCAAAATATCTAGTTTACACAAATCTTATACCGTATTTCATGCATTCCAAATTTATGACGACACACTCGACCTCGGATAAGTTGAATACTTTCGGCCAGTCCATTCGACCTTGACTTAACAAGGTATGACTGTATAAGGAATTAGCTGACAAGTGTTGATTGCAGGAAATAGCTATTTATTAAACCCTAGGTGAATAACAGACAAAATCTATCATAATTGATTATGCCCATGGTGTTTGTAAATAAATGTGCAAAGAAAGACTCCATTCTTCATACTTTCCTACAGGAGGTGATAAGACTGCAACAGGATTTAAAATATATACTATCATGCAATGAAAATGAGTGTACTCAAATTTGATTTACCTCAATTTTAGTAGTTCTGGAAATATAAGCAAATTTTTTATGGTTTAATATATTTTGATAAATCGGATTTAAATAAACTAACCACAGATTTTTGATGCATGGAAATTGGCTCACTGCCCATGTTTTTACCAGTTTCTCCTAAATTTTGATGCTGTTGTTATAAAAAGTTAATCAAAATCGAGGGTACTATTGGTGTTGTCTAGTTGTCCATATCTTTGTTGACATCTAGAGGGCAATATACAGTCTTCAAAAAAAGACAGGTGTCAAATGTCGTGCTCTAAATTGTCCTTAATCTAGGCAAGTTGCAAAATGAATAAATTTGATAATAACTAGCAAAGATCTGCCGTCAATATATAATTCTTGAAAAGACAAACAAAAAAACCACTAAGATATACATGAAGACAACCACTAGTTCCTGACTTAGGATACGCATATTTAAAACATGTAGCAGGTTTAAACTAGTTCTGTGAGTCTACCCTCTCCCTTTTTATTTAAAAAAAAATTGTTTCTAGGTACTTTTATACGAAAAATTTCAAGATTAGTTACTTATGGTTTATACAAGGTCACATCAAGAGTTATTAGGATAGTTTTCTTTTCACTGGTCCCAAAGATATATGGCTGGATAGTATTTGTCAATGAAATCAGTGATATATTTATCAACTTACATTTTACAAAAAGTCTTTAAAAAACTAATTGCATGGCTTTGAACCCAAATAGGTCCAGATAAGAAGGGAATTATAAACAAAGATTTTGGTTCCAGAGGAGTGGTGATAACAATGAAAGGTTTTAGAGGAGTAGTGATAACACAATTTAGAATATGACCTTGACCTAAATTTCCATATATCTATTTATGAGTTACATCGACATACCACTTAGTAGAATAGTTGAGGGGAGATAACTCCTTCAAAATTCACCAATTTAATATTTGCCACTGGAAATACATGCAAGTAAACAGCAATCAACCAATCAATCTAATATGTGTGTGCTTTATCAATAATATGACCATACTAGATGTACGGTATGTGAAAACCCCATTTTTGGTTTGGTTGCACAAAACGCACAACTAGCTAATAGTATTGTGAAGTCTTGCCACTTTTATGAAATTGTTTAAGGATTTTATTCCAATTTTCTTGAATTTCTGGGGAGTTGAAGTTGTTGACCTGCTATCAAGAAATTGTTGAAGGATTTTTTTTCATATTTTCTGGACTTGAGAAATAAGTCCTTTTTATTTAGCAAATTTTCTAAAAGACTGTACATGTACCAATTTTATGTAATCATATCCTCCTACAGTTTTTTAACCAAGATCTCTGAAACTTCATAGAAAGATTGCACACACATATTGAAGTTGTGTGCTTGTTAATGAAACATTGCTTGAGGATTGTATTCCCATTTCTAGAATGCTGGAACTAAGTTATTTTTAGCAAACTTCCCCAAAAAACAGTACTAATGTTTTGTAATCCCCTCATCCTACAATTTTCTATCAAGAACCTCGAAACTTCACAAAAAGATGGCACACATATTGAAGCTGTACACTTGCTTTCATGGAATTGTTTCATGTTTTTAATCCTATTTTTCTAGACTTGTGAACTAAGTCATTTTTCAGCAAAATTTCCAAAAGGCAGAAACAATTTAGAGCAATCACCTACAGTGATCTACACTTACAACTATTTGTTTACAGCTTTATATTTCAGAAGGTAGAAAACCTGGATGCTTCATACCTTGTATGCAGAAGCCTTATGTTACGTCTGTCTGTCATATGTCCATTGTTTTTTACCTCATTTTCATGGTTCAGCAACTGCTTGAAAAAAAATTGTTTTTGTTCTCACTTATTAATAGGACTATATTTGGTATATAAAGGTCTGAATCTCTGTCAGACAATTTTTCACCTGACCTCAACCTTATTTCATGAACCAGTGATCAAGGTTAAGTTTACAGTGGTGGATCCAAGGGAGGGGGGGGGGGGGGTTCTGGGGGTTGGAACCCCCCTTTTGTTTTGATGATCAATGCATTCCTTTATCCTGGGTTAGGATCCCCCCCCTTCTTTTATAAATGGCTGGATCAGCCCCTGGTTTATGTGGTCAAGTCTGTATTTCAGATACTATAAGCAATAGGTCGACTACATTTGGTGCATGGAAAGATTGTAACATCTACATGTCTGACTGGCAGGTTCGAGTCATCTGACCTTGACCTCATTTTCATGGTTCATTGGTCAATGTTATTTTTTTCTGATTTGGTCTATTTGTCAGATACTATAACCAATAGGTCAACTGTATTTTGTGTATAGAATGATTGTAACATGTATATTTCCGTCAGGCAGAATTCATCTGACCTTGACCTCATTTTCATGGTTATGTTTGGTTTTTCAGATACTGTAATTAAGCAATAGGTCAACTATATTTAGACATCTAGCATCAAAGCAAAACTAAGAAATAATTTGATTCAATTTAAAAAGGTTGGTCAGTTTAATACTTCTATCATTTATCAATTTTTTCAAAAAATTATTACTTTTGAGAATATTACCGAATTTGTTGTTGCTTATCCGAGTCCGTTTTTTTATTTTATTTTTTTATTGAGTTATGTCCCTTTGATTTCATTTTTGCATGATGACAGATTTTGACCCGGTCTCTATTTTGTTGGTGACTTCGGGAACAAGAGGTGAAAGATTGCTATTTCAGTATCCAAATTTTGAAATAGCAAGAACCCACCAAGATATTGCTAAATGTAAGTCGTAGACATTTAAGACAGTTTAAATTTAAGTGTGTAAAAATAAAATCTCAAAAGAAAAGAGCCTAACTGTATATTGTCTATAGAATTTGAGCAAGTTGAAGGAACACACAACTATACAGCAATATTTCTTTGTGAAGTAGACTGGAACCAGCTGGAAGAGGAAATGGTAAGCGCTAAATTCTGTATTAAGCCTTCAAATTAGCTCTGGAAGGGCTACAAGTTCCTGCTACAAGCATTCGACTAAGCTCATTCATCAGGTTGGGACAAGTCATTCAATTGGGTTATAATAACCCGTTTTGGGATATCTAGGGATAAAGATTTATTGCCAGCATGTTTCTGTATGACAGTTTTAAATGAACGTTTCTGTTGTAAATCAAATTGTGATTTTTGAGTTGAATACATACAAATTCTAACAGTCGCTAAACATACCATCACTCAGGGATCACCACACCAGTGGAAGTTAGCGATATTATCGCCCTATGATTGACGACTTCGCTCTAAAGAAGCTTCAAGAAGAATTTTATGTCACCCTCTATTTTCAGTCAAATTCCCCAATGTCTGACCTCATGATTTTTGAAAAATTCTCCATCCAACTGCACTGTGATGATTCCAATATTCATGTTACCCCAGAATTTGGTCTTGAATTGTCATACCGCATTCCATCATTCAGAATACAGATAGGCCAACAATTATTTTTTCCTTGTAATTAAAAAAAACAAACTTTGAACAGTCTTCCACTGAACATTTTGAGGATTATTGATTTATACAACAATGTACAAGTTTAAATTTAAATTCAAATTTTACTATAAATAATCAATTTTAAGTTTCCTGATTAAGTTTGTTTTCAGATACTATTAGCAGAATGTCAACTACATGTAGATTTGATATATGGAACGATTGTAAGGTGTACATGTCTGTCTGGCTGGGTTAATCTGAGCTTGACTTATTTTCATTGTTCAGTGGTCAACATGAAGTTTTCTGTGGTTACACCTGTTTCTCCGATACTGTAAGCAAGTGGTCAGGTGTAATTAGTGTAGGAATTATTAGAAGGTGTACATATCGATCTGTCAGGGTTCATATGGCTGTTATCTTATTTTTCTGGATCTTGACAATGAAAATTTTATTTGATATCTGTAGAAAAATCTTGTTATTTAAGACCTTCTATCATGATAAGTAAAGCAGGTGAGACATCTCAGTATGTGAACTGTTGTTTATTTTAGCTAAAAGAAGAAATGTTTACAGTGTACGGATAGCAGAAGATGTTGTCACAGTATCGTGAGTTTTAAGAGGATATTTGATAAGAGATTTCTTTTAAAACTTTCATGTCATGGTTACTCTGAAATGCTGTATCTTTTTAGCAATTTCCTTTAAAAAAATAGATGTAAAAAAACACAGTAATCTCACTTCCCCAGCATATATGTATCTATAGGTTTTTTATTGGTATAACGTTGGCGTCGTCGTGGTCGTCGTCGTCTGGCGTCGTCCGGCGTCGTCCGAAGACACATTGGTTTTCGCACTCTAACTTTAGTTTAAGTGAATGGATCTCCATGAAATTTTACCATAAGGTTCAATACCACGAAAGGAAGGTGGGGGATTGATTTTGGGGGTTATGGTACCAACAGTTAAGGAATTAGGGGTCAAAAAGGGTCCAAAAATAAGCATTTTTGTAACTTCCAGACAATAACTTGTGTGTAAGTGTATGGATCTCTCTGACATTGTACCACAAGGTTCCATATCACAAAGGGAAGGCTGTAATTGATTTTGGGGGTAATTGCCTAAACATTTTAGGAATTAGGGGCCAAAAAAGGGCAAAAAACAAGCATTTTTCTAGTTTCATGACAATAACTTGTGTGTAAGTGTTTGGATATTTCTGAAATTGTACTACAAGGTTCCATATCACAAAGGGAAAGCTGGAATTGAGTTTGGGGGTAATTGCCCGAAACGTTTAGGAATTGGGGGCCAAAAAGGGGCCAAAAATAAGCATTTTTCTAGTTTCCAGACAATAACTTGTGTTCAAGTGTATGGATCTCTCTGAAATTGTACTGCAAGGTACCATACCACAAAGGGAAGGCTGGGATTGAGTTTGGGGGTGATGAATCATAAGGGGGTTCAAAAAATTTGGGGGGGGGGATTTTTTTTTTTTCTTTTTTTTTCTTTTTTTCCTTTTTTTTTTCTTTTCAAATTTTCCATTTTAAGTTGGTTATTTCTGATTAATATTTAAAAGCAAATAATAATGATATGGTAGGAGATACACACCAAACAGGATGTGTAAATTATTATATAATAAGTATTGTGCAATAGCAAGAAATTTTCAATTGCACAGTATTGCACAATTGCAAGAAATCTTCAATTGCACAGTATTGCGCAATAGCAAGAAATCTTCAATTGCACAGTATTGTGCAATAGCAAGAAATATCCAATAGCACAATATTGCGCAATAGCAAGAAATTGTCAATTGTACAGTATTGCACCATAGCAAGAAATATTCAATTGCACAGTATTGTGCAAAAGAAGATACTTCGTATAAATTGCTTATTTCTTGATCAATTTCAATGGGGTTTTATTCTTGAATTCTTGGGGTTCTTTAATATGCTGAATCTAACCGTGTATTAAGTTTTTGGATTTTGGGCCCCGTTTTTAAATTGGTCCACATTGAGGTCAAAAGGGTCCAAAATTTAACTTTGTTTGATTTCATCAAAAATTGAATTATTGGGGTTCTTTGATATGCCGAATCTAACCGTGTATTTAGATTCTTAATTTTTGGTTCCGTTTTCAAATTGGTCTACATTAAGGTCAAAAGGGTCCAAAATTAAACTTAGTTTGATTTTAACAAAAATTGAATTTATAGGGTACTTTGATATGCTGAATCTAAACATGTATTTAGATTTTTGATTATGGGCCCAGTTTTCAAGTTGGTCCAAATCGGGGTCCAAAATTAAACTTTGTTTGATTTCAACAAAAATTGAATATATGGAGTTCTTTGATATGCTGAATCTAACCATGTATTTAGATTTTTGATTTTTGGGCCCCGTTATCAACTTTGTCCACATTGAGGTCAAAAGGGTCCAAAATTAAAGTTTGTTTGATTTCATCAAAAATTGAATTCTTGGGGTTCTTTGATATGCTGAATCTAACCATGTATTTAGATTTTTTATTTGTGGACCCGCTATCAAATTGGTTCATATTGAGGTCAAAAGGGTCCAAAATTGAACTTTGTTTGATTTCATCAAAAATTGAATTATTGGGGTTCTTTGATATGCCAAATCTAACCGTGTATTTAGATTTTTAATTTTGGGTCCCGTTTTTAAGTTGGTCTACATTAAGGTCCAAAGGGTCCAAAATTAAACTTAGTTTGATTTTAACAAAAATTGAATTCTTGGGGTTCTTTGATATGCTGAATCTAAACATGTGTTTAGATTTTTGATTATGGGCCCAGTTTTCAAGTTTGTCCAAGTTGGGGTCCAAAATTAAACTTTGTTTGATTTCAACAAAAATTGAATATATGGGGTTCTTTGATATGCTGAATCTAAACATGTATTTAGATTTTAGATTTTTGGCCCAGTTTTCATGTTGGTCCAAATTGGGGTCCAAAATTAAACTTTGTTTGATTTCAACAAAAATTGAATATATGGGGTTCTTTGATATGCTGAATCTTACCATGTATTTAGATTTTTTATTTGTGGGCCCGCTATCAAATTGGTTCATATTGAGGTCAAAAGGGTCCAAAATTAAACTTTGTTTGATTTCATCAAAAATTTAATTATTGGGGTTCATGATATGCCAAATCTAACCGTGTATTTAGATTTTTTATTTTGGGTCCCGTTTTTTAAATTGGTCTACATTAAGGTCCAAAGGGTCCAAAATTAGACTTAGTTTGATTTTAACAAAAATTGAATTTTTGGGGTACTTTGATATGCTGAATCTAAACATGTGTTTAGATTTTTGATTATGGGACCAGTTTTCAAGTTGGTCCAAGTTGGGGTCCAAAATTAAACTTTGTTTGATTTCAACAAAAATTGAATATATGGGGTTCTTTGATATGCTGAATCTAAACATGTATTTAGATTTTAGATTTTTGGCCCAGTTTTCAAGTTGGTCCAAATTGGGGTCCAAAATTAAACTTTGTTTGATTTCAACAAAAATTGAATATATGGGGTTCTTTGATATGCTGAATCTTACCATGTATTTAGATTTTTTATTTTGTGGGCCTGCTATCAAATTGGTTCATATTGAGGTCAAAAGGGTCCAAAATTAAACTTTGTTTGATTTCATCAAAAATTGAATTATTGGGGTTCTTTGATATGCCAAATCTAACCGAGTTTTTAGATTTTTAATTTTGGGTCCCGTTTTTTAAATTGGTCTACATTAAGGTCCAAAGGGTCCAAAATTAAACTTAGTTTGATTTTAACAAAAATTGAATTCTTGGGGTACTTTGATATGCTGAATCTAAACATGTGTTTAGATTTTTGATTATGGGACCAGTTTTCAAGTTTGTCCAAGTTGGGGTCCAAATTTAAACTTTGTTTGATTTCAACAAAAATTGAATATATGGGGTTCTTTGATATGCTGAATCTAACCATGTATTTTGATTTAGGACATTGGACCATAATAGGTAAATTAAAAAAATTCAAGTTCTTAGACCACATTCTTTCTGTGTCAGAAACCTATGCTGTGTCAAATATTTAATCACAATCCAAATTCAGAGCTGTATCAAGCTTGAATGTTGTGTCCATACTTGCCCCAACTGTTCAGGGTTCGACCTCTGCGGTCGTATCAAGCTGCGCCCAGCGAAGCATTTTATTAATTCATCAATTGAGGCCTAACAAAAATTTATCAAAATAAAAAAAAAATCACATCTGCAAGTGATTCTATGTACAAATCTTACATGTAGGGCATAAAAATACACTCAAGTTATTTATGTAAAAAGCACTTTTAAACTCAAACTGCCCTATGGAAGTTGTGGTCACATCAACATGAAAACTAAGTACTTAGTAGTAACCATGAAGTTTGTATATGACCATCGTCGTCCGAAGACATTTGGTTTCCAGACAATAACTTAAGAATAAGTGTATGGATCTCTATGAAATTGTACTACAAGGTTTGATACTACAAAAGGAAGGTTGGGATTGACTTTGGGTGTTATTGTCCTAACTGTTTAGGAATTAGGGGCAAAAAAATGGCCCAAAAAACAAGCTTTTTTCTTGTTTTAGGACAATAACTTGTGTATTAGTGTATGGATCTCTTAGAAATCGAACCACAAGGTTCCATACCCCAAAAAGAAGGTTGGGATTGATTTTGGGGGTATGACCCAAACCGTTTAGAAATTCGGGGCCCAAAAGGGGCCAAAAAACTAGAATTTTCTGGTTTCCAGACAATAACTTGAGTATAAGTCTATGGATCTCTCCGAAATTGTACCACAAGGTTCCATACCAAAAATGGAAGGTTGGGATTGATTCTAGGGGTTATGGCCCGAACCATTTAGGTAAAAGGGGCCAAAAGCAATACTTTTCTAATACTTTGTATAAATTGCTTATTTCTTGACCAATTTCAATGTGGTTCAAAGTCTTCAATTCTTTGGGTTTTTAATATGCTGAATCTAACCATGTATTTAGATGTTGGTTTTGGGCCCTGTTTTTTAATTGGTCCACATTGAGGTCCAAAGGGTCCAAAATTAAAAATTTGTTTGATTTCATCAAAAATTAAATTCAAGGGGTTCTTAAACTTTGATATGCTGATTCTAACCATGTATTTAGATTTTGGATATTGGACCATAATATTTAGGTAAATGTCCAATTTCAAATTTTTAAACCACATTCATTCTGTGTCAGAAACTATGCTATGTCTAATTTTTAATCACAATCCAAATTCTGAGCTGTATTGCGCGATTAATAGAAATTGTAAGTAGAGTCATTGTTAAAAATAGATACTGCATCAAATGTTATTTTAGAGAAGAAATTATGTATAAATATAGTTTGAAATTTACTGTTCATAATTAGATATTTTGAAAAATAATTCAAGGTAAGATTTATAGATTTTTTAAAGATTTTGTATTAATGAGGACTGATATTTTGGAAATTGTTTTTTATGCCCCCGCCATAGCGGAGGGGGCTTTAAGTTTGACCCTTGTCCCTTCGTCCCGAAATTGGTTTCCATTTTCTAACTTTAGTTTGCCTCAACCAAATGTTATGAAGCTTATACACAAAACACAAATAAAGTTTGAATTTGGGTGGTGTCACTTTTACCTGTCTAAATTTATGCCCTTTACAAATGGAAAAATTGCTGAATTTTTCGTTTCCTTTCTCTAACTTAAGTTTGCTTCAACCAAATGTTATGAATCTTATACACAATGCTTATTATCACAAAACACAGATTGAGTTTCAATTTTGGTGGTGTCACTTTTACCTGTCTAGAGTTATGCCCCTTTGCAAATGGAAAAACTGCTGAAAATTTCGTTGCTTTTAACTTAAGTTTACCTCAACCAAATGTTATGAATTTTATACCCAATGCTTATTATCACAAAACACAGATCAAGTACGAATTTGGGTAGCTTCTTTTTTACCGTTCTTGAGTTATGTCCCTTTATAACATTATATGTAAGGATATAATTTTTTACGAAACTTCATAGTAAAAGTGGCACAGTTTTAGCCTTTAAGGGAGTTCCTATGGGAAATTGCATTGTCTAAATTTACAGAAGTGCAAACTTTAAGTATTTTCCTGATGGACTTAGTTTTTTAACAGTTAACACTTACAGACAGTCTGGGATTAATTTTTTTAGACATGATACATTTGTAAGCCTTCATGGATTGTTATAAAACTTGGACAGAAGCTAATCTTCCAGACCAAGAAATAGCATCTAAAGAAAAATTAGATTTTTTTTTTAAATTCTGTATATTACTGATAATGGACTCACTTTTTAAGTCAACATTACACTTTTACACTGACAGCAGCAATTGCAGGCGAGACACAGGGTTCCGCGGAACCCCTTACAAAGTTTTTGATGAAGCGAACCCTTTAAAAACTTAGCTAATATATATTGTCCATTAATAAATAAATAAATTAAATTCTTGTTGACTTGGATATGCTGAATCTAATCGTGTATTTAGATTTTTGGATATTGGACCATAAAAGGTAAAAGTCCAATTTCAAATTTTTCAGTTCTTTGACCACATTCATTCTGTGTCAGAAACCTATGCTGTGTTGAATTTTTAATCACAATCCAAATTCAGAGCTGTAGCAAGCTTGAATGTGGTGTCCATACTTACCCCAACTGTTCAGGGTTCCACCTCTGCAGTAGTATCAAGCTGCACCCCATGGAGCATTTTATTCGTTATGATGTGAACTTAAGAATATTTCTTCACTAAAATTCTCTTTTTGTTTATTCAGAATTTAATTGTATTTTCAGAAGTCCAGTAAACAGCAGCAACACTGGGACTTTATCTGGGTAAGAAAATTAATGACTGATAATAAAGGTATAAAGTACTTGATAAAAACAGGTTTTTTCGAAATGAAAAATTACACATATTTAATGATTTCAGATTTTATCACCTTCTGACTTCTTTCAACTTTTAAAATTATAGCAATTAACATAACATAGTAAATTAATGCTTAAACCAGTTTAAAATACTTCTGACAAAGAAAAAAATTATTTATTGTTGTTTATTGATGCATAACATAAAGAACCATATTTGATCATGTATAATACACACTTTGTCTCGCCTTGACGGAGTCAAAAAGTGAGACATAGGTATGCTGTTTCTGGTTTCTCGGCGGCGGGGTCAACAATGTTTTAGTTTTGATTAGGTCTAGTTTATGGTGAACCACTAGTAGTAGGTCAATGATAGTTGGTATGCAGTTGTATTAGCATTGTCACATCTCATTTCCATGGAGATTATTTGGCCTTGCAGCCTTAGTCATGGTCTATTGACTTTGAAACGTTTGCTTAGTTTACATGTATTAGTCTGTGATTAGGTCAGTTTATGGGGAACCACTAGTGGTAGGTCAGTGATATTTGGTATGCAGTTTTATAAGCATTGGCACATCTCATTTTCATGGAGATAATTGGGTGCCGCCCCTTCATTCATGGTCTATTGACTTTGAAAATTTTGCTTAGTGTACATGTATTAGTTTGTGATTAGGTCAGTTTAAGGGGAACCATTAGTGGTAGGCCAATGTTAATTGTTATGCAGTTGTATTAGCATTAGCACATCTCAGTTCCATGGAGAATATTTGGCCCCTCCCCCTCAGTCATGGTCTATTGACTTTGAAACTTTTACTTAGTTTACATGTATTAGTTTGTGATTAGATCAGTTTTAGATAAACCACTAGTGTTAAGTCAATGATATTTTGCATGCAAATGTATTGGCATTTGCAAGTCTTGTTTCTATGGAGATTATATAGCCCCACCCCCTCATCATGGTACATTGACTTTGAAACTTTTACATAGTTTACAAGTTAATGTTTGTGTTTAGGTTTGTTTAAAGGGAAAGACTTATGATAAGTCAATGGTATCTCATTTCCATGGAGATTGCTTAGACATGTACCTTCAGTCATTGTTCATTGACTGAATATTTACACAACTTAGATGTTAAAGTATTGCTATTTTAATTTCAACATTTGCATTATCAAAATTGCAAAAATGCGAGACATATCTCTGTGTTAACAGTTTATTTACCCAAGACATATAAGAGGGGATGTGTTTTATACACAACTGTAGACTTTTTTTTTATTGATAATAACGTTTTTTTCTTCATAAAAATATATGCAAGATGTCTTTTTAGTTTATTTTATATATTTGAACATTGCATCAGTTTAGAAAAGCTTAGACAAACATTGATATCAAAAGAGATAACTAATTATTAACTTTACTTTTACAAAATTACTAAATGTTAATTAAATGATAAAAGCTCTACTATTTCATTGTTTATGACTTTAAATAAACTGATTAAACAAAAATATTACAACAAAGATTTAATTGAACAAACAAACTTATATATTATTTTTATCTTTCAATAGACTTTAATGAAGATTGAAAACATAGTTTATAAGTTCACTATCAAAAGTTCTTTACAGTGAAATAGACATTTTTTTTTAAAGATTTTTTGGAGGAACAAAAAGGGGTGTGTATTATATACAAATGCGTACTATACATGGCTAATTACGGTAAACATGACAACACATGCAATAAACCCAAATGATAGTAAGGAGTATAGAAATATTGTAAAATGCACTTTTTACTATCTGGCAGCAGAAACCATGTTAAAGTGGTGTCTGTTTAGCTGGGCAAAATGTATATAGACACTGTTACATTCAGTCGGATTAGGAATGTTAGATCTGAGGGAATGAGTTTGGAGTGTGCCATACTCTACCTATTTAAGGACCCTGAACAATATTTAAGATAAGGCCTCTGCATGATGAAATTGCAGGCTAGCAAAACCATTTTATTGTTTTTCTGATTTTCCTCATTTTGTATGAATTATATCTAAATAATGAATTATATTTAAATAATTTCATGACAAGAATGCTAGGTTTTGTTTTCAGGTAGACTGTATTAGTCTATTAGTCATTTGCTATTTACCACAATGTAGAATGTCATATTTCAGAAAGAATTCTGTTCTATATTAAATGAAATATTCTCAATATTATGACATCATATATAATACTTATTTGCATCTATTTTAGATTTTCCAAGGCAATTTTAGCAAATCTTCTGTCGGTCAAACCAGCTTTATGTGGTCAACCATTTGATTTGAAAGTAGATGATTTGAGATTTATAGGATTTCCTATGCTGTTGGACCAGTCTACCAAACAACAGACATCAGGCAAAATATCTCATCAGATTGGATCATTTAATATTGTCTTTGTTTTAAAGGTAGGCAACAGGCAAAATGTTACTGTAACACTATTTCCTTGCTGTTGACAAAACTTATAATGTTGTAAATTGCATGATTTAACTTTTATTTTAAAATGAATAACATCTATCTTATTATTATTCGTCATTCTGGTATCAGGTGAAAGTTTTGGTTTAAGGTACTTTAATCAAACTGTAAAAATCAGTGGAAAAATATTCTTGTTTTTTTCTTATTTCAGGCATCAGTTGATCAGTCTGTAATAAACTGTTATTTTGACCTGGTGAAACAACTAACAGCTGCTATTAAATATGAAGAGTCTCGGCGACAGTATTTATCAGCAGAAGCCAAAATAATGATATCTATACATGATGACATTGCTTCTCTTCCCGAAGGTACTTTATAGAAATTATGATAATTTATCACAAATAATTACAAATACATTTTAGCTCACGTGGCCCAAAGGGCCATGTGAGCTTTTCTCATCACTTGGCGTCCGTCGTCGTCAACTTTTTACATTTTGAACTTCTACTAGAGAACCACTGAATGGAATGAAACCAAACATTCCATGAATGTTCCTTATGAGGTGCTGACCAAGTGTTGTTACTTTGAAGCCGATCCATCATCCAAGATGGCCACCAGCGGGGGACTTAGTTTAACATAGGACCCTACGGGAAATACATACAAATGTCTTCTTTTAGAGAACCACTGAATGGAATGGAACCAAACATGGCATGAATGTTCCTTATGAGGTGCTGACCAAGTGTTGTTACTTTGAAGCCGATCCATCATCCAAGATGGCCGCCAGCAGGGGACTTAGTTTAACATAGGACCCTATAGGAAATATTTACAAATGTCTTCTTTTAGAGAACCACTGAATGGAATGAAACCAAACATGGCATGAATGTTCCTTATGAGGTGCTGACCAAGTGTTGTTACTTTGAAGCTGATCCATCATCCAAGATGGCCGCCAGCGGGGGACTTAGTTTTTAACATAGGACCCTATGGGAAATACATACACATGTCTTCTTTTAAAGAACCACTGAATGGAATGAAACCAAACATGGCATGAATGTTCCTTTTGAGTTGCTGACCAAGTGTTGTTACTTTGAAGCTGATCCATCATCCAAGATGACCGCCAGCGGAGGACTTACTTTAACATAAGACCCTATTGGAAATACATACGAATGTCTTCTTTCAGAGACCCACTGAATGGAATGAAACCAAACATGGCATGAATGTTCCTTATGAAGTGCTGACCAAGTGTTGTTACTTTGAAGCAGATCCATCATCCAAGATGGCCACCAGCTGGGGACAGTGTTTAACAAAGGACCCTATGGAAAATACATACAAATGTCTTCTTTTAGAGAACCACTGAATGGATTGAAACCATACATGGCATGAATGTTCCTTATGAAGTGCTGACTAAGTGTTGTTACTTTGAAGTTGATCCTTCATCCACAATGGCCGCCAGCGGGGGGACTTCCTTTAACATAAGACCCTATTGGAAATACATACAAATGCTTCTTCTAGAGGTGCACTGAATGGAATAAAACCAAACATGGCATAAATGTTTCTTATGAGGTGCTGATGAAGTGTTGCTACTTTGTTGCTGATTTACTGTTCAAGATGGCCACCAGGATTTTTTATTAAATTACAGGGCCAATATTAAACCTAATTTGACCTCACTCATTATTAGGGTATCTGTTATGATTTTGATCTATTTTAACATGATTTCCAAAACCAAAGTAGAATCAGGTGAGCGACACAGGCTCTTGAGAGCCTCTAGTTTTTTATTCCTTTATGCAAATTTAATATAATCAAAATGTAACAACCTAGCATAACAAAAAGCCCAAAAGACATTGAGAGGTTGATATATGGTCTTCGACAATAGTCAAGAGTCTATATAATATGTCAATCACTTGATTGCCTAGAGGTTAAAAAAATTGAAAAACAGCATTAAAAAATTACCCTTCAGATTAGTTATAAAAGAACTAATCCAAGCTTCACATGATGGATCCGTAGATTGTGTTGATTGTTGTTTTTGAATAATATTCTTATCAATCAACCAACATGGCTGCCATGGCTAGAAAAGAACATTGGATGTAAAAAGTTATTGTCTTATATCTTGAAAGCCATAATAGTTTAAACTCAATTTCTACCTTCTTTTTATTTGTACCAAAATTATCAGACAGGAGTTATTGCCCTTCATTAATTTTGACCAATTTTGGCTGTTTTCATAATTAATTTGAAAACTAAGATAGATAAAAAGAAACTGTAGACAGCAAAACTGATCAGCAATATAAGGTCTACTGAAAATTGACTGAACCATAATTTGACATCTTATAGGAGATATGGCCCTTAAATAATTATTTATAGATACACAGAAACAGTAAACATCAAAAGTGATCAACAATACAAAATTTACAAATAAGACTGAAACTGTCATTTGACTGTTTATTGGATTAATTGCCCTTAAATGACTATTTTTACCCATTTTTGTATCAAAGATCTTCCCCCTGAAACCAGTTTTGACATGAATGATCCTTAATGTGTTAAGATTTTAGTATGAGATTAATATTATGATCTATGGCTGCCATTTCTAAAAGTTTAACTTTAAATGATTGTTTAATATCTTTAAAACTGCAGTAAATAAGGGAAATCTGATAGGGGCAAAAATGTTGTGAAAATAAAGATAAATTTTTAATCCATCAAAATTTTCAGACAATTCCTTAATGGTGCTGGGGTTTATTTTTGTCTTGCTTCAGACGATGTGAGACAAATTGGTACTAATCTGGGTTTAAAATAGTAAAATTTGCTGTTCTGTGTTTTATTGTAAAGTTTTAAGAAAAAATTGTCCTGACTTTAGTAGCTGTTCAAGAGCCAATTCAATATATGTGTGAATATTTTTCAGATCAGATGCATTTCCCATATGATTTGATACAGACTAAAAGCTCTTTAGCAAGAGACTTAAAAACAGCATATGAAAGGTATAATTATGTTTGAGATTAGCCTTTATCTCATTACATTTAAACAAGAGATCTCTGTATTTTCACCCAACTCTTGGGTAAAATGAATGATAAATCCTGGAGGAAAAGTATCCAGATGTTGTCAGTAATGTTTGTTGTAGAAAGCTTGTCATTTTCCCCTTATTGTACCACTGCTTTCCAAAGTTACTTTGAAGTTTGTTCTAAACTTTCTTTTTTTATGCAACTTCCTCCTTCAGAAGAGGAGCACATCAAAGATAAATTCATAAAAAATGAAGACACTTTTTTCCACATGAGTGACAATATTCAATGATTTTTTTAGAAAAGCTTTTACACAAAGTAAGGTTCCTTGAAGAAAAGTTCCCTTTCTCAATTTTTACTATTTTTATTTTTGCCTTTAAAGAGTTACATATTTTTTTTTATTTGCTCATGACTTCACTTCTTACAAAAGACTTGGACTTGGAAAGTTTCATAAAAAATTGAACTTTTCCAGATTTGTTTTTTGTAATGAGTGCAGATCTAGAAGAGGAGGTGGGTGATTTTTGGAAAATAATTTTTAATGATGACTTGCAGATAAAATTTGTGCTTCTTTCTAACTGATGACTTTTGGCAGAATTACAACAGACTTTTCTTGATGAAGCTACAAGTGGGGGCATTCATGTTGTACTGTCACATCTAATTCAATTATTATAGATAAAATGGAATCTCAAGGTGAAAAATTAAAAAAAAATAATCTTAACAATGAACCAATTTCACATGCTAAGCAAAAGTCATATATCAATAAAGTCTTTTAATAGTTGTAATCAATTCACAATGGTTCTAATTTCAGTGTGAAAGACAAGGGAGTGGTACATTTATATATAAACAAGTGGATAGAAGTCACATTTTGTCTGCCACACAAAGTCCATTCCAAATCTTCTGCTGCCTTATCTGTAAAAGTAAATGTAAGTGTATACACAACATATGGTACGTAAATGAGTCAAAATCATTGATATTTATTTAAGCTTTTTGTCAAATCCAGGGTAATTTGCATTCATATATTGCTATCATGTCGTTGTCGTTTGGTTTCCGGACAATAACTTTAGTATAAGTAAATGGATCTCTATGAAATTTAATCACAAGGTTCAATAGCACATAAGGAAGGTTGGGATTGATTTTGGGGGTTATGGTCCCAACTGTTTAGGAATTAGGGTCAAAAAGGGGCCAAAAAAGGTATTTTTCAAGTTTCCGGACAATAACTTATGTATAAGTGTATGGATCTCTATGAAATTGTACCACAAGATTCCATACCACAAAGGGAAGGTAGGGACTGACTTTGGGGGTTATGGCCCAAACCGTTCAGGAATAAGGGGCAAAAAGGGGGGGAGGAACAAAGTTTTTCTGGTTTCAGGACAAATACTAAAGTATTAGTTCATGGATCTCTATGAAATTGTACCACAAGGTTCCATACCACACTCAGAAGGTTGGGGTCGATTTTGTGGGTTGTGGCTTTATTCGTTAAGAAACTAGAGGCCAAATAGGGGCCAAAAACAAGACTTTTCTAATACTGGCTAAGCTGGTTCTAACATAAATTATTTCTGATCTATATAAAGAAACAACAAATACTGATATGGTAGGAGATACACACCAAACAGGGTGTGTAAATTATTATATTTAGTTTGTAAACAGATTTACTAAGTATGGCGCAACAGAAAAGTATTTCACAACAGCAAGAAATCTTCAATCGAAAATAAATACAAATCTTTTAACCAATTTCAATGAGGATTAATTTAAAGTCTTGAATTGTTTGAGGTTTTTACCATGTATTACTATATTGGATATTTGGACATTTTTAAATAGGTCTACATTGTGGTCCAAAGGGTCCAAAATTAGACTTTGTTTGATTTCATCAAAAACTTAATTCTTGTGGTTCTATGATATGCTGAATCTAACTGTGCATTTAGATTTTTAAATTTGGGCCCTGTTTTCAAATTAGTTCATATTAAGGTCCAAAGGGTCCAAAATTAAACTTTGTTTGAATTCATGGTTTTTTTTATATGCTGAATCTAACCATGGAATTAGATTTGGATATTGGACCATTAAGTAGATTAAATGTCCGATTTCAAATTTGTAAGTTATCTGACCACATTTATTCTGTGTCAGAAATCTATAATGTGTCAAATATTTAATCACTATCCAAATTCAGAGCTGTATCAAGCTTGAATATTGTGTCCATACTTGCCCCAACTGTTCAGAGTTCGACCTCTGTGGTCGTATCCAGCTGCTTTTTTAAAATTTTAGAATCAAGTTTTACTGAAAAATAACTCATGAGATTTGATATTAAGCCATAAACTACTGTGACCCACATTAAGATCTCATTCTGTAACAATTTTATTATTTGGATTTGCTTATACGCCTCAGGCATCAGCCATTTGATTTTAATGTAAAAAAACAAACTTACATTGTATATTTTAGTGAAAATTGAATCAAAAATGATCCTTACAAATGATTTTGTTTCCTGTTTCAATCCAGTTGGACTTCTATCAGATTTTTTTTTAGATTTGATTATCCAACAAACAAGCAGTATGAAAGTTATCAAACTAAAGAGATTCCCAGTATTAGACACACAAATCGGAAAAGTTTAGTTGATTATGCACTTTTTTCTTTTGTTCTTGTGTAATACTTAAAACAGTACAGTAAAGAAATGTTGTTTTGAAAGGTTTCATGTTTTTTTTTTTTTAATTTCGCTATATAAAAGGACAAACCTGTTCTTGTGGTTTTATATTTTTAAAATTTTTTTTGTCTTAAAGATCAAATTTATGCAAGGATATTTTGGTGATTTGATTTTAACCTCAAAATTAGTGAAAATAAACCCCTCGCAAAAATTTCCCACTTAACAGTATCACTCAGTTACAAACCTTTTCACCTTAGTCTATTAAGTACATTTAAAAGAGTATTTAGAAAGAAAAAGACAAACAGACTTTAAAAACAAACAAATTATTTCACATTAGAATACACACTTCATATCATTGTCAATTTCTTTTTTATCTAGCCAGAAGTAATCCAGAGATGTATAGAAGCTTTAAGGTTAGTACAACAATGTTACTTATGAATAAAATAAGATGTGGGCTATATGTTAATGAGACAACAAACCGATGATATAAATAACTAAGACATAAACCAATGATATAAATAACTAAGACATAAACCAATGATATAAATAACTAAGACATAAACCAATGATATAAATAACTAAAACAACAAACCAATGATATAAATAACTAAAACAACAAACCAATGATATAAATAACTAAGACATAAATAACCAATGATATAAATAACTAAGACAACAAACCAATGATATAAATAACTAAGACATAAATAACCAATGATATAAATAACTAAGACAACAAACCAATGATATAAATAACTAAGACATAAATAACCAATGATATAAATAACTAAGACAACAAACCAATGATATAAATAACTAAGACAACAAACCAATGATATAAATAACTAAGAAATAAATAACCAACACATTTAGAAGTCAACATACAATCTTAAACAATTCAACAATAAAGAGGTGTCTTTACAATATGTCTTAGTCTAAAAATAATTGTGAAAAAGTAAAACAGAAATCATAAATGATATGACATATCACAACCATTGATGAGATTCCTGACTTATAACAGGCACATGAAGATCTGGCAGGTTTGAATAAGTCATATATTTTAAGATCTTAACCTACCCCTCCCCCACTCACTGAAAACAACTTTAAATGTAGAAACACTAGCTAGATATGTTTAACATCAATGTCAAATAACAGCATTCAGCTGTAATTCATCTTGAAAATATTTTTTGATATGAAACATTGAATATAGACTGTTTCAACACACATTTGTGGGTTCTCTCTTGTCAGGAGCTAATAGATATTTTATTCTGTACATGTATACTTTGAGGCAAATCTCAACAGGAAAATATTAAGTTACTCTTTAATAGGTCTCATAATATTGACATCTGAATTCTAATGGATAAGGTGATGCCTGTGAAAAAGAAAATAAAACTTAGAAATCCTAAATTTTAGTAGCTACTTTTTATAGCTATTAATTTCATTTATTCACCAAGAGACTTAATTTATCAACAGACCTTACCATGGAGTGTTATTACTTGTGGATGGACAGAATTTGTTGGATACTTTGTCAACAGATTGCACACCAGCTCTGAACAGACTTATCAATGTCATTATTCAGCAGCCAGTCAGAAGTTTACAGATCATAGCATTAGAGGCTGACCTTAGTTTATCACAGGTATATATATAACCTCTTCACTTATAAAGTTATTATTAGGTCAGTGTTTACAGATCATAGCATTAGAGGCTGACCTTAGTGTGTCACATGTACATAACCTCCTTACTTATAAAGTTATTATTAGGTCCATGAGAGATAAAGCCATCACTTTGCATTTGCTGTACATCACCTTGGGGTATGTAAACAATGATAAAAATCTGTATTTTGAACCAAACTAACTGACTCACCAAAATGATTTCTTCTTCAAAATGTATGTTAGGATCTCCTACTGACACACCAATATGACCTTAAATACTAAAATTCAGACATGAGTAAAAACTTTTATTATACCTCAGTATGTTTTATTCTATATCGAAAAGAATGAAATATTTGTGCTATTTCATTCCACAGACTATTTGCCAGTTAATAGTCTCAAAGACTATTACCACTGTCAAAAGTTTAATAAACATATATCCCGTACTTTTTCATACTAATTTTTCATTGGACAACAATGACGTCATTGACTATTCTGCTTGGATTTGTGTGCTTGGCAACGTGAACTATGAAATATCGTAAACGGTATAATCTGTATGTGTCTGTCGTCATAATTTCAAATTAATATAATACCAGAAGCAATTAAAAAAGAAAATCTACATGACATATTTTAAGAACTAAACATAACAAATATATGATATGGGTCTGTCGTCGTCTTCATAATCTGGGATTGTTTTGGTGTATAAATGGTAATATATTTTAACTAGCGTTAATTATATGCACGGGAATTTTTACACAAGGATTCCTGATCTTGATTAAAGTAAATAAAATATTGACAAATACCACACGGGCAAAATAAAACCTGATAGTTCATCTTGTGCATGTTTATATGACTATTTGGTTTTTTTCCAAATGGTGTATTTGGTCTGTTTAGAAAGTTGTTTTGTTCGTTATAATAAAACACTTAATGACTGGTAATGAGTGTAATAGCAAGTTTATTGTCCCTTTGATACCAACTATTGACCTCGGCTTCGCCTCGAGCAATAGGTGGTATCTCAGGGACAACAAACTTGCTATTACCCTCATAACCAGTCAAAAGGTATATAATGTTACTGCTATCAGTCTTATACTGAGAAGAGTGTGTATTTTTCAAACTGAAACATGAATTAACAAACCCCTTCTCTGATACTTATCATATTTAATTTATAGGTATTCCAGCTTGTTAGTCATCTTGTATACTGGGGTAAAGCTACAATTGTGTATCCATTATGTGAAAGCAATGTGTATTTACTGTCTCCAAGTTCTAATATCAAAATGTAAGTATTTGTCTTTATAGTTAAGAAATGAAAAATTGTCACCAAAATAGAAAAAGTAGATGATGTATGTGATAGATTGCTTACATATATATATCATGTAAATAATGATACCAAAGATAATTTGAATTATTTTGTTACTGATACTTAAGCAGATTCTGCTATGAAGGCAACATTCAGGACTTCTATTTTTAACAAAACAATGTTAATGAAAGAATAAGTTTAATAAATAATGGTATACAAACATTTTTTAAAGTACGACATAGACAGAGTGAATTACTTTATTAAAATGTAATGGATAAAAAAAATTGAAATAGAAAATATTGATTCTGTTCTATTAGGTATTCAAACGAAAACTGTTAAAATTTGATATAAGGAACTTAATAATTCTTTTAACCAAATTCTGTATTTATAGAATCAAACTATCACAGGAACAAACCAATATAATAGCCCTGAAAAATTATTTAAAAGAAAACTTTTTAATAGAAAAAAATATATTTATAGAAATGAATCATTTATTGTCATGACAACATATATTATATAAAATATGCATTACCTTTTCAGTATGGAAGCTTATGTTGTGCAATCATATTCTGCTCTCTTGAAATGAGATTTAGTTGTGTTCATATATGTGTTTGTCGTTTATCTTGCCGTTGTATTTCTTTTGCCTTTGTACTGTATTTCTCTTTATAAGAATTCAAATATTATGTATAAAACGTATATTAATAAGTTTCAGTGCAGATAAAAGAAATTCATTACAAAAACAATTATAGTTTTTAGAATCAGTAATGCTTTGAAAAGCAAGTTATATTTGATTTTACAGGAATTCTAAGATTGCAGAAGAATTTGTACAGCTCTTTCCTGGACGATCTTTAGCAGTCGAGTTGTCTGAATTTTCTTATCCTACAAAGTTATGGGATACACAGGACATGTTGAATAAACAACAAAAGCAACAGGTAAGCAGGATACACAGGACATGTTGAATAAACAACAAAAGCAACAGGTAAGCGGGATACACAGGACATGTTGAATAAACAACAAAAGCAACAGGTAAGTGGGATACACAGGACATGTTGAATAAACAAAAAAAGCAACAGGTAAGTGGGATACACAGGACATGTTGAATAAACAAAAAAAGCAACAGGTAAGTGGGATACACAGGACATGTTGAATAAACAAAAAAAGCAACAGGTAAGCAAGATACACAGGACATGTTGAATAAACAACAAAAGCAACAGGTAAGCAATGGATTGCTATGTATGAAAGCTTGACATTTTCAGGAACAAATTTGATGAAATGTAGAAAACATATGTTACAAAAGATATTAAAGATGACACAGTTTATGTATCGTTATTGTTATGAATTTACAGATTTGTTTATAATTAAGATCAACAGAATAAAGAGGGAAAAAAAAGAGGTCAATCAAAGACTAAAAGACTACTTTTTTTTAAAGATGACTTGCCATCTGTCTATATACCTCTGCCTCCTCAATATTTGTTCAATGCAAGGTTGTTTATAGTTTCAATCCATACTTTAAATCTTTTTTTTTTTTGTCAAAAACTGAGGTGCCTTTCAATGATTTTATGGATGAAAAGCATTCATTAAATAAAACATTGTGCAGCCAAAAGTTATATTCTGGTAAAACAGATGTCTTTTATTTCATAGTGAGATAAAATATTTTAAGTTAACTTAACATAATTAAATTGTCTTGACTCAATAGAAATTAACAAGAATATATTCACCAGGAAGTTCATATAAAGAAATCCTGTTTTGTGAGAACCTACTATATTGGATCTTAAGTCTTTCAGAAATGCTCATTCTTGTAGCTTAAAGACTTGAATTTATACTTCAGGAAGAGAAAGTTAGTATGGTGGTATGGTTATTACAGCATGGATTGATACACCAACTACATACCTATGTGTTTCTGATGCCACCACTTAAATCCAGGCTTTGTGTAGAGGACAGAACATCTAGTTTCTCTGATGTAGCATCAGGTAGGTGGTCAAGATGATTACATTTTCATGATAATTTAAGATCATTTGAATTGTGTTAGAAAAGAGAGGCAAAAGATACCAAAGGGACATTCAAACTCATAAGTCGAAAACAAACTGACAACGGCATGGCAAAAAACGAAAAAGTACCAAAAGACAAAACAACAGTATACAAAACACAACATAGAAAACTAAAGACTGAGCAACATGAACCCCACCAGAAACCAGGGTTGATCTCAGGTGCTTCAGAGGGGGAAAAAAGCCTGCTCCACATATGGCATCCATAGAAAAGTTCCATATTCAACCTAATCAAGTTCCATAAAAAAAGAACAATGTGGTTATCTTATTAATAAAATTGGAGAAACAAAATTTCCTCTTTACTGGTCTGTTTTTGCAGGCCTGTCAAGTCATTCAATTTCAGTAAGCAGATTATACTTAGAAATTCAATCCACAACTAAGTAATCTTGTCATCTATCCAGTTATCAAAAGAGAGATTTTAAAATTACCAACTTCTCATTTATTCTGGTGATAGACACTTTTATAGGCCTTGGTTACTTTATTGGTCTCCCAAATGAACATATAATGCTCTGGGTCTGCAATTAAAATTGTGAATAGACTTATTAATAGTGCCATAATATGATTTGGATGTATTATAGAATAATAATTATACCTCTTGAAAATATAAATTACTGTAAATTTAGAAATTATTGCGATGTTTTGTTAATGTGAAAAATGCGACAGTATCAGGTTTGCAATAATATAAACTCACATTCATAATATCAGTTGTGATTTTTCTTCATAAAATTTTTACAATCACATTAATTCAATTTCACATTTTTGACAGAGGTCAAGGATATGCAATAATAAATTCACGCATTAATTTCTGAATTTACAGTAATTGAAAAAAAGAGACATAAGTGCTCTCACCCTTACTGTTCATGACAGATTTTGATAAATTTATATGAAAGGTCATGAAGACAATATTTCAATCAAGTTTAAAAAGAGTAGATGATTGACCTAGGATGTGGCAAATTGCCTTGTGAACACTATCACTCATTCAGTTCTTGATAGGTTTTGATTAAATGTATATGAAAGATTTATCAACAATATTTCTTATCAAGTTAGAAAGCCAATGCTGATCAGAAAATTTCAAGGGTAATATTGCCTTAACACATGAAATGTATAAAGGTATGTTTAAGTACAATTTTCATTGAAGTTTGAGTGTCATAATTGCATTAAAAGTAGGTCAACCATATCAAAATGCAAACTTGATCTTAACAAGATACTTACCAAAGATTTGCAAGGAAGACCCAAAGGAAAAATAAATCTTCTTAAAATGTTCTCTTGTTTGATGCGTATAGCTAACCATTATTCAACTACATTATTCAAGCTAAAATCAGCTCAGTATCTGCTCATATGACATAAGTGTGTACAGCAGATTTATTTTCTGAACGATAAAACAATATGCCTGAGTTACTTAGTATTGAAATATATTGAATTAACCTCCTTTAGGCATATAATCAAATGTGATTCTAGCATATTGCTTGACATAGGGTACTGTTGATTCATTATTCGTAGGATATCAACTTTCATGGATTTCATGGGTTATAGGTAAGACACAAATTTAAATGTTCACATATTACAAATTTTCTATAGGCTAGAATACAGACTTTAGCAAAATCATGAAATCAAATATCTACAGAAATATAACATTTCCTCTATCCATGAAAATTGGTATCCATGAAAATAAAATGAATCCACAGTATATCAGCTATACATTATTGATCAGTTATAAAATCTTAGATTTGGTGACAAATGAAGTTGATGTTAAGTAAGAGTTCAGATTAAAATACAAATCGTATGTCCATGCTTTGCTGACATACAAGGATCTGAACACACTTCGTTCTAACTTCTGGTCTTGGTAAAATGAAATTTTGTTTATAACAGAATAATTTAATTTTGGATGTAACACGTCTTCTGATTGGCTGAAAGTGTTTTGTCTATCAGCTCATAGACATAATTTTGTCATGTGACCGTGACGTCACCAACGTTTTTTTCAAAATTTTCTCCTTAGAAATGGAATTTAGAATTAAATTTTATAATGAATGACAGTAATATTTTTTCTGTCTATTCAAAATAACCTAAAAAATGTGGTGCACTTTTTTAAATAAACGGCTACGCGGGTTATTCAGTGTGCACCACATTTTTTATGTTATTTCTTCATAGACAGAAAAAATATTACAGTCATTCCTTAAATGTAGAATGGAGCATTGTCAGATCCTTTGTATGTGAAGCTTGGACACAGATCAGATTGTGTAAATATTTTATGTAATATTGTCTTATTGACTTTATATGGTTTTAAATTTTTTTAACTGTTTTCAGTAAACAGTGATGAGAGTCAGCTCCATTACCAGTCTCCGTCTTCTGAACTGGCAAGTGATGGATCTTTTATATCTGAAGAGATAAAAGGCTTTATGCCCATGGAAGACACAATGTCTAAATTGACGAGAGAGGAGCAAGACTACATGCTTAATTTATCAGCTGCAAAAAATACAGATGATTTAAGACTATTTCTAAGGTAATTGATTTGTTTTTCACATGATAATAAAGGCAATAATGATTGTATACATGTTTAGCCTTTAAGTACAGATATATGGATGAAGAAACTGGTAAACAGTGTTGATTATATATATAGACATAAAAGAGCATATCATGATTTGACTGCTTTAATTCCTCAAGGGTTTCATAAATATTTTACAAAGCAAATGAGTTGCAGATAGGATGCATCAAAATCAGACTTAATTGAGAGAGGTCAAAATTTATGATGTTCGCCCTTTTGGCCCAGTGCAGTTAAGAAAGCAGAATAACTGCCCAAACCTAAGTAAAAATATGAGAGAAGAGATTTTTATAAGGAATTTGGAAAAAAAACTTTAACGATTGGATTAAAAACTCTTTAGACAATTTTAGAGTTACAACCCCTTTTGCCCCTTTGAGCCTGGAAACAGAAAGAGTTACGCAAAATCTGGTCAAAATATGCATGCAGGGATTTTAATGAGGATTCAAACTTCGAAGTAAAAAAAAATTTGATTTGCCTTTTACAAAACAAGTTGGCCACAAATATGGGGTTAGTAAGGAGTTACTTCCCTTTCAAAACAAAAAAAACAGACGAAGAAATTGATAATGAACGATTGAAATAAATTCATAAAACAAATTTTAAGCTAACAAGTTGTTATTGTTGGCATTTGTTTTTTGTATAGACAAATGGAAGTAGTTTCTTAATACTAAGTATTGAAGACTTAATCACTTTGATAGGCTACTAGTCTAAATACTACATGTGAAGATAGTCGGTAAGATAAATTCGTTACACAGTGTGCTAGTGACCTAATACCATATATATGGAGTCAGTAAATTCCATGTGGGGATTCAAGCTTTGCTCTCACCCCATATGGAATTTACTGACCCCATATATATCGTATTAGGTCACTAACACACTAACTAATATTATACCATTGTAACTTGCAAATGTCAAGGTAACTTTTTGAATTACCTGTGATATGAACCTCTGCTTTTAGTGGGGGTTGTCAAGCATCACATATGGATATTTCAAAACTTTATTTTATTTTATTTTTTCAGGCTGTGTCCTTACTTTGATGGCCTGCATCATTTTGAAGAGATTATGTTTTATGAAGACCTTACACGTTCACAGCTTCTGACTTTACTGGACAAGTTTCAGGATGTTCTAATAACATGTCAGTATCCTGACCAAGCTACGATATTTAATTCATCCTGAGTGCAAATTTATAAAGGAAATAGACAAGAATCTCAAATTAACTGGAGGATTGTGCAATACTTGTAATTTATTGCTTATGACTTATGTGATCAATTATGAAATTATTATTATCAATTAGGAGTTGATACAGATTTAATCAGTGAAATTATTTGATAAATTTTACTATATTTTACATACAACATGTAAATGAAGATATTGAACGACTGGTTTGATTGGGATGTGTCTCATATGACAGAACTGGATACAAGGACACGAAATTTATAAACAAGGGAATTGAAATTGATTACCATAGAAAGGAGGAGAGAAGCTTTTTATCCTGAAGTGTATAATTCAGATTAATCAAGGTTAATGACCAGGAAGACTACACGATATCATGAGGTGATTTGATTTGCTGGGTATTATCAATTATATAATTAGGATAAAAAAGGAGAGGTATGATAAGACACATTAATAGATAAATTAGTAATGTTTTTCAAGCCTTTGAAAATTATGTTAATTTTATTGATAAATGAATAGGATATGATCTGGACTCTCATGTGCAGAAAGGTCACTTGTGATGGAATAAACATGTTGAAGTTGACTTATTCAACCTAAAATGGCCATTTCATTCATAGTTGTTTGTCAAAATAAGATATGAACCAAAGCCTTACCAAACAAAAGGCTCCCAAGAGACTGAATTACTCACCTGGTAAAAATATGCAATTTTGATATTTATTTTACATTTATTGCAATAAATCATATTTGCTCAATTGTAAATCTTATTTAGTGGTATTTGTGTAGATCTTGTATTGATTTTCATTTAAACCAGTTTATACTTTAAATACATGTGACTTATCTTTTAAAATTTTTGAAATAGTTGTCAAAATTATAGAAATAAGTAAAAAATGATCATTTAAAGGCAATAAATCCTATGAAGATTTACAATATGGTTGTGTTAAATTACTTGTATATCTTATTTTGATGATCTTTTTTTATATCTTTGACAAAAATGCAAAAGAAATGGGTAACAATCATCACTCTTGAAAAATAACTCCCTATTTAGAGTCTGAAAATTGATTTTCATTGTTTCTGGTACACAATCAAACAGATAAGCTGTAATCTGTTTAGTATTCATTTGTTAATAAAACGATTTCATCATTATGGTATCACAAATCCATGTTTTTTTTATTTTAAGAAGTAGTCCAACTATGTATGGCAGAAGACCAACAAGAAGAACGATTCATATAATTGTGTGCAAATAAAGGCATTACCATTTCAAGATATAAAGAATTTGTATTTGGATTCCAAGATATGCCAAACTAGTGTACTCAAAGATAAAACAGATATAGTATATGTCTAAAGTTGACTGTGTCATAGTTAACCATTTCAAGATATAAAGAATTTGTATTAGGATTCCAAGATATGGTCCGAGTACACAGTTATTTCGTAGTGCATTTCTTTTAGACAATAAATGAAAATTAAAAAAATCCCACCTGCGCTTTCTCAATAATATTTTTACAGTGTGTTGTACTACTTTTGGGACAAATTATATCAAAATTATAGAAAACTTCATCGGCTCTAACTCAAAATATTGACAATTTCATGCTAAGGGGGTCTTCAAATCTTTTGACAGCTTTCGAAGTGCTAATTTTTAACACTTTTCAGCTGGACCAAATCACTACTTTACTTTAAAATTCATGACCCAAATTTTTTTACAGTGTCATTTCACCCCCCTACTTACTATTGAAGTCATAAAACATGGAGAAATAAATTTGGAAGAGGTATAAAAAAAATCGACAAGTAACACACTGTCCACACTAGGGACTATATTCATGGACAACGAAAATCAAAGGACGATAACTGTGTACCCGGACCTAATAGGGTAGAAAAAGTTGACCAATCGTAATGAAACTTGGGATGACCAAAGCTTATTGAATTATAAGACTGCTTACAAAGTTTCATGGCAATAGGATATATATTATAGACAATATGACTAATTCTATATTCAACTTTGCGTGTAAAATTTAGACGTTAAAATTGAAAATTTTCAACTATCAACATTTGGGGCTTAAAAAATTAAAATATTGCAAAAAAATACTTTTGAAATGCCTTAATATATAATATATTATGTATTAAAAGCAATAGAGTACTCATTTGATTTATCAGACTTATCATAACTATTAAAAAGTCAAATTTATATGAGCCTGTGGCTAAAAATGGAGGTTTTCCAATGAAGGGGGGGCCTTACATGAAGATGTAATATTTTCCAGCAATTTTAAATTTGTATAGCTTTTTGGTTATAAATAATCCTTACATATGTATTTAATGTACTTTAAATGGAAAGAAAACTTACAAATAACATATCACATTAGTTTAAAAGGGTCTTAGGCCAAGTAAGACTGAAAATAATTTAGGGTCAATTTAGGCCGTATCACATATTTACATTTAAAAATGCATATTGAAGCTATAGGAAATAAAATTTTGTGTCTTTTCTATCATTTCTATACTCAGGTGACATGATACAATAAATCTGAGCACAAAAAGACTCTTGCATTCAACTTTTTTTGCAGACAGTATGGTCTGATACAAAGATTTTTCACTTTTTAGTGAAAAACATGCATGCGATTTTAGTCTCAACAGTCTTATATTTGAACCACTTGCTATTCTACAGAAGAAAAGAAAGATATTATTTGACATAAAACAGGTACAAAAGACATTGTTAAGTGCTTTTTATACAAATTTAGTGAGGTCTTTATAATGGACTTCAACTTTTATGTTCCAAGCTCCTCACATTTAACTTGATCCAAACAGGGCGTTAGACGAGGATCATATATACAACACATTTTGCACATATTGTCCGAGATAATCTTCTTTTCTGTAGATTCCGAGTTCACAAATGAGTAATACAACTGGATTGAAGCATAGAAACCCAAATATTGACACATAAAAACCTGTCAGATAGAAAGTCAGAATGCCACTTATGCATCAAAATTGAAAAAGCTATGAAATGCTTATTTTGACCATAAAATGCCAAAATTGGTCATTTTTGCAGAAATTCTATCAAATGAAAGTTTAAATCCTTTAGTTTTATGCTATTTGATAAATTGACACCATCAAAACATTCAGGGAAGTTGCCATAGTACAGATTCTATATTTCCTGATTTCACCTCTTAGGTCCGAGTACACAGTTATTTCGTAGTGCATTTCTTTTAGACAATAAATGAAAATTAAAAAAATCCCACCTGCGCTTTCTCAATAATATTTTTACAGTGTGTTGTACTACTTTTGGGACAAATTATATCAAAATTATAGAAAACTTCATCGGCTCTAACTCAAAATATTGACAATTTCATGCTAAGGGGGTCTTCAAATCTTTTGACAGCTTTCGAAGTGCTAATTTTTAACACTTTTCAGCTGGACCAAATCACTACTTTACTTTAAAATTCATGACCCAAATTTTTTTACAGTGTCATTTCACCCCCCTACTTACTATTGGAGTCATAAAACATGGAGAAATAAATTTGGAAGGGGTATAAAAAAAATCGACAAGTAACACACTGTCCACACTAGGGACTATATTCGTGGACAACGAAAATCAAAGGACGATAACTGTGTACCCGGACCATATGCCGATCTAGTGTACTCAAAGATAAACAGAACTAGTATATGTCTAAAGTTGACTGTGTCATAGTTCAAAATGTCTGCTAGTCATGTTTGTCTGTACGTTTGAAAGTTTTGTAAGCTGATACATGTAGGATCAATAAGGAGGCCTCAGATGTAAACAACATGGAATCTTCATTTTAACGACAAAACAAGTCAAATGCCGTTATAGCCTATTACAATTTGTTTTGGTTAGATATGATATTTGGAAAATAACTTTAACATGAATATGCACCTATAACCATAAACTGTTTTTGAAAATGGCACTTTGTCATTTCCTTTCAATAACTTATGAACCCTTCTACCAATGGTTTTCAAATTATAATACTGATGAAAAAATTTATGTAGAGTTCAATATTGATGATTTTCACTTTTGCCATTCAGGAGTTCTGGTCCTTGATAGATTGGAAAAGAGGTATAGAATGTAGAGGTCAAAAAAGCCTGAAAGATACTTTCAAAATACTGATATTTGACAACTCATTCCTTGTTTTATTTTCTTTCAAGTAGGACCTTATAACTTTTCAACATTACTACCTACCATAAAATGCAGGTCAAGTTTGATTTTCACTGTTGCTGCAATAACTGTTCAAGTGTTGAATTGTCCCGTAATGGTAAAATTGATGGTATCCAAATGATAAAACTAATTTGATTTGAAATAAGATATTGTAGGTTTTTGTTTTTTGTTTGTTCAACATCCTAAGGGAATAAATGTTGGTTGTGTTAACATTTTACTTGTTTTTGTCGAGCCTGCGACTTTTGTCACAGAAAGCTCGACATAGGGATAGTGATCCGGCGGCGGCGGCGGCGTTAGCTAACTTCTTAAAAGCTTTATATTTTAGAAGGTGGAAGGTCTGGATGCTTCATACTTTGTATATGGATGCCTCATGTTACGAAGTTTCTGTCAGTCACATGTCCAATGTCCTTGACCTCATTTTCATGGTTCAGTGACTACTTGAAAAAAAAGTTAAGATTTTTTGTAATGTTAGATTCTCTCTTATTATAAGTAATAGGATAACTATATTTGGTATGTGCGTACCTTGCAAGGTCCTCATGCCCGTCAGACAGTTTTCACTTGACCTCGACCTCATTTCATGGATCAGTGAACAAGGTTAAGTTTTGGTGGTCAAGTCCATATCTCAGATACTATAAGCAATAGGTCTAGTATATTCGGTGTATGGAAGGACTGTAAGGTGTACATGTCCAACTGGCAGGTGTCATCTGACCTTGACCTCATTTTCATGGTTCAGTGGTTATAGTTAAGTTTTTGTGTTTTGGTCTGTTTTTCTTATACTGTATGCCATAGGTCTATTATATTTGGTGTATGGAATGATTGTAAGGTGTACATGTCTAGCGGGCAGGTGTCATCTGACTTTGACCTCATTTTCATGGTTCATTGGTCAAAGTTAAGTTTTTGAGTTTTGGTCTTTTTTTCTAATACTATATGCAATAGTTCAACTATATTTGGTATGTGCTTACCTTGCAAGGTCCTCATGCCCGTCACACAGTTTTCACTTGACCTCGACCTCATTTCATGGATCAATGAACAAGGTTAAGTTTTGGTGGTCAAGTCCATATCTCCGATACTATAAGCAATAGGTCTAGTATATTCGGTGTATGGAAGGACTGTAAGGTGTACATGTCCAACTGGCAGGTGTCATCTGACCTTGACCTCATTTTCATGGTTCAGTGGTTATGGTTAAGTTTTTGTGTTTTGGTCTGTTTTTCTTATACTGTATGCCATAGGTCTACTATATTTGGTGTATGGAATGATTGTAAGGTGTACATGTCTAGCGGGCAGGTGTCTTCTGACCTTGACCTCATTTTCATGGTTCAGTGGTCAAAGTTAAGTTTTTGAGTTTTGGTCTTTTTTTCTAATACTTTATGCAATAGGTCATCTATATTTGGTGTATGGAAATATTTTATGATGTACCTGTCAGTCTTGCAGGTTTTATTTGACCTTGACCTCATTTTCACGGTTCATTGCTCAGTGTTAAGTTTTTGTGTTTTGGTCTGTTTTTCTAATACTATAAGCAATAGGACAACTATATTTGTTGTATGGAAGGATTGCAAGCTGTAGTACATGTCTGCCTGGCATTGTTCATTGACCTCATTTTCTTGGTTCATTGGTCAATGTTTAGTTTTCTTGGTTAAGTCTGTATCTTAGAAACTATAAACAATAGGTCAACTATATTTAGTGTATTGAATGATTGTAAGGTGTACATGTATTTCTTGTTTGGTTTATATGACCTTGACCTCATTTTCTTGGATCATGTTAAGTGTATGTGATAGTTGTAGTAAAGCTTTATATTTAGGACTATCAACATAATATCAATGATTAGTAAAGAAGGCGAGACATTTCAGCGTGTGCACTCTTGTTTTAAGGAATGCACTGATTTTTGGTGTAAAGTTGCATATTGGCTAGCCACAAATAAGCTTTGAATATTCTTTTTGATGAATTGTTTCAGATTGAATAATGATCCTCCAGGTCATGTTCTAATAAATGGCATGATGATACATGTTGTACCATTATGTAGTTGCTATCTGTGTATTTAAGTATTCTTTCATAGAGTAGTGGCATGGAATACATGCAAACCATAAAATCTATAAAAAAAGTTTTTCTTTTTATTATTTAACATTGGTTGAACAACATGTTATAATGGAATACCGGTAGTCCGAAGTAGTTTTTACATTGTTGTAAACATACATGTAATTTTATTAAAACTATTTATAAAAAAATTAACAGAATAATTGACATAAGAATACATGAATCTAAATGCATTGTACATTTACAATAAAACATTAATATATCATGATACAAGTAATTTGGCAGCAAATGATCAACATAGAATTTTCAAAGAATTTCTTTGCATTGTAAACTACTCATGGATTTTTTTCTTTTTTTTAACAATTTTTTAATAAATAATGATCTTTATTTGAAGAACAAAAAGACCTTTGATACTGAACTCGAAATATCCTATCTGATTAAAGAGAAAACATTATTTTCTGCAATTTGTTTTACTTATGTGAGCAATTTTTGTGGTTTTTGTATCATCATTTTGGTATACAAACAATGAAATTACCCACAATGCTTTAGTTTCAGAAACTTGGTAACTAGAAATCAAAGTACCTTCACAGCCTCCATCCTTTTATTTTGATTTCAGATATTTTTGAAACAAGAGATAAATTTTTACCAAAAGTTGCTTCAGATGACTGATTTAGTATTAAACCTGTTAACTGAATTCATATATTTTCACCTTTTTGTTATTATTATGATTATAAGTAAATGTAGGATGCAATGACAATTGTTTTGCTATGCTTTTTTATTTACAACATAAAGTTAATTCAACATTGTATCTAATGACTGTGCTAGTAAGAAATGGAATGTTATTTGTTTTCTGAATACAAACAGTACAACGTATTGTAACTTTACAACACTTTTATATCATTGTAAAACTTTTATTGAACAATTAAGTTGCCCTATCATTATATGTGATGAGATTTACTGTCTGTCACAAAAGTTTGTAATGGCAAAGTCTCCTACAATTTGCATAGAAATGAACAGAAAGCTATGTGAAATATAAAAAAAAACATATCATTTCATTATGGTTGTCAAGATGTAAAGTTACACCAAAATAATTTGTTTTTGCAAAAAAATGTTAATAGAATGAAAGATAGTTTTGTGAGTGAAATAAATGCCCTTTTTCAATGAGTTCCAAAAGTGTCAATTTTATAGGTATATACACAATCCAGATATTTACAAATTTATGTACAAAAAACTTTTTACTATATATGTATAGGCCATATATTTGTAGATATAGATTGTCTGCACACTGCCTTAACATTGAAACCGGTAGATTTTATAAAATTGAAAGAGAAAACAGATCTTGTAATATGTGTGATAAACATCTGATTGAAGATGAAAACCATTATATTTTAGTATGCGACAAATATTTTGATATAAGAAAAAAATATATAAAACCATCCAATTGGAAAAAACTATAAATGTATACAATTGTTGTCTGTTCATAACATCAAAGAGCTTAACCTTTATTTAGCTAATAAAATTCGTTATTCATAATATAATGCTCATATTTCATCATTTACTTTATTTGTTGTCATTCTCTGCTGATGATTCAATGATTCAAACTGGTTTGTAATTGCAAAATACATAATTTTATGTAATTAATCACTGATGCTATTATATTTGTATATGTAAATTCTATAAGCTGTATTGCTTTTGGATAAAAGATTTATTATTGTATAAGAGCCTCAAGTTTGGGTTTCACAAAGCAAAAATTGCACTTTTTCATTTCTACTGTAAAGGGAAAAGAGGACAACATGATAAGCCATTAATTGTCCATGAAATAAAAAAAATAGTAAGATTCTCTTTTTTTTATTGACAAATGACTAGTATAGGTTATAGTGACCTCATCATATGTTCTCCTTTTTTTTATCACAATATCTCCATCTCACACGTTAAAAATGAAAGGAAATTTGGCATAATTTACTTGTAGCATGTGTGTGTGTGCTTCTATAATTTTATCTATATCACGAATAAATTTTGTTGTGTTTGTAAAGTAATCCATGTTGTCATTTCAACATTACAGTAAGGTGAATGTAATATTTGCTTTTATTTAAATTGGAATGAACAAAACTTGACATAATCGAATCATATAATGTGCAATTATGGCTTTCAAAGTTTTATAAGACTCAGCTTAACTTATTACATAGTTTAAACTACTGTAGATTCATTATCAATTTTCGTTGATTTGGTTGACTGAGGAAAATCAAAATCTCAAAGAAATAAAATATTTTTAGTTGCAAATAATAAAACCAATGAAGATAAACTGTGTCTGATGGCAGTGATGCTGTAGATTCATTTATTTTCGTGGGTACCAGTTTTTCCTGGATATTTGATTTCGTCATTTTGCCAAAGTCTGCATACAAGCCTATAGAAATTTGTACTTTGTTGATTATTTAAATTCGTGCATCAGTTTTACGCAAGAAATCCATGAATATTGGTATCCCACAAATAATAAAGAATCCCACAGTAAATCAAATCTGAAAATTTTGGGAATAAGGATGGAGGGAGGGGGGGGGTAAGACCTTGGTTAAGGGACATAACTTTTACTTAACTGGTATGTTTGTGTCAACCATTTTCATGAATATTTTCTCAGCTTCTAAGTAACACAGATTATTTTAAGTATTTCAAATGTATGCTTTTAATAAGGTTGTATTTTTTAAAATAGAAAATTTGATTTCCCAGAGGAACTCATTTTTACATCTAAAACTGTGACACTTTTTCTAGTTTCCTGAAAAAATATATACTGGAATGAAAATTTCAAAAGCCAAAATTTTTTAGGGCAAGGGGTTAAACAGGATTTTTGAACATTTTTTTGCCTATAACAGTAAACTTTGAACTTCCAAAATGGGGGCTTGGGAGAAAACAAAATTGAAAAAATGTACTTAAAAACACAATTTTTCTACTATTAAGGGAGGTGGAGGCAGGATCTTTCCCTGTCCAACTCCTTACAATTGAAGCTTACACTAAAAATGTGTACTACCACTTCCATTTGTTAAGGTCTCCCTGCAAGTTTATTTTGACAACTATTGTGTCTCTATGAGATGAAACATGCAGATCATATCTAAGAACCAGTAGGTAAACAAAGCAAAAGTTCTTATGCATATTAATTATCTCCCACAAAAGAGGTTTGGGAACCAGCTGTATTTACAAAGTAAAACCTAAAAGGCATTGATAAAACTGACTATAACAAACACATTACTGGCTTAAAAAGTTATCTCCCTTAAAACCAGGTCTATCCCCTTCAGTTGAATGAAAATTCATGCATTGTATTTCTACATTAAACATGATAAAGCTTGCTAATTTCAGTAAAATTGTGAAAATAAAATGTTATGCTTTCAGTAAAACATGAAAATAAATTGTGTTATGATTTGTATACTGTTGTTGTTCATTCACAGCATCCTGCATTTTTTGTGGGGGAAAATTACTGATTAATACATCTAGTTCAAAGCAAGACTAAAATGTTTCTTATGTTTTGTCTGAATGCATGTACTGTAGTTTGTTCTAGGAATTGCACAAGATTCTGTCTTCCTGTATTGCTTATGATGATTCTGTATGAAATCTATGAAGTTCAGCCACAGATATTTGAGTAAAGGACGGCAATATATCTTATAAGTAGATTAAATACTTTGAGGTTGCATTCAGTCATCTCAAGCTTTCTTTAATACAGTATAATTTTGTTTCTTATTGTTTGTTTATACTTTTTCCTTAATTTTAGAGAAAAGTGTTTTTCCTTTAATTATTTTTATTGGATGTTCTTTTAAGAGATAAGAGGTTAGTCCATTGATCATGATTATAAAAGGGTTCAATATTTAAAAAAAAATAGTTAAACCCCTCCACATATTCATGTGTCTGTCTGAACTCATGCAGAAACCTCGTCAGTGGTTGTCTCGTATGATATCATAATATGTTTTGTTATTTGAGGAATTTGAGGGTGATGGTATATCTTTCATAGTTTCTGTTTAATTTATTCAAAAGAGGCGAAAGATACCAAAGGGACATTCAAACTCACAAGTCGTGAATAAACTGACAATGCCATGGCTAAAAAAGAAAAAGAGCAACAGACAAACAACAGTACACAAAACACAACATAGAAAAGTAAGACTGGGCAACCCGAACCCCACCAAAAACTTGAAGATCATAATTTTTTTTGACTTCAGACAATTTAGAACTTGACATATTGTACAGACACCTGTGTATTGATGAAGACTGTGTTGACCTCTGTTTGGTTGTTCATGTCATTGGGTTGCTGTCTCATTAGTGTATACACCACATCTCCTTACATTTATATATATATATATATATATTTAGGTCAACAAGTCTAAATTGAAAACAACGTTCAAACCTATGATTGCGTTGGATAAAAACGGCAATTTTTATACGTGTGCATGCAAAACAAATTTCTTGGTAGAGGGGTCTAAATACAGCACAAACAACATTTCCGAAAGACCAAAAAAAGTGAAAAGTATATTTTAACAAAATGCATTTGACTAGCAGGTATATTTTGGTTAACTACATTGTAATTTCAGTGAAACTCTAAACAATAAAATAAAAGTACTGATCTACTTATTCCTTCACAATAATTTTACATAATATACATGTTACATTGCTTTTTCTGCCTCTTTATCTAATTTACTAACACATTTATTACCCTGTATGTAATATCTCAATGGTTTGTCAATCCATTCTTCTGCATAATTAATATTAATTCGTTTACAATGGACAATTTTGTCAGGTTTTAATTCTTCACCATCTTCTATCCATATCTTTGTTGATTTTGTCATGTCATCTTTGTTTATTTGGTCTTTAGTGACATCCAGGGATAGACAGAGTTTGGATGGACCATTACAAAGTTCATGTGACTTGAAGGGTTTTCCAGGAGTTCTTTTTTGTCGTAGTTTTATCATACTTGGAATGTTTTCTACAGGTTCCAAAGCTCTCAGAAGGACAGCTGCACCATCCCCTTTTAAAATTTAATCAAATTATTATGAAAATTAGGATGATATAAGATAAGGGAGCTACCATTTGATTTTAATTGAGGGGCTTGGATGAAATTTGAAAAAAATAGGCAGGACAGGAGTTTTGAGTAAGAAAAAAGGCAGGATGAGATTATTTGCAAAAAAAAAAGGCAGGATGACAATCTATGTAAAAAAAAAGTCAGGATAAACTAAAAAAAAAGGTAGGACCGAATAGAGTGAAAAATAAAAAGGCAGGACCGAATAGAGGGGAAAATAAATAGGCAGGACAAAATTTTTCATCCTAGCCCCCCCATAAAAATCAAATGGTAGCTCCCTAACTTGTGTTCATTCAAATGTGTATGGATGGAATATTTTTTTCTTCTATCTACATACCAACTGATAGATTTAATGCAAATCTGTTTACTGTTATTATTCAATTTTATTGGTTCAGGAAATATGAGTTATATTGGCTCTTAGAGTGTATGTTTGAAGGTACACTTAAAAAAAAATCTATTTTATTTGCTACTTATTACAAATGTAGTTTATTGCATATGGAGATCAACATCAGGTTTCTGAACTTTTTATGCATTTGTTATGTCATATTGGTTTTACTTTTGAGCTACTACAGTCTGTCACATAATGTGTCTGTGCTAGTTCATTATTACCTTTATACTAGGAAGAACATTCAAAATCATTTCATTAGTACACACAACATTGAAAAATATTTCAAATGTAAAAGTCCTGAACAAATTTTCAGTCGCCATTTTGTTGACAATTTGTTGATTGAAATTGAAGAAAAAATCAGCAAAACTTAAAAAACTCTGAATAATGATGACATTTTAGTATTTTAGTCAAAATAATTACAAGCTGAAGCAAACTACATTGTGACTTGGATGGAGAGTTGTCTCATTGGCACTCATACCACAGGATCTTCTTATTTATATACAAACCTTTACTTGATATGTTCATACAACAGTAGCTGTGTATGTGGTAAACGTAAGCTGTTCCAGGGTCCATAAACATTGCTTCATTTTTATTTGTCTTCCCTTTGTACGAATGAGCCCCTTTGTCTGGATGTCCAAGGTAGGCTTCTGTTTCAACAATGGTACCGCATAGTCTCTCTCCTTTATCAGATAGTCGTACTAATTTCTTACCAAGTAAGGCCTTTGCAAGGTCCTCACATGGTCTGTTATAGAAGGTATAGTCGAAAGCTTTTGTAACACTAGTAGTCTCCTTTATTTGTTTCACTTTACTTGTATTTGGGACATTAGACAACTTGATGGATTGCTCTTCATTTCTTTTAGGTGTAATTTTTACAGTTTTGGAATCACTGTGGACATCACTGGAGTCAAGTTTTTTTCTGATTTTAGAGGCTATTGATGTAGAACTTTTTCCCACTGACCTCTTTGTTGTAGACATAATAAACTGTCTGTTGTCTGTAAAAACAATATTGTGAAAGTGGTTTAGTTAATTTGATAATGAAACTTTCACATGTTCTTATACAAACAGCTATAACAATTACAAAATGCAGTGCAATAAGAACTCAGCAAGTTAAAGAAGTATCCCTCTACACCAATTTCTGTATCACCTACCACGAAAGTTACAATATGTAAACATAGGGATGCTATTTTGGTAGTGATGATGGCTAAAACTATTTGTGTAAAGCTTTATATTTCTGATGGTAGAAATGATTGAATATCCAAAAAGCTGGTATACAGATGAAAAACTGGCCTCATCACAAAAAAAAATAAACTTTTAAAGACAGACCATGAAAATGAGGTCAAGAACAGATGAATTCTGTAAGACATGTTCACTTACAATCACTCTATTCAGCAAGTATAGTTGACCTACTACATATAGGTAGTATCTGAGAAACTGAAAAGGTAATATTGACCAGTTTGTCTAATAGTGTTTATCAAGCCTAACCCTGGTGTCCTGGTTCATTGGTTCAAAGTTAACTTTCTGGTATGCTAAAGAAGTGTTAAAGGTAAGACCAGGTGGGTGTTCAAATCCTGGATCTGCGCCTGAAGAACCTTATTTGTCCCCTTCATATACTGTAAGATTTAACTTGATGAATTAAAGACGATATAAAAATTTGATATATGACTTTATTTCAAGGCATAATTACTGCATTACGCCGACTTACACTCATAGAAGTGTTTCTTGTAGGTTCAAGTGAATTGTATTAAAGAATAATTTTTAGAGGTTTTGAGATTAATTCTAGGAGGTTAAAATACTGAGCATATTTTGTTTGTAATGAAGTATTATAATTTTTATAACAATACCTATTGTAATTTGTTTGTTGTCCTAGGTTGAAATATATTTTTCAAATGTTGGCATATGTTGAAGACACAAAAATGTTGACCTCAATTCTTAGCACTCATTTCAAGTTAATTATTAGAGCACATAAGAAATTTACAAATTAGTTCATGTTTTAGCTTATTTAAGGTCAAGGAACAGTAAATGGGCTATGTCACACATTTTGGTAAAATTTGCATACAACTTTGTAACAACATATAGTTTTTTTTAAGAAAAATCTATGCATTAAAAATTGGAAATTTTATGATTTTAAGACAAATAGAACATTTTTTGCCAATTTTCTGTACTTTCTATACAAATGTTCACCTATTTTGAAAGAATTCAATCAGTAATATTTCAGAAAATAAAAGAGATAAAGGCATTATTTTACGATTTTCAGATATAATTCAACGAGCCAAAGTTGTATGCAAAATTTTACCAAAATCTGTGACATAGCCCATTTACTGTTCCTTTACCTTTTTAACTAACTGAAATCTTAGGGGTCTAAAAGATATAAAAAGGCAAATAAAAATATTTTTTGTCTAGAAATAAAACTCTGGTGTAAAAATTTGAAGATAAAAACTAGTGCAATGAACTACTCTGAATAATTTTTTATAAGCCATATTATATGCATATATATACCGGTAGGTAGAAATAAAGCCATTACAATTCATAATAAAGATAACTTTATTTCTTGTTTTTCTATGCAGATACCTCCTCATCCTTTATAAGTCTAATATAAATATATATAGTAAAATCCAGGGTTAGTGAATAATTAAAAAAAAATATATCAAAATTTGTTTCTCAAGCTGTAAAAGAAAACATGTGACGTCCTTATTTTGGGATTAGGGAACGACAAATATTTAATCTTCTAGGTGTAGGCTTAAACTAGGTGAAATCTTAGGTAAATGACAAAATTTTGCCAAAAGACACCATGACTGAAATATAGTAAGTTAATAGCCTTCAAATGTAGCATTTTTGGAGGCCATTCAGTGGCCGATCCAGAAATTTTCATAAGGGGACCACTGACTGCCATAAGAGGGGGCCCGCTTAGTCATGCTTCAGTGAATCCCTAAATAATCAGCCAAATTTTTCCCACAAAAAGGGGGGTGGCACGGACAGCAAGTATGATGAAATCCAAATTTCATATTTGGATCACTGAAAGTTGATACCTGATTTGGGGTATAACACCAATTAATGGGGATAGTGTCCATTTATGAGGATCTGTCCAAATATCTGTACATATATAGACCAAAATTAATTTCCAAATATCCCAAGTATTATATGGGGGATATCTTCTGGGGTTTTCTTGATACTGTTTGCTTTTAAAATGTTACTATTAAGTGGCTCTATAAGTAATATACATGTATTGAAATAAGTAAAACGTGGAAAAAAATGATTGTTGAAAGTGAAAGTAGCGATTAGGCCGAAGTGAAAGTAGGGAAGGAATTACCATTGATGATTACCAGAAGTGTTATTTTTTGTAGATATTATCTGTTCTTTGACCGTTGGCTTTCAATTGATTTTTAATTTAAAATATATTAATAACCTTCGGTAATCTGTTGTTGAACTTTTCAAAAAATGCTTAGCCATTAGTTTCCGTTAGACTGTTTCTTAAATATGTTCCCCAAGAAACCCTAACTCTCTATCACATTTCACTGGTACCCTGTTAGAATAGTTTCGAGTCCTGACACGATTTAAATACGGATACTGTTGAGGCCTGTTTAGGGGTGATGACTTTTCACAGTAACAATACGGTTAAGTGGAGAGTGGACGATGTATTAATTAGAAGATAGTTTAAACAGAATTGTTTATTTAAATGAAAAACGAGAGTCGGTCGATCATTATACTTACATGCTACGTTTGCCAAACTTGTGGATGTGGATACTTAAAAAAAAAGTAAGAGATCTTATAGTCTCAATCAGAGACATACACGTGTGTATATGTCGAGTGTCTCAACTGACTCGACAGTGATTTTTGTTGATTGTGAAAAAAGAAACTTTTTTAGCCAAGTAAAAATTCTGAATTTGTGAAAGAAAAAAAAACATATCAACAGAATTTAATATTAAAAAGATAACTGGAAAAGAATTTCTTCAAACATGTTTTAATATATATATATATATATATGATACATGTGTCTAAAGAAATTCAACTTGAGTATTTTAACTCGTTTTTCCACATTTTTTTTGTTAGCATCGAACCCCAATCTAGAGGAGTGTAGCGTATCACAACATCGGATATTAATGAGATTGGAAGTATTGAAATAGAATGCGAAAATGGGATAAAACTTCTAGGACTTACTTATTTACTTATTTTAATAGCAATTCTTCAAAACTTGCTGAATTGTCTTTATAGTTAAATCAATTAAAAAACTTAATAAATTCTTCGTCCGGCATCAGTAGCTCATACATGCCAGTGTTTCGCCTGCCAAACCAACTAATCCCATTCCATTTTCTAAGTTGTGTGCTTTGTTTTCAGCATGGCAAACTTCTATACAAATAAGAAGATGTGGTATGATTGTCAATGAGAAAAAACTGACGTAGCTTTGGAAACTATGGGTCTCCGTGTGGCCTTGAAAAACCCGTTCTACTGTAAAATTTGTCTTCGCATTTGCTTTCCGTTTTTCTACTTTTTAATTACCTATATACGCGACATTTTCCGTTTTTCTACTTTTTAATTACTTATATACGCGACACTTTCCGTTTATCTACATTTTAATTACCTATATACGCGACACTTTCCATCATGATTTCATGACTTCATCCAGTGATATATATATTACGTTCACTGAAATCTTTAACGTCACTATATATATACACGTGCACAACGAACGAGTTGGCTGGAATATATAAACACTGTAAGAATGACCCAAGGAACATCCCTGCCCCCAAAAAGGAGAATTAACAATAGGGATCGAAAATTGTCCCCGGTCCCTTTTAGTTCTGTCTTAAATTTTTGTAAAGAGTCTCGGTTTTTCGTGGGAATCTGAAATATCTTTATCAAGGAAAGGATAGATATTTTTGTTTATATTATATTTATTTACAGTAAGTCCCCTTGGGTACATTTCGGTAGCATATTTAAAGAATACTCGCATTCTTGATTATTTAACGCAAAAATGTCATCAAGGTAGCAGTAACTATTGTTGTATTTATAAATTAAATCATGGAATATTTAGGCGAATTTTTACTGAGTTTGGCGATAACAATACAGGAACAATTTTGCAATTAAAGGGCGCAATTGGCAGTGTCCATATGGAATACAACATGTCGATAAACTTTATGTATTGTCGAAACGTGCATGTATAGATGTCCACCGTGCGTATAGTCCTTTTGTCTATTTTTTACAGTACACAGATTAATTCAATTACACAAATGAATTTATAAATTGCCTAACACAGTTATAGTAGTCTCAGCCTAGACAAACTAGCTTCATTGGGCGTGAATCTATCCAGGTGAAAGATGACAAGAAACTTTTGCAGCTCATTGTACATATCATTTTGCTGCTAAAAAAAAAATTGGATGACGTTCAAAATTATTTATTTGATTTACAAAATTTGTTGTTGAAGTAAGGTAAGTTTTCAACGTACATTGACCAATATTACAGAGATATTACGGACGATGCCACATAATAAACCTATTCTTTATCTTTTCTGTACCTTTTCTCGTCTTTTTCATTTAGACCATCAGGTTCTAAAGTATGGAGCTGGTGGATCTAAAATTTTAGCTCCTTCTCGCTGTGGTGTCACACCCAGTGTTCACTTCTATAATTTGAAAAGTAACATTATCAAAAGAGTGTTTCTTTGAGCGAAGATGTCTTGTTAGGGGACAGTTTTAGTTGGTTTTGTACCATGATCGATGGTTATTTAGCCGAATGATAAATGTACCCATTGTTTCTCCCACGTACTGAATGCCACAGGTGTCACATGTTAATACATAAATTGAGTTCTCCGTTTTACAGTTGGAATTAACGTAGATGGTATAACTTTGTTTTGTAAAGGAGCTGATGAAAGAACTGCTAGTATTGGCAGCTTTACAACATAGCCAATTTTTTCTACCAGATTGTTTGTATAGCAACCAGGAGGTGGAGTAAGTTGCTTTGTTGATACGGCTGTTGCTAATTTGTCACGGATGTTTTTTTTTTATTTTCTGAAGGTCATGACTGGAAGTGAGGAAAATACTTTTTTTTCAAATTGGAGCCATTCTCTATAATTTTCCAATGCTTTCGAACAATGGATGACAAATTTTTGAAATTAGGATGGTAAGTGAGTACAAGAGGTGTTCTGTTGACTCTTTGATTCTTATCCTTGTACTTCAGAAGTTCTTTTCGGTCAATTATGTTTGTTTTTTGGAAAGTTGTATCTATACTGTTGTACATGTTTATATATACTATTGCTTTTTGTGTTTTACGTTATATGTGCATTTCCCAATAAGTGTGTTTTAACTGCTTAAACTTTTGTGTTTTATGATTGCATAATATAAACCATACATCTTGCATTTTATGTTTTATTGTTTTTATGTGCATGTTGGATATGTATGTAATGTTTGATTTGCCAAAAGCTCTGCAGAGCTTATGTTTGCACACTTTTATTCATTCTGACTACATAAATAAAGCTTATATGCCTTATGTCTTTATACCTATGAATATTCACGGTTTTTCTCAAGGTGTTCCTACGTACTATTTGATTTGCTATGATGGGTTCCATTATCTACAAACTGAAAGTGTCATCTTGACATCACGAAAGTGAGAAAAAAATCTTATATTGTAGACCCTTAAACATAATTGTTTTTTTAATTTTAACTAAAATACTAGAATAAAATACAGGTATTCTTCAGTGTTTTGGGGTAAATCTATGGACTCAGTGGCGGATCCAGGGGGGGGGGGTGTTCCGGGGGTTGGAACCCCCCTTTTTTTGGACGATCAATGCATTTGAATGGGGACATATAGTTGGAACCCCCCCCCTTTTATCCTGGGTTGGGAACCCCCCTTTTTAAAATGGCTGGATCCGCCCCTGGGACTTTCGTTCATCGTATAACTCTTCGACAAGTTGACTTCTTCTCTCTTCTTCTTTATAGTTCAGCACTCCGTCAACATACTGATGATAACGTGCCGGGCACTGATGTCACTATGCCGCGCGTGCGTACCGGGAATATAATTTCTATTTACAGTTAAATATATACAAATAAAAGTTCAACGTAATTTTCTTTTTATTCTGTTTTGTACTATACATTTTGGTTAAAACTATATACATCGTATGTTTAATTTATATGCGTATATATATAGGTGTTTGTTGAGAACAGATATTGGGATCTGTTCTTGGAAACAGTCAAGTGTAGTACATTTTACTGCAGCTACAGGTAGTTCTTGTCTAAGGTTCTATTGTAATATTGTTCTTGGATAAAATGAGTATTTACATATGAATCTTTAGTGGTTTGTATTGGTCTGTATGAACTGAGACTACTATAACTGTTGTCAGGTCATTAAAGATTGCATATTTTGGCGTTAATATTGATTCACTTATAGGGTCTTTGCATCGGCACTAAACACATTTATTTAAAAACCAGTTGTTGGCATGACACGGGTTATGTTCTTCTCATATATGTTATGATGGTATGATACTAAACCCCTAACGGGAAGGATTGTGCCTGATATTCATATGATGAAGACATAATCTTTCAATCAGTTTAATTGAAGTCTGGAGCTGGCATGTCAGTTAACTGCTAGTAGTCTGTTGTTATTTATGTATTATTGTCATTTTGTTTATTTTCTTTGGTTACATCTTCTGACATCAGACTCGGACTTCTCTTGAACTGAATTTTAATGTGCGTATTGTTATGCGTTTACTTTATTACATTGGCTAGAGGTATAGGGGGGGGGGGGTGAGATCTCATAAACATGTTTAACCCCGCCGCATTTTTGCGCCTGTCCCAAGTCAGGAGCCTCTAGCCTTTGTTAGTCTTGTATTATTTTTAATTTTAGTTTCTTGTGTACAATTTGGAGTTTAGTATGGCGTTCATTATCACTGAACTAGTATATATATTTGTTTAGGGGCCAGCTGAAGGACGCCTCCGGGTGCGGGAATTTCTCGCTGCATTGAAGACCTGTTGGTGACCTTCTGCTGTTGTCTGTTCTATGGTCGGGTTGTTGTCTCTTTGACACATTCCCCATTTCCATTCTCAATTTTATAGTAGTCTCAGGTAAGAATGATTGTGTGAATTTTGTCTTGTTCTTGTGTCAGATTGGATAAACAGGTCTATTGGATAAATAGCTACAAGATGGTGTATTATTTTATAGAAAAAGATGATGCGTGTTCTTGTTCTTCTTTTTTCAAGAGTTGTCCAGTTTCAGTGACGGAGCTGGTGTTGTGGTATCTGTTGCAAGTGTACCTAGCTGCCCTGCGCTGGACCATTCCAAGTTGGTGTGTTTGAGATTTGGTATGTGGGTCCCAGACGCAGCTACTGTATTCAAGCTTAGGTCTGACCAGTGATGTATATATGCTCTTTCTTTTACTGTTTTGGAGTTGACCTCAGTTAGATTTTTCTTGAAAAAGTTAAGCTTTTGTGTGGCTGAAGCTGTAATATTATTAATAAGTTTGTCCCATTTTAAGTCTGTTTGTATTGTTACGCCAAGATATTTTGTGGATTTTTCTTTTTGCAGTACATGGTGGTGGAGAGTGTTATCAAATTTTATTTGGTTTTTCTTCGACTGAGCACTTGTCCGGATGGAACGACATGAGCCAGTCCTTCTCCCATTTTGCTGCTGATGTCAGGTCGTATTGTTTTGTATATTATGCTGTCATCTGCAAATAATCTTAGGGTGATATATATGTTTCATCTATTCATTGAAGTCATTTATGTACACAAGAAACAGGATAGGACCCAAAAACTGTTCATTGGGGAACGCCAGATGTTACATTAATTTTGTCTGATTGTACACCAGCAAATAATGACTGTTTGTGTGCGGGGTGTAAGGAAATCTTCTATCTTCTTTGACTTATTTAACACAAAGAACACAAATGTAAATTAGAATATTGTATTACATAAAAATACTTTATTCTAACTAACATTCTTTCGTATCTTGTGGTATTTCTTCCCACCTGCAATTTTGTGTTTTTTCATTAACGAGTATAGAATCTATCGTTTTTTTTCTAATATGTTCTAGGACAATATAGAATCTATCGTTTTTTTTCTAATATGTTCTAGGACAGATTCGTAAAATATACATATCGTCGTCTCATGGGTTTTCGTGCTATTAAGAATGCATTGTGACGTCACAATTTCAATTGAAAGAGTATGCATAGTACGAATTCATATGACGTACGAACACATATGATCTGACCATAAAAATTATGTTTGTGACAAGGAAAATTGTTCACCCTAAGCAACCCCATATATTTACTCTGATGTGCGCAACTACAAAATCCGGGACATTTATGACGTTCACACAATACGACCTCCTTTTCACGACCAGCCGTGGTGTGTAATACCGGCAATTTCAGCTTATAGAGAAATCCACCTTCTCTTCATAAAAGACCACCATAGTAAGTGCAAAAAATAGAAGGCAACTCACAAGTGTGTTCGTGACATCATCTGCTCTAAACAGTATTTGTTTGTTCTATAACTAACAAGATTTCGCTCAAGGTGAATATCTACCGGCACTCAAAAAAGTTGACATTGAATGTGTTGAAAAATATCATTTGCTATTTTCCTTGGATTAATGGAATCTTTGGAGAAAAATCATATTGTGTGCTCTCGTAAATTCTTAACGGAACACTAAACAAACTGCTACGTTGTACTTCACCTCTGGCAAACTGATAGATGTTGTTAAAAATTGATACAAGTCTGACCTTGTCAAAAAATGTATTTTCACAACATATTACTGTTAGACCTCTAACGAGCCATGCCATATCCTTTTGGAATACACCACATATTTTAAGAAAGTATCATTCAATCATTAGTTTGATAATTTTAGAAATACCCATAAAAATATCCATTTTATACTGGGTCAAATAAAAATATATGTGTGGTTCCAGTTAGCTGGCCCTAAATTTAACCCGACCCCAAAAAACCGGTAGGGGCGTAAATAATACCAAAACCAGACTCAGTGAAAACATCAATTTTTACAACAAAAAATAAAATCCCTACCTACCTGCCCTATTTTTTTTCAAGACGTATCTGAAACCACACATATTTTTATTTGGCCTTATACATGTACACACTTTTTTAGTGAATAGTACTCATATTTTATAGCCATTTTACTACATTACTAGATACATGTATTACATGCACAAATATTACATAAGTTAAAAGTGTATGTTATTGTGAAAATTCCTACATTCTAATTGCATACAAATTGAAACTGAATATAATGGAAAATGGAATTGAGCATGCTTTTAAATTATTCTAATTAATCAATTATAAATTTCTATCCAATAGAATTTAAGTCAATTTTTTTTGTTGAGTATGTCTTAATTTGTTTAATGGAAAGTTGCTCATGATTAAAAAATGGAATGAATCAAAATTATTGTTATAATAGAAGAACAAAGGCTATGGGGTATCCATCCATGACACAAAATCAGTACATGCACAGCAAAAAACACACAAAAAGCAAAGGAACAGCGCTTTTATTGCCGTTCTTCATCATACATGATTTGAGTCATTAACAAACAACATTCTGATTATAATTGAAAATTGAATCTTTGTCAGACAAACATCCAATTATTATTTTCACCAATTCCCAACACTAAATACCATACTATTTTGCACAACGCAACATCATACATTTTCTCTCATGATGTTAAAATATGATGGAATGTCTATGATATCCTGTAATGGCCAACTATAAGCCATTGGGTGTATTTCGCCTGAATGAAGCACAGAAAATTGACATCTTTAAAACAAAACTTGTGATTTTGCATGGAAATGCTCAGTTGAAATGAACAGACTACTTTTTCTACACTGACTACAGTACTTAGTGTGATGACTTTTGAGTATTGACTAAGACATTAAGACTGGAAGACAGTTAATAGATACAGTACAATTAAAATGAACATGATTCCAAAATCCATACACTGCAATTATTCACAGAGTCGCACCAAGAAACTCTGAAATCCCTCCCTAAATGTGTGGATAAAATTGGGAGGTTTTCCTCTGAATTCCGCGTAAATTTTGCTACCTTTTGTTTATTGTGATAGCGACATCTCTCCCAACACGGTGTCACACTGGGTAATTAATTGCCCTAATCCTTATCTATGCCAGCACACGACAGTCAGGGTAGTTGAACTTTCTTGTGTAATTAACACTTGTATTTCCTGTCTATATATATATGATTATCTTTAATCAGGTTCGATGTCCAATTGCCTTAAGCAAACAAGTGTTTTAGAATTAGAATGTTTTTTATTTGTTCTCTGTGATTAAATATTATTTCTATTTGATTTAAAAAAAAAAACTTTTTGATTTAAATATTTTGTACTCATTTTTTTTTTCTCACAGGTAAAATAATATGTTGTATTTAGAATGGACATGCTTGTTTAAAAAAGACAGAAACTATAGGCACTAAATAAATGTGTGGGAATTTTTAAGAAAATGTGTATTGCTCGGAAGTTTTATATTTAAGAATGAAAATAGTTGCCATGCATTTTTCATGTCTACAACGATAAAATATATGATTGATTGATTGATTGATCAATTGCATTACTTTATAGAATATACATTTACTGAATTTCATCGACAACAGGAATACTTCCTTAGCTAAATCAAGCTTGAGTACATAAAGAATGTAGTACCCACGTGACATATTTGTCATACTATACAGTGATGTAAACAAATGAATGAATGTGTATTGCTGAGTGATAACTTTTCTGATCAAATTTATGTTTGCCCTTTCTTTCCACCATGGGAAAGTAATACATGTAACGTTAAACTCCATTGTCAACTAGTACCCCAGTGCTGTGTTGCGACAGAGACTCGTTGTTGGATAATATGTACATAGGCAAGGCTTTTTTTTGACGAGTATGAAATACAGGTTTTGTGTTGGCTTGGAACAAAAACTCGACTGTTTATTGGTTGATCGAAAATAAAAATTAACATTTCGTAATGAAATTATGCAATAAATAATCTATTAAATTATAATTCCAAACATATTTTTTTTTAATTTTTTATTTGTTCCTTTTAATTTTGGATCGTTAGAAAAAAATAAAATATCTCCCTACAATTATATAATGAAAATACAAATCTTTAATCCAAAATTGGGCATTTCCCTGATATAGAAAGGAAGGAAAACATTTTTATACGCCCGTTTATGGGACGTATTATGGTATACCTCTGTCCGTCCGTCCGTCGTCAACATGTCGGATATTAACTCAAAAACGCTTTAACCAATTTGCATAAAACTTTGGTGAATTGTTTATATCTATTGACGTGAGCTCCCTTTCGTTTTTTATAAATTATAGATTTTACGTTTCCGAGTTATGGGGTTTTATTCATTAAAAAAGGGGGATTTTCCAGTTTTCGGACAATAACTCTAAGAATGCTTTCACTAACTTGCAAGAAATTTTGATGAATTGTTTATATCTATTGACATGAGCTCCCTTTCGATTTTTATAAATTTTAGATTTTATGTTTCCGAGTTGCAGGGTTTTATTCAGAAAAAAATGCTTTCAGCAGTTCTTATGAAACTTTGATGAATTGTTTATATCTATTGATGTAAGTGCCCTTTAGAATTTTATAAATTTTACATTTTACATTTCTGAGTTATGGGGTTTTATTCATTAAAAAAGGGGGGATTTTCCAATTTTCGGACAATAACTCAAAAATGCTGTCAGCAATTCTCATGAAACTTTGGTAAATTGTTTATATCTATTGATGTAAGCTCCCTTTTGATTTTCATAAATTTCTAATATGACATTGAGAATTAATTGAACTTTATTTGTTTATAGTCTGAAAACAGATTTACTAAGTATTGCGCAACAGCACAGTGTATTAAGCAACAGCAAGAAATCTTTAATTGAATATAAATTCAATTCATATAACCAATTTCAAGTTCTTTGACTAGATTTATTCAGAAACCTATAATATGTCAAATATTTAATTACAATCCAAATTCAGACCTGTATCAAGCTTGAATATTGTATCCATTTTTGCCCCAACTGTTCAGGGTTGGACCTCTGCGGGCGTATCAAGCTGCGCTCAGCGAAGCAGTTTATTTTTTTATGCTTAAATACAAAACTGTTAATTTGATCAATTTAATGTACATGGGTAAATAATCTTACTAATCAGATTATGTAGTCGCGCGTCGTTAATTTTTATTATATCTGATGGGCAATAAATCAATTAACAGCCATGCAGTGTTGGGAGAGAATTTATTGAAGCAAATTTGGAGTAAAATCTGTGATTCGCGGTGTTACACTACTATACTCCGAAATCGGTGGAAAGAGTTTGCGATCATTCACTCTCTGCGTGTATTGTACATAGAGGCAGATTTAAGGGGAGAGGGGCTTATGGAGCTTCATAAGTGATAAATGCATAGGCTTATAACAGTCTCACCCAAATGTTGGCTTGCCAGGGGGCCCAATCTTTTTCAAAATCCTGGATCTGCACCTGATATATTTTTTTCTGCTGAATGTAAACCTTTTCCTTTGAGTTTATAAGGGCCTCTTTTTTATACGACCGCAAGTCGTATATTGGTCTCACGTCGTCAGCATCGTCCATAGACATTTGGTTTCCGGACAATAACTTTAGTAAATGTAAATAGAAATCTATGAAATTTAAACACAAGGTTTATAACCACAAAAGGAAGGTTGGGATTGATTTTGGGGGTTATAGTCCTAACAGTTTAGGAATTAGGGGCCTAAAAAAGCATTTTTCTAGTTTCCAGACAATAACTTGCAGAATGGTGTATGGATCTCTCTGAAATTATACCACAAGTTTCCATACCACAAAGGGATGGTTAGGATTGGCTTTGGGGGGTTATGGCTCAAACCGTTTAGGAATTAGGGGCAAAAAAGTTTGGATTACCTCCCTTACACTGCTTTTAAATTATGTATAAAGAAATGTTGTATTGTCTTGAGGTGATTAGCTGTCAATTTATTTTTAGAAGTTACAATTTAAAAATGCTGATTAAGGAATATTTAATATATTAATTTTAGCCATGATTATGAATGTCATATTCTATTTTAAGACTTTTATAATGTATTTAAAAGGGTAATTATGGTTGCAAACTCCATTGGAAATTTGAATTGAGATTATGACCATATTTTGAGGGAAAGAATTTTTTTTTTTAGAAAAGGGGGGGAGGTCAATTTGCAACTGAATAGTGTTTTGCACAGAAGCAAAAAAAAAAAGGGGGTTAAATGTTTTTTTTTGTTTTTTTGGGGGGGGGGGGGGGGTCAATTTGCAACAGCATAGTGTATTGCACAAAAGCAAAAAATTGAATATAAATTCAAATCATATAACCAATTCTAAGTTCTTTGACTTCAGTTATTCTGTGTCAAAAACCTATTATGTGTCAAATATTTAATTACAATCCAAATTCAGACCTGTATCAAGCGCGAATATTGTGTCAATTTTTGCCCCAACTAATCAGGGTTGGACCTCTGCGGTAGTATCCAGCTGCGCTTGGCGAAGAAATTTATTTATTGTACTTTTGATGTTCTATATTAATTTTAAATAATATAGTAAATTAAGGAATTTAAATAAATACCATTTTATGAATAATACAAAGTTGAAGACTGGAAGAGGGAGATAGAACTGTTGATTTATTTTATCAAATACTTTTCATAAAGCAGTTTTTAAATTGTGATTCTTGTATCTTTTCAGATGTCGAAACAACTAAGTTTTGCTGAGAACTTTGCCCTTAGTGGTGCTGCAGCCGTTATATCTAAAACAGCTGCTGCCCCAATAGAACGTATCAAGCTTCTAGTACAGAATCAAGATGAAATGCTTAGAACTGGTAGACTTGAACAGCCTTACAAAGGTGTTATTGATTGTACTATGCGTACATACAGAACAGAAGGTGTATTGCCATTTTGGAGAGGAAACATGGCTAATTGCATCAGATACTTTCCCACTCAGGCTTTAAACTTTGCATTCAAGGACAAGATTAAGGCACTATTCAAGTCGAGTAAGAATGATTCCAATGCTATCAAATTTTCAAAAAATATTGCATCTGGTGGAGCTGCTGGTGCCATGTCACTCGTCTTTGTCTATTCACTCGATTATTGTAGAACCAGGTTAGCCAATGATGCCAAGTCTGGTAAGACCGGAGGAGAACGCCAGTTCAATGGTATGGTTGATGTGTACCGCAAAACCATTGCAACAGACGGTATTCAAGGATTGTACAGAGGATTCGTCATATCTTGTGTAGGAATTGTTGTCTACAGAGGATTCTACTTCGGTCTGTTCGACACTCTTAAACCAATCCTCTTGGGTGACAAGGCCAACTTGCTCCTGTCATTTGCATTAGGCTACGTTGTCACAATTAGTGCTGGACTTTTGTCATACCCCATTGATACGATCAGAAGAAGAATGATGATGACATCAGGTGAGGCTGTCAAATACAAGGGATCAATTGACTGCACTATGACCATTGTAAAGAATGAGGGATTCATGTCCTTGATGAAGGGAGCAGGAGCCAACGTACTCAGAGGAATGGCAGGTGCTGGTGTATTGGCTGGATTTGACAAGTTCCAAGAGTTGTACATCACATGGCGTATTGCACAAAATAAATAAACACGGTGGACCTTAGATTTTTAATAAATGAATTTGTGTGATATATTGAATTAGTATATTCATCAGTGAACTAGACCATCATCGTTACATAGCATCCAGATGTTGATCATTGTGTTTTATATTGAAAGTTGAAAAAGTTGCAAAATACAAGAAACAAAATTTTGTAAAATTTTTTCTTCTTTTTTTCGGCCTGAACCTATTTGTCCCCTACCGACGAAGTCTAGGGGACTTTAGGTTTGCCCTCCGTCTGTCTGTCTGTCCATCCGTCAGTCCGGCAAATCAGTTTTCTGCACTTTTGATATTGATTTGATATATTGTATATAGTTTTCCCATGAGTTACAGATCGAGTTCGAATTATGTTCCGGTCTGATGATTTTGTGCAGAGTTGTGGTCCTCGGACTTAGAAAATTCATGCAAATAATCAGTTTTCCGCACTTTTTTTTTAGCTCACCTGGCCCTTCACAAACTTGGCCACAATCATCATTTGGGGTATCTAGTTTAAAAAATGTGTCTGATGACCCTGCCTGCTAACCAAGATGGCCGACATAGCTAAAAATAGAACATAGGGGTAAAATGCAAGTTTTGTCTATTGTTTTGAAAACCGTTATAGAGAATGTTGAGCTCTACCAATTGTCCATATACATCAAAACTGTCGGATGACTTCTTACAGGAGTTATTGCCCTTAAATGACAAATTTTATCTTCTTTTTATACGACCGTTAAAAAATTTTGTGGTCGTATATTGGTATGACGTTGGCGTCGTCGTCCGAAGACACATTGGTTTTCGCACTCTAACTTTGGTTTAAGTGAATGGATCTCTATGAAATTTTACCATAAGGTTCAATACCACAAAAGGAAGGTTGGGATTGATTTTGGGGGTTATGGTACCTTATGTGTTGCTCAATCTGTGTTTTGTATAGGGTTATTTTTAGCTCACCTGGCCCGAAGGGCCAAGTGAGCTTTTCTCATCACTTGGCGTCCGTCCTTGATGGCTTTTTACAAAAATCTTCTCCTCTGAAACCACTGGGCCAAATTTAACCAAACTTGGCCACAATCATCATTAGGGTATCTAGTTTAAAAAATGTGTCCGATGACCCCGCCAACCAACCAAGATGGCCGCCATGGCTAAAAATAGAACATCGAGGTAAAATGTAGATTTTGGCTAGTATCTCTGAAACCAAAGTAAGCATTTAGAGTAAATCTGACATAGGGTAAAACTGATTATCAGGTCAAGATCTATCTGGCATGAAATTTTCAGACAAATCTGACAACCCGTTGTTGGGTTGCTGCCCTTGAATTGGTAATTTTAAGGAAATTTTGCAGTTTTTATACGACCGCAAAAATTCAAAATTTTTTGGTCGTATATTGGTATGACGTCGTCGTCGTCCGAAGACACATTGGTTTTCGCACTCTAACTTTAGTTTAAGTGTATGGATCTCCATGAAATTTTACCATAAGGTTCAATACCACAAAAGGAAGGCTGGGATTGATTTTGGGGGTTATGGTACCAACAGTTAAGGAATTAGGGGCCAAAAATAAGCATTTTTGTAATTTCCAGACATAACGTGTGTGTTAGTGTATGGATCTCTCTGACATTGTACCACAAGGTTCCATATCACAAAGGGAATGCTGGGATTGATTTTGGGGGTAATTGCCTCAAAATTTTAGGAATTGGGGGCCAAAAAAGGGGCAAAAAATAAGCATTTTTCTAGTTTCATGATAATAACTTGTGTGTAAGTGTATGGATCTTTCTGAAATTGAACTACAGGGTTCCATAACACAAAGGGAAAGCTGGAATTGAGTTTGGGGGAATTGCCCAAAACGTTTAGGAATAAGGGACAAAAAAGGGGCCAAAAATAGCATTTTTAGCTCACCTGACCTGAAAGGTCAAGTGAGCTTTTCTCATCACTTGGCGTCCGTCGTCCGTAAACTTTTACAAAAATCTTCTCCTCTGAAACTACTGGGCCAAATTTGACCAAACTTGGCCACAATCATCATTGGGGTATCTAGTTTAAAAAATGTGTCTGGTGACCCGGCCAACCAACCAAGATGGCCGCCATGGCTAAAAATAGAACATAGGGGAAAAATGTAGATTTTGGCTTATATCTCTGAAACCAAAGCATTTAGAGCAAATCTGACATGGGGTAAAATTGTTTATCAGATCAATATCTATCTGCCCTGAAATTTTCAGATGAATCGGACAACCAGTTGTTGGGTTGCTGCCCCTGAATTGGTAATTTTAAGGAAATTTTGCAGTTTTTGGTTATTATCTTGAACATTATTATAGATAGAGATAAACTGTAAACAGCAATAATGTTCAGCAAAGTTAGATCTACAAATAAGTCAACTTGACCAAAATGGTCAGTTGACCCCTTAAGGAGTTATTGCCCTTTATAGTCAATTTTTAACCATTTTTCGTAAATTTTTGTAATCTTTTACAAAAATCTTCTCCTCTGAAACTACTAAGACAAATTTAACCAAACTTGTCCACAATCATCATTAGGGTATATAGTTTAAAAAATGTGTCCGATGACCCCGCCCGCGAACCAAGATGGCTGACATGGCTAAAAAATAGTACATGGGGTAAAATGCAGTTTTTGGCTCATATCTCTGAAACCAAAGCATAAAGAGCAAATCTGATGAGGATAAAATTGTTCATTAGGTCAAGATCTATCTGCCCTGAAATTTTCAGACCAATCAGGCAACCCGTTGTTGGGTTGCTGCCCCTGAATTGGTATTTTTAAGAAAATTTTGCAGCTTTTGGTTATTATCTTGAATATTGTTATAGATAGAGATAAACTGTTAACAGCAATAATGTACAGCAAAGTTAGATCTACAAATAAGGCAACATGACCAAAATTGTCAATTGACCCCTTAAGGAGTTATTGCCCTTTATAGTCAATTTTTTACAATTTTCATAAATTTTGTAAATTTTTGTGAATTTTTACAAAGTATTTTCCACTGTAACTACCGGGCCAAGTTCATTATAGATAGAGATAATAGTAAGGAGCAAGAATGTTCAGTAAAGTAAGATCTACAAACACATCACCATCACCAAAACACAATTTTGTCATGAATCCATCTGTGTCCTTTGTTTAATATGCACATAGACCAAGGTGAGCGACACAGGCTCTTTAGAGCCTCTAGTTCTAGTTTCCAGACAATTACTTGTGTTCAAGTGTATGGATCTCTCTGAAATTGTACTGCAAGGTACCATACCACAAAGGGAAGGCTGGGATTGATTTTGGGGGTAATTGCCTCAAAATTTTAGGAATGAGGGGCCAAAAGGGGAAAAAACAAGCATTTTTCTAGTTTCAGGACAATTACTTGTGTGTAAGTGTATGGATCTTTATGAAATTGTACTACAATGTTCCATATCACAAGAGGAAAGCTGGGTTTGAGTTTGGGGGTAATTGCCCTAAACGTTTAGGAATTTGGGGCCAAAAAGGGGCCTAAAAACAAGCATTTTTCTAGTTTCCAGACAATAACTTGTGTTCAAGTGTATGGATCTCTCTGAAATTGTACTGCAAGGTACCATACCACAAAGGGAAGGCTGGGATTGAGTTTGGGGGTGATGAATCATAAGGGGGTTCAAAATTAAACTTAGGGGAGGGATTTTTTTTATCTTTAAAATTTTCCATTTTATAAATGGGTTATTTCTGATTTATATATAAAAGCAAATAATAATGATATGGTTTGAATAGGTAAATTAAAATTTTTTAAGTTCTTGGACCACATTCATTCTGTGTCAGAAACCTATGCTGTGTCAAATATTTAATCACAATCCAAATTCAGTGCTGTATCAAGCTTGAATGTTGTGTCCATACTTGCCCCAACTGTTCAGGGTTCGACCTCTGCGGTCGTATCAAGCTGAGCCAAGCGGAGCATTTTATTGGTTATTATCTTGAATATTATTATAGAAAGAGATAAACTGTAAACAGCAATAATGTTCAGCAAAGTAAGATCTACAAATAAGTCGTGATGACCAAAATTGTCAGTCAACCCCTTTAGGAGTAATTGCCCTTTATAGTCAATTTTTAACAATTTTTCGTAAATTTTTGTAATTTTTTACAAAAATCTTCTCCTCTGAAACTACTTAGACAAATTTAACCAAACTTGTCCACACTCATCATTAGGGTATATAGTTTAAAAAATGTGTCCGATGACCCCGCCCGCGAACCAAGATGGCCGACATGGCTAAAAAATAGTACATAGGGTAAAATGCAGTTTTTGGCTCATATCTCTGAAACCAAAGCATTTAGAGCAAATCTAATTAGGATAAAATTGTTCAAATTGTCAGTCGACCCCTTTAGGAGTTATTGCCCTTTATAGTCAATTTTTAACAATTTTTCGTAAATTTTTGTTATCTTTAACAAAAATCTTCTTCTCTGAAACTACTGAGACAAATTTAACCATACTTGGCCATAATCATTATTAGGGTATCTAGTTTAAAAAATTTGTCCGATGACCCCGCCTTCCTACCATCATGGCCGACATGGTTAAAAATAGAACATAGGGGTAAAATGCAGTTTTTGGTTTATATATATCTCTGAAACTAAAGCATTTAGAGCAAATATGACGGTGGCAAAAATGTTCATCAGATTTAGATTTATCTGTCCTGAAAATTTTAGACGAATCGACAAACCCGTTGTTGGGTTGCTGCCCCTGAGTTAGTAATTTTACAGAAATTTTGCAGTTTTTATACGGCCGCAAAAAAATTTTGCGGTCGTATATTGGTATGACGTTGGCGTCGTCGTCGTCCGAAGACACATTAGTTTTCGCACTCTAACTTTAGTTTAAGTGAATGGATCTCTTTGAAATTTGACCATAAGGTTCAATACCACAAAAGGAAGGTGGGGATTGATTTTGGGGGCTATGGTACCAACAGTTAAGGAATAAGGGGCCAAAAATAAGCATTTTCTAGTTTCCAGACAATAACTGTGGAACGGTGTATGGATCTCTCTGAAATTATACTACATTTTTCCATACCACAAAGGGATGGTTAGGATTTGCTTTGGGGGGTTATGGCTCAAACCGTTTAGGAATTAGGGGCAAAAAAGGGGGAAAAACAAGGTTGTCTGGTTAATGGACAAATACTTTAGTACAAAACATAATTTAAAGCAGTGTAAGGGAGATAAATCAAATACATCATTGAAATTATCTCCCTTACACTGCTTTTAAATTATGTATAAAGTAATGATTAATGAACAATTAAGATAATTTAAAACAGTGTAAGGGAGGTAATCCAAATACAAGGTTCTGGTTACTTCCCTTACACTGCTTTTAAATTATGTTTAAAGAAATGCATATTTATAAAGGAAGACCAGTAAAAATATCTGCAAATGTTGCATCCATATGAAAGATTTGACACTATATTTTAAATTCTATTATAAAATTGATTAAGTTAGCACTATGGTAAATTTAAATGGGTAATTATGGTTGCAAACTCCATTGGAAATTTGATTGAGATTATGACCATATCTTGAGGGAAAGAATTTTTTTGGGGAAAAAAGGGGGGGTGGGGGGTAAAAAGAAATTGTGGGGGGTCAATTTTTTCTCATTTCAGATGTCAGAAATTAAAAAGAATTATTCTTCAAATATTATTTTTTTTTCAAATTTCAAATATTGAAAAATTTCAAGAAGTAATCTTTAATTGCACAGTATGGCGCATTAGATTTGTAAAATCTTTGACCACATTTATTTATTTGTTATGCCAAATCTAACCGTGTATTTAGATTTTCAAATTGGTCTACATTAAGGTCCAAAGGGTCCAAAATTAAACTTTGTTTGATTTTAACAAAAGTTGAATATATGGGGTTCTTTGATATGCTGAATCTAAACATGTATTTAGATTTTTGATTTTTGGCCCAGTTTTCAAGTTGGTCCAAATTGGGGTCCAAAATTTAACTTTGTTTGATTTCAACAAAAATTGAATATATGGGGTTCTTTGATATGCTGAATCTAACCATGTATTTAGATTTTTTATTTGTGTACCCCGCTATCAAATTGGTTCATATTGAGGTCAAAAGGGTCCAAAATTAAACTTCGTTTGATTTCATCAAAAATTGAATTATTTGGGTTCTTTGATATGCCAAATCTAACCGTGTATTTAGATTTTTAATTTTGGTTCCTGTTTTTTTAAATTTGTCTACATTAAGGTCCAAAGGGTCCAAAATTAAACTTAGTTTGATTATAACAAAAATTGAATTCTTGGGGTTCTTTGATATGCTGAATCTAAACATGTGTTTAGATTTTTGATTATGGGCCCAGTTTTCAAGTTGGTCCAAGTTGGGGTCTTAAATTAAACTTTGTTTGATTTCAACAAAAATTGAATATATGGGGTTCTTTGATATGCTAAATCTAAACATGTATTTTGATTTTAGATTTTTTGGCCCAGTTTTCAAGTTGGTCCAAATTGGGGTCCAAAATTAAACTTTGTTTGATTTCAACAAAAATTGAATATATGGGGTTCTTTAATATGCTGAATCTAACCATGTATTTAGATTTTTTATTTGTGTACCCCGCTATCAAATTGGTTCATATTGAGGTCAAAAGGGTCCAAAATTAAACTTTGTTTGATTTCATCAAAAATTGAATTATTGGGGTTCTTTGACATGCCAAATCTAACCGTGTATTTAGATTTTTAATTTTGGGTCCCGTTTTTTAAATTGTCTACATTAAGGTCCAAAGGGTCCAAAATTAAACTTAGTTTGATTTTAACAAAAATTGAATTCTTGGGGTTCTTTGATATGCTGAATCTAAACATGTGTTTAGATTTTTGATTATGGGCCCAGTTTTCAAGTTTGTCCAAGTTGGGGTCCAAAATTAAACTTTTTTTGTTTGATTTCAAAAAAAATTGAATATATGGGGTTCTTTGATATGCTGAATCTAACCATGTATTTTGATTTTGGACATTGGACCATAATAGGTAAATTAAAAAAATTCAAGTTCTTAGACCACATTCTTTCTGTGTCAGAAACCTATGCTGTGTCAAATATTTAATCACAATCCAAATTCAGAGCTGTATCAAGCTTGAATGTTGTGTCCATACTTGCCCCAACTGTTCAGGGTTCGACCTCTGCGGTCGTATCAAGCTGCGCCCAGCGAAGCATTTTATTTGTTATTATCTTAGATATCATTATAATATCTAATATCTAATGCTATTAATTATGATTTTAACCTTATTTTACATGATTTTCAAAGCATCAGTAAATACAGGTGAGCGACACAGGCTCTTGAGAGCCTCTAGTTTATAGAACCCTCAAATTTTTTGCGTTCGTATTATGTTATGGAGATGTTGGCGTCCGGAGACATTTTGGTTTGTAGACTATAAATTGAGTATTAGTGTATGGATCTGTATGAAATTTTAGCACAAGGTTCCATACCACAATAGGAGGGTTGGGATTGATTTTGAGGGTTATTGTCGTAGCTGTTTTGTAATTCGGGGCCAAAAAAAACAATTATTTTTCTGGTTCACAGACAATAACTTTAGTATAAGAGTATAGATCTCTATGATATTTTACCACAAGGTTCTATACTTCAAAGGGAAGGTTG